TTCTTACAGGAGCCTCTACAACAAGTGGAGCATTATGAAGGTTTAATATTTGTAACCATAATAATAGAACGACGACCGCAATCGCACAACAAAAGTAATTTCGTATCCATTTAATTGCTTACCCTTGCCCGCAATAAAAAAACCCGCCATATTGCGTCCAGCGTCTAACCATCCGCGAAAGAGAAATTTACGAATAAAAGCCGGAATAGTTACACGCTGCATTTAAAATTAAAACCCTTTAGGGCGCCACGCCGACAGACAAAGGGCGAATGGCGAATTGTCCGCAGGTAGCGAATATGGAACAGTGAGCCCGATAATTACGAAGGGCTCCATTTTAATAAATGGCTCTTTTTCTAAATTATGAAGGCCCGATCGCGCCATACGGACGTACCTGCCGTAAACCCTTCGCTATTTAATGAGTTAAAACTATAATATCGACGATTTCAATTCGGTATGTGATGGATGTTGGGTGCAGAAACTCTAAGAGTGCTTCTCTACCACAGATGCGCTATGCTACGACGCTTTGGATTCGTAAGATCAATCATGTTCATTGGTGTAAATAGCTCAGCCCTGGTGGAAACGGATTCAATTAAAGTTTATTTTTTATAAACGAGGAAGCATGCTAAGGATGCATGCTATAGATGCCTGCTACGGACAGTCGCGTGGCATATTTTCATTTTCATACATTTACAATCTACGCAGCATAGCATATCTGGTGAAAAACAACCTTAAGAGCATTTTCTGTTGTATATGCGAGTAGTACTCATTTAAATAAAACAATAACGGTTTAGAACGCGAAATTTATTAGTTGAAGTTATGTACGCGTTAATTTTACTACGGTACGACATTTCGGGTTAACGCGTCACGGTGAGACTTACATTACATTTCGCGTTTTAAACTGTGTAAAAGTGTTTTATTTAAATCTTAAGAATTATAACATACTTTCAACTAATTGAATGAAATGCAAATGTATAATTGCATATAATGTTTGAAGAGGATAATAAAATACATTGCTACTATCGCCCAACGAACCAAGCCGAGGCTAAGCCAAGGCTTTAGTTGTCTGTAGAATATACCAAAACATCCCAGACAATGAGAAAAAAATATAAACGTTCAAAGAAATAAATTAATAACAATAGTAAAAAAACGCTGAATGACTATTGAATGGCATGTTTGGAAATTTTATAAATAAGACTATCAATAAGATGAAAGGGTAAGAATGTGACAACAAACACCCCTTTGCCCAGAGGCAATGATCTGGAGCGTAATGACTTGTAATTCACTGTTTTCGCTGTTAAAATCGCATTTCCTGTTGCTGACATTAGGCAAAGTCATTGAAGCACACACGAGTACCTTCGCCCGATGCCGTGACAAAGAATATCAAACAATGCCTTCCGACTATTTAAAACGAATCCCTTGACGACTCCTACGCATCTACCAATATTTTAGTTTGCCGCAAGTAATAAGCGAACCAGAATATAAGTCCATTGCAGTTTTATTATTTAATAAGATTGCAGATGGGCCAAAGCTGTGTATTTACTTGAATTATAAATATATATTGTAGATTGAATAACTTATAAGTAAGTTAAGAGTACGGAACGCTGACGATACCGGTTCAAGTCCTGCCCTAGTCGAAATTTTTTTATATTCATTATATTATAAGTACTAAAATGGTAACCCGACTTATATAGTCCGTCGTTTAAAGCAGATTTAACGGCTTAAACTTAAAAGTATAATAATAATTAATAGTTAGCATATTTCTAATTTAATTTTACGTTACAGCAACCGTTGTCACGGGGGGACTGAAGATGGAGGGTGGGCCTAAGATCAAAGTAATAGTAAAGTAAGTATGTGGTATTTGGAGAAACTGGCTGAAACTTACATAACTAACTCAAGGTGCTGTCTCGTTTATATACTTAGCAATCAGTTTTGGGATCTAGCGGTTATAATATTTTATAATAGTGCGTCGTTTGAAATAAAGTTATTTCTGTTCCTTCATAGCTGAGCTTTAGTTATTAGTTATGTTACTATAATTACAGTTTATGTCCTTTGAGATGTTGCAGTTCATATGGTGATAACATAGAATGACTTCATATTAAGTTCTAGATTTACAGATTATATATAATTTGAATTATAATGAAATCATACAATTATCGGTGTCTTTATAGTATTACTAAAATCTTTAGATATAAGTTATCTTTGGACTGAAAAATTTCACTCCACTATGTACGCCCGCTTCCGACTTTCACTTGGACCACCAATATGAACGCAAACAGTAGTTTAACGAGTAGTAGACTGTCTTCACGAACTATAGAGACACACTCAAGCGTAAAAACACCGCCGCTAATCCTTTACCGAGGCAAGCCTTTCACGAGCGATAGTCTAGAAATATTTGTAAAATATTTTGGCGGATGACACATTGTATCCTTTGTATATTCCATAACTGAGAGAACAGGAAGGAGTAAAAAATAAAGTACTTACATTTTCGGCTACTATTGAAGTGCGTAACCTTTATGGCGGTAGGTTTGTGCATATTATACATATTTCACTAATTGATCTTCAAATATTTTTTAATATCTTCTATTTTAGACGACTTTTCATTAATTTCAGATTCTTATGATATCATGTATTCTTGGGCGGCTCAGCAAGACAAAGTACATAGTAAGAGCCAGTAGTACCTTTTCGACTAACAAGAAAAAAATATACTTAAAACCTACAATATACGGCAAGCACTTGAATTTATTTATTGATAAAACGAAGTTACTAAATTAATATTATTGGAACTTTAAGCACTAGCATCTCGAAACAAATGAATAAGTAAAAAAAAATATTTTATATTACTAAGACTACAGTAACAATTTGTGAATATCATACCTATAAGATAGATTATATAATCTGTGGTTTAAGCGGCAAGAGAACTATACGCGGAACCATATTTACCATTAATATAATATCCAGACTTTCAAGTAATTGAATTAACACTTAGGAATATCACCCAATATAACAAACCATTTACTTACAAAGGTAAAGTAAAAAAGATCACACGTGCGCCCATTTTATGCCAAAGAACGCCCCAGTTTCGGAACTCTTGAATAAATTGGTGACCAAACACAAGGGATCTGGACACAAATGCCGATCATTAATACTCGTCACGTAGAGTCTACGAGAGACATTTGAACTAAGATCACATCATTAATATTGAGTAGTGCCTGTAGGCGGTACCGGTGGAAGGAACCCTTTGAGGCCTATTTTTCATCCCATATAATCTGTAAGGGATAATAGATTTTATACTTCAATAAGTTACGCGGGAAAGGCATTGTAGAAGTAGGTTTACATTCTGTTCCACTTCGTATGAAATTACACGCTTGTAATGACCAGATTTTAGTACGTCTTCATATCAAGGTATAGCATCCTCCCATCTTTATAACTGCTGGTCTATCTATCCAGCAGCAATAAGCAATTTCAATATCGGTAATTAATAATAGCAATTAATCAAAGGCGGCATTTTATGTCAACATCCTAAGAGGTATTTATTGTACACGACCGTAATTGGCATTCCATAGTAGGTAATGAATAGCCAAAAAACACATTCTTTTACCTACAATTTCAAGAAAGTGGATATGAAACCCAAAGGTATTAATTTAATTAAGATTATTGTTACAATAAACTAATAATAAATTTATGGGCTTATTAGTCTAATCATAGCAGTATGGCTACTAAAGGGTGGTGGATTCGATCCCTACCGAGTTGGAATATTCCAACGTGTTTCTAATGAATTTGAATTAGGAGAAAAAAAGGGGGGAAAAAACCCCCCAAAAAAAAAAAACCGGGGGATTTTCGCATTTTTGTTTAACCCGTAAATTTCCGAATATTCAAAGCCAAAGAAGTCCACAGCTCATCTTGTTCAGATGCTAGATATATGGCTGCGGTATACCTACCATCAAGCGAACCCTGTGCTAATCTTTCCTTCTAAATCATAATAGACTACTGCATTATTCGGAAAGCCATTATTAATAAATTTATGTCCCATATATTGAAATAATTTTACACGAAAATTAAGCTGATGCATAAACCCTATCGTTACAATAAGATTGACTTTGCCTTCATGCCTCGTCATTATTTGCTTTACGATGTATTATCCTTTCAATCGCTTACAATACGGCAGTAGCTGGTCAACCCATTAGCCGGGCCGTCTCCACGGGAGCTCATGATCACTTTGCTCATGTTAATTTATGTGCTTTGTCCATTGGACAATGGACACATTTTATAGCATTCGGCTGCTGGACACCCAGATTAAAGTCAACGTATGGTGTTGGCTTTCTCTCGTTTTGTGCAAGAATACAATGCGCTTAACTGGTCCGTGCACCTGGCTATAAGATTTTATGCGAAGAATAGAAAATATACATAAATATCTTTTTTCGGCAATTATTAAAAGTATTGTGCAAAGGGTTTATTCAGCGGGGTCTATTTTTGAAATGGTGTATTCTCTTCTGACACGTGAGGTAAGTACGTGATTAAGTAGAAACGAATGGTTGAACTGTTCTCTGTAATTAAAATAAAATGGCTTTCGAAATAAAAAATGTTTTTTGTCTCAATTATTTAATTGTTACTAATTATAACATGCCTTAAACCACGACGTTGGCCCAAAGGTAATAAGTATATTTTGCTAATAATTAACAGATCTTAGTGTCGGTCCCAAGCGGATTCAGCATGTATCTAATCAGTTTATAATTGTGAAACATGCCGTTCGACTCTTTCAAATCACGATATTAAATGTGTCGTAGAATATCAAAATTTCGCCCTGGTCACGAACCACCGTCCACAGACGGAAAAGCCTTGAAGTTCAATCACTTGTCGGTTACAGTCCATGCCCATGGAGAAGAAATAATAATAGCTTGACAACTTATTTAGTTCATTATTTTTCTAGTCTAGCTAGGGTATTCATCTTACATCGAATGAACAGGCTTATCTGTTCTCCTTTGTCATACAAAAACTAATTTCTACTCTTGCTCAACTAGAAGGTAATCGCCGTCATCTCTTAATTTCTGCCCTTGCTTAATTGCTAGCTCACCATGTATGCGCACCCTATAAACACAAGTATATACAGTGTGTCCCCAATTTGAATATATCCTCACACGAACCAAGCTGTACGCTTTAGAAGATGGATATCGAACTTCAAAGTACTGTATGGGCTTTCCATCCTTATCATATTCGAATGAACCGAAGTCATGGGGATATAGGTCGTTGCGGTACTCCAATCCTTCCAATTGGAATAAACGGGGCGCTGAGGATATTTCCCTAAAAATATGACAATCATTACATAGTGTTGTGTTGTTAGTGTTAATTATTGAAATTAATTACATCATCAGCAGTCATCTGTGAGATCATCATCTTATAAAAAATTGGGATTGGGGGATTATAGGGATTATGAAGATAATGGGGCTTCAAGACGTAGGAGTGGTAATTTATTTCAATTTTTAGCGTCTTATTATTGCTGCTGTATACCAAACGCTAAATTAAAGCAAAAAACATCAATTACCTATGACTTGCTTCCCCCGTTGTAACTGTAGCTTATACGAGTGATATACATTTCCGTGTGTCTTAATTAAAAGTAACCTAATACAATTCGCGATTCAATCCGTTAAATATTTAATCTAACAATAAAGACCCAAACATACTTAGTAGGAGATATATGCGGTGGTATGTGCTCCAAACTGATCCCAGTCACATAAATGTTACCAATGAGGCGTATAGTTGCTTCACCTTTCGAGCCTTTGAAAGCCCAGCATTCCCCTGGTAACGTCCCAGGCCGGATTATGGTAGAAGCACCTAAGCATTCGCGGCAGACAGAAGCTACAAGCACGTAAAGGGCCCAACTGATAGGCGAATCATATATTAGATGATCTATCGTATTTCCTGTATCTATGACTTTAGCGCCGGCTGTTTCTAGCGCAAAATCTGCAATCTGTAATAATAATGTAAGTGTAGAATACAAAGATTTCGTTTAGTCCGTTTAAGAGACAAAACTCTCTCAGTTGACTGGCAACAGTTGATTCTCATAAATCATCGACCAAAGAAGTAAATAATCAAATAAATATATCACATACTTGGTCAGCTTTATGTGCTGATCACGTGCTTGAAATTGGTTTACCCCGCTTACTAATCCAGGATCTCTACATACGCTTCATGCAATTAAAGGCAGCACGTGTGCTACACAGAAAGAGACCCATCGAGCATTGAGATGTGCTGTCCGAGTAAATTTGAATACGACATATGTAACTTTTTTTATAATAGAGTAGGACAGACTCGCGTGGTAGGTAACTAAATAGCCCCAACTAAATAACAAATAAACAAGAAGTACCCCAAACATCTAAACAAGATGCACTGCCTATATTGGCTATGTATATTTGGAAATCCAAACGCGATACTTGGTGTACGGACAAACGGCCGTACAAATTTATTGTATTTTTATTATAATATTTTATAGCATAGCTAGCATAAATCTAAATCTATGTCAACGTCGTGCTCACTCCAATGTTTATATTAAAAGCAAATTTACAAGGTTAGCTTAGTGAGCGTCCCATTTTCCACTTTTCTTGTAAATTATCTTAAAACAACTATCATAGGAAATAAATCAGTTGCACTACAGCACTCATTGGGTTTGGTTACCTTCGCCTCCCTCTTAAACCTATTTTAATCTTTATCAAATCAAAGCTGTTAACACTACAGCATAAAGTTAGCAAATACATTCACGTATACTTTTCCGAACTGTTATACGCAACAGCCTCTGGTACCCGAAACTCGGTAGTAAGTATACGCTAAACTGTTCTACACTACACTTGGAATTTCGATATTCCCACCACCGATTAAATAACCATATTTCCACCTCTTGTTGACACCTCTGTTTCGGGAAAAATAGAAACCCGGTGGGGATCGAACTCACTCACTATACAATGCAACCATTAGACCAAAAACGCCGTTAAAATGTGTACGTATCGTTATTATACCTTGATGTAAAAATTAACATGAAACTTTCTTAAACGTCTAAAGCAATTCAAGCACCTGTCGATCGTAATCTGGGACGTCAAGACTTTGTCGGCTCATTCTAGATGGTTCGAGTGCCTCCCTGGCTCGACCCGCGGCGGCGGCTAACGCGGGCACAGCTTCCGATATCCTCTCTATTTCGCCTTGCAGTCGTTCGTGCTTGCGGTTTATCTGTAACGCTTTAGTTGCTATTTTTATCCCTTAAGGTGGGTTACTTATTTAAACCCCTTCCATGAAAATACAGAGACTACGGTAAATAGTATTCGCTAAAATCTCATTATTCTTTTCTATGATCTGGAGTGATCACTCCAGGTATCAGCTGACCATTGCATCCATTTCCTTCTTGCAGAGAAACTACTCATTACAAACTCAACAATATAAAACATTGATCAGTAAAAGTGAACAGTTGTATATATAGGGCATCCTGATCGATTCAAGTTTATTTATAGCATTAGAAAATAAAGACTTCAGTAACGAATTTCAGAAAAAATTGATGTTTTCAGTTTTGTCTAAAACCCACAATGAGGTTCGTAGGCTTTTCTATTTTCGATTAAAATATCGTAGTCAAGTTGAGATGTTAGAAAAAATAGAATATTTACCTCAGTAAGACCAAATGACAGTTGCGTTATAACATTCTTAATATCAGAAATATCACCGTCTATGATAATCGGTGAAACCCAGTAATGCGAGTAAAAATGGAGTCCAAGCAACATAGACAAGACGACACATACAAACGATCTAAATGCATAGCGTTGTATACAGCTTTCTGTTTCTCGTCTGGCGTTGTAATTATTCATAATTCAAGAGAAAACCATTTATTGTCTCTGCTAGGTCTGTTTATGCCAGATTTTGAATTATTCTATTTTTTTTGATTGTAGCTAGATGTATTGTTATCCAGTTATTTATTGAGACATATCGATATGAGAGGTTGATAGTTTAAGAATCCGAATTGTCTTAAATGTAAAAGTGAGCTAACGCCATCTTGTGGAGGAAGGTGCAATTACGATAACATTATGCCTTCATCGGTTTATGGCGAATCCTTAAGTCTACAAAGCCATCCATTATTTTTTAAGCAATCAATGGTGTATCTTCTGTAGTTTATATTGTTTTTTCTTGAGTATATTTTTAAAACACACACTCGAACAACTGTCCACAGTTTGATTCGATTTTACCCCTTTGATATATTGAAAAGAGAATAATAGTAACTAATCTCGGGAATTAAATTATTTATTAAAGTTAAGAAAAGTTTCCAAACAAAATTGTGACACTTTATTTTTTACAGGAAGTTATAAAGGTAATAGAATACAGTAGTACCTATATTGTACAATATAGTAGAGTCACTGAAACTAAAATGGAACTTTTGTAACAATATATAAAAAGGATTATGCATTGCCGATGTAACAGGTCAATTTTACAAAAATTGTACAATTGACAGAATGGCTTGTTGAGCTTAGTCTATTGCGCTAGATCATAAAATAAGCTATTCCAAGTTGCCGTTAAAATAATACATGAACTAACAACATAAATCAAGATTTGTAAATCTAAATATTTCACCATTGTTGCTGTAACAAACTACCTAATATAGCTGAATTTTAACATCATGTTTACAATTTACCATTTTTTACCATTTGTGTGACTTTCTTCATTAATTACTTTATGTATTTGATAAAACGAATGAAATAGCTATTCTCAGCTCACACGTTTAATAGCTTGGATTGTTACAATTCACGCTTTCTGCTGTTGTGCTGCGTACTCCAGCTGCGCAGTTGCTACAGTTTTCATCGACTCGTGCGCTTGGTGTACATTCGAACGCCAAGCGAGCAACACATCACGCAATTGTTGCCACTGCGCAGGCCCGAAAGTACGGTGCATGGTGCTGGACACACGGACTGTTTTTTGTGCCTGGTTGACTCGGGCGCGAACGAGACGCGTTTTTAGAACTGAAACAAATCCATTATAATTATTATAGCAAAATAGATTTTGTTCGCAATAGTGGTAAAAAGCATGGGATATTATAATTGAGTGATAATATTTATTATTAAGCTACTAGGGTTATCAAACTCTTTTACTCCAACATTGAAAAATGGTCTGAGATGTTTCTTAATTACAACTTGCAAACAGCTTGATAACCTAAATAGCTTTACAAAATGTTGTTTAAGCATTGTAACATTTAAGGTTATAAGTAATTATTATTAGTAATCTACACATACATAATTAATCTTTATATGATTTATATGGTATTTAATATTTACAATAATAAATAATAATTTAATTCTACATGAAATAGTATTAAAGAAATCATCCGTACATTGAGATTAAAATATGCTCTACCCAAAATAGAATTCTAAATTCTACTTACCTTCAATAATAAACGATTCAACATCTTTTTCTTCAATTTGAAGTTCTGATGTGATTTCATCAAAAGTAAGTTCTGGATTTGACTCTGCCATTTGCATGAAGGACAATATCCTCATTTTTTTGATGTTCTGTTCGTGACTTAAACCTGAAAATTTTAAGTTTCTTTTAATATAACCATTCTAAAATGTATAAATTAAAAACAAAATTGACACAAATATTTTACCTTGGGAATGTACAAATTCCTTATGATTATCGTAGAATTTCTGATAGCTAGATAGTTTCTCTGAGACAAAAATAGTTAACAGGTCGTGAATTACTTCCCCTTCCAGGAAACGGACTGGTTTCAGTTCCAATAGAGGATCCAAGAGGAATGAATTGGGGTCAGCTAAGGCCGTTACTATGCACTTGATGGCGTCTTCTCTTGCATATGAGGCATTCTCATCGGTGTATGTGCCTAGTAATTCAATCATGACTTTTGAAGCAAGTTCACTGAAAACAAATTAAATTATAATGTCTTCTACAAATTATACAATACACTTAATTGAATAAACTAACTTGTTGATCAAGTTATTAACTTAGAATAATGAAAATGCTTCAAAATTGAAATAACGGTTTAAAACGCGATATATACCAATTAAACTTATTTGAAAGTTATTTTAACTATGGCCCGACATTTCGGATACTTTACAGCGGCCCTGGTCACAGGAAGACTAAAGATGATGGTGGCTGTTATGAAAAAGTTGCTGCTACACTAGCACCATCTGTTCCGTCGTAGTTGGTGCTTAGCCAGTTAAAATAATTTTAACTAATATAAATCGCGTTTTAAACCGTTTAGGTGTTTTCTTTTAATGCATACTACTCGCGTAAACTACAGACTGTATTTAAAGCTACAAGTTATTTGTTTAAAACGGACTCATTCATACTACCTATGTCGGCCGCAACACTGATGTGTGAAAGAGAGTCAGAACATTAGCTACTACTGCTTCTAGGCTAGACTAATTCAAATTTCTGTCATCTCATCTCAGTTTATAGACATGAGGCAATAAGTTAGGTAAAAAATCTTACTTTCATTTCCATTTATTAAATATTCTTTCCTTAATATCTAGTTAACTGTAACCCTAAACTACTTTGCATCAGGCATCTAAGTGATAAAGAATATAATTTACCTGTTATGATCTTTCAAGACGTGATGCAATAGTCTATACAACTTCTGCATCTGTTCACTTGTTGGAGGACAACTAGCAAACTCCTTCTTAAGTTGCTCAACACCTTTGAACACATCAAGAACAGCACCAACCCGCGCAGCGAGTTCTATTACGTGGTAATAAACATGGTATCGTAATTGTGAGTTGGCCTCTAAATTGTTGTATAATCTCCATAACCTGAAATATATATATATCCAGGGATATTATAACTGAGAGGATCATTAGTTAAAACAAGTGCCTGCCTCAACTTTTTTAAAAATTATATACTCTAAATGCCTGAGTTAGCTGTCTAAAGATATTTTTAATCAGAGATGCACAGACCGTGGCCTGACTGTCATATACTGATGGCCCCCTGAGACCAAATATATTACTCAAATTTATAATTTTTTTGTCTATTACAGTAGAGCGTCGGTTAACCGAACGTCGCTTAACTATGCTAAAAAAGATTGCCACGAATGTGATGAAGATGAGGTTCAACAATGGCTGGATATCTTCTACGAAGATCCCGGGTACTAAATTATGCAGGATAGTGAAATTTTAGACCTCATGTCTGATAAGGCCGACCCAACTGCTAGCACCACATCAACTACAGGTTCAGATAATGAAGATGACAACGTAGTGAGTGCTTCTGAAGCATTTACTGGCTTAGATATTGCCTTGCGTTGGTTTGAAAACAGGCTGAAAGCAACCAGTATCAAATATCTGTTCCTAGAAAAGTACCTGATCTAGGCGCTAGTAAGTGGGTAGGCATGCTTCGGCAGACAAAAATCAGAATTTTTTTTAAGCATTAATAGTACCTACCTAGTACAGATATTTTACTATAAGATTACATATAGGTAGTTCAATTATCTGAAAATACCAGTTTTCTGAACACCTACGTCGCCTAATTACTTCGGATAATCAACGCTCTACTGTATTATAAATTCTTTATTATCTTCAATTACCTATACTTCTGGTGCGCCATCAGGTCATGCTTTTCCTGAGTGGCCCCATAGTCTTAATAAGCCTGTTCATCCCTGCTTTAAATAATGAATACTTACGCTTGTAAGGAGACCATGCCAAGCTTCGGCTCAGGAGCTTTGCCCAATCTCTGACTAAATGCCACAATAAGGTTCTCTCCTCGCTCCAGTGGTATCTGTATTCATTACAATCAGAACTTAATGTACATGCATGAGTGGATGGTTAAACATATTGCCTAGCATTGCGTTAAGTGTGAGAGGTCCTGGGTTTGAATCCCAGGGAAACATAAAATTGTTTCGGTCAGGCAGGGCACAGAAGTATTAATACATACAAATGTAACACTATAATCTTAATATACTTAAAGTAATATTACCTAGTTCTTGGTCATCATACAAAACTCATAATAGACATAACATAATCAGTAACTAATAATTAATGAATTACTTACTGACACCATTATGGACACAATACTGTTTAGAACTGCTTCAATATCAGACTCATTGTTTTCTTTAAAACAAACATCACATACACCTATAATCTTGTGTAAATCATCTTCAATGCCTTTAGGTGATTTTTCTTCGGATATTTCAGCACCGAGACTTTTAAAGTATTTCCTCAACTCTTGGGCCTGAAAGATATTATATAAAAAAATCTTATTGTATATACTAAGCGTAGGCAGTGAAAGGTGATATTACTAGGATATTATTATACATAATCCTAAACTATTTAACTTAAAATGCGTAAAAATATAAAAAAAATATAATTAATAATAAGTAATAACAAGATAGTTTACGAAAGAGCGTCGAGGTTATGTAGGTGTGTGTAAACTTACCTGATCCTCTAGGGATATATCCATAAATACAGCCGGACCTTGCATTTTTGATAAAATCTTTTCTATTTTCGTCACAACACTAATTTTACATAAATCAACTTCTGCAATTCAGAAATACATGAGGACGTGGGATTCACAAAATATTAAAAAGCTTAGCTTGACAAACCGATGTGCTTGACAACTAACTACGGCTCAAATTGACAATTGACAACTTTAAAATATCAACTAAATTGTGAACTTTCAATTTCCAATATTCCACATGTTGTTGTAAGAATAAAAATATATTTTATAATTATTTTATGTTCTCTAAATTATAGTTTTAGTTATAACTACTAATGCGCTAAAAAGATGTCTGGTTTTCATAAAATATCAGAGTCTAACTTTACTGTTAAAGGAACAAAATTAAAAAACAACTTATTATTCGCATCTTCTGGAATTCCTTCACTTGATTATGTTATTGGTAAGGATATGGTTCCTGTAGGACTAACCCTAGTAGGGCTGCTTATCATACACTATATACTAAACTATGTATTTTTATACTAAATGTTTTAGGTGGAGGTTTGCCTACTGGAGGAATATTTGCTATTGGTTAGTATTTTTTTTACTTGTACGGACTTTTTCGCAATTTAATATAATAATCATCATTTTCTCAAAGATAACAAGACCTATATTTAATAAAAGCTTATTATAATAACTTACAGAATCAGATGTCCTTGGTGGATACAGTCGAGTTCTGACCAAATATTTCCTTGCCGAAGGGGTAGTTTGCAATCATGATCTATTAATAGTTTCTGCTGATGAAAACCCTGAAGAAATTGTAAGAAAAACAATTTTTTATTGTCTTAGTATCTTTTCTTTAAAATATTTTATTTATTTCTTTCTTGTAGGTTAAAGAGCTACCACAGGCATGTGTAGTACAAAAAGATGATAGAGACACAAAAATACCGCAAGAAGAAATGAAAATTGCTTGGCGGTATGAAAGTTTGGCAAAAGTAGAATCATCTTTTGATAATGAGACAAATTTTGGACACCATTTTGACTTGAGTAGATATATAGACGAAGATACTATAAATAATAGTAATATTTCTTATTGTTACCTACAATTGGGAAATGAAACTGAGGATAGTGATAGTAGCTGTAAGTTTTTTATTTTGTGGATATTAATTACCTGAGCTAAAAAAAGTACACATGGAAATAAAGGTGGATAAAGATAAATGGCAGAGAAAAACCAAACCCACAACTACTATGTACTATGGTACTCTCATTGATTGGGATTTTTTAGTATTACAATTTTTTTTCAGTTTATTGAAGTTCTTATGCAAATTATAACATAAATATTTAAATTTAATCTTCAATAAAGTAAAAGAAGGATTAAATATACCACAAATGAAAATTATATAATGCAAAGATGAGATATTGGTCTAGCCCATTGTGCGTCCAAGAGTCTAATTTCATATAGATATGCAAAACCTTTTGTTATTTATATGTAATATAAAATGTTTATTAAAAAATTAATTCCATTAGACAAATAATTATTTCTTTTCTTTAAGGTTTTAAAAATGTGCTCTATGCCAAACTTCTCAAGAAAGTAAAAGATGCTTTAGCTAAAGAAGAATATAAAAGAAGTAGTAAAAGCAAAAAGATACTTCGAATCAGTATACACATGCTCGGATCTCCTGTGTGGCTGGCTGTGGACTGCGATGAAGAATTAGATAACAGATATGGACATGATCTGATTAAGTTCATGTACTGTTTAAGAATTCTGTTAAGGGATACTAACGCTGTGGCTTTTATCACAATACCTTCACATTTATTTGATGTAAGTATGTATACATTTATGTTCTTCCTTATACATAAGTTCGAATCTGCTCAATCCATGGGAAACAGTTGAAAGAATTATCTCGATGATGTGGGGCATAGAAATCGGAATGATGGCTTGTAAATTAAATCATTTAATGGAAGTCATCTGTGTAATGCATACATGTGTTTGTTACCCACTAGGAAAACCTCATAATGCACTTTGTAGTAGGTAGTAGTAGAATGTTTGGGGAGGCAAAAAGGTAATCGATCCTATATAACCATAGTTTAATATGCATACTAACATCTTAAAAATTAAGCTATAGAATGCAATGTCGTTATATAAAATACTGTCTATAGTTTACGCGAGTAGTACACACTTAAATAAAACACTAGCAGTTTAAAAAATATATTAGTTATTATAGTTATATGAAAATTCTTCAGCCCGACGTTTAGAGTAGTCGTGGTACAAGAAAAACTCGGGCCGAAGTTAAAAATTCATTTTCAAATAAGTTTAACTAATATATCGCGTTTTAAACCGTTAGTGTTTTATTTAAATGTCGTTATATAATCTCAAAATATATATAAAACAATTATTTTATCTTTCAGGATGATCACATAATGAACAGATTGCTACATTCCATTGATAATGCAGTAAGAATAGAATCTTTTGCCGGTTCAGACAAAGAAACGAATCCAGTATTCAGTGAATATCATGGATTATTCCATTTGACAAAGCTTTCCGCATTGTATTCCCTTGTGCCATTTGTTCCTTCAAGTTTGGATCTCGCCTTCAAGCTAAAGAGAAAGAAGTTTGTCATTGAGAAATTGCACTTACCACCAGGTAATATTTGGTAGTTCTATATTCATTCTCACTATTATTTAAATCTCTTCCTACAAACTTTCGTGGACTTTTCGTTATCTGAACATTCAGAAAACATACGACATTTAAACGAACATAGCCGGAAGCCTTGCCTGTAAAATAATCAATCAGTTAAACAGACGCGGAAAAGTGTTTGTCCGGCATGGTGACGGTTTTTATATATAAACTTAAAATATACAAATATATATTTGAAATAAAACGGTTTGAAACGTGAAATGTATTAGTTAAACTTTACAAATTATCCCTACGGCTGCTGCAAAGCATGTAAAACGGACTCGGACTGTAATTTTAAAGTTTAAAATATTTCGCGTTTTAAACCGTTAAACGTGTACTAATCGCGTAGACTACAGCCTATATAGTTTTTCTATAAATAGCAAGTTCATATCATATTTTCAGAACTACAAGAGTCGAGCGAACGTGAACAAGACGATATAACAGCAGTCCCAAGAAGTTGTGGTGGTTTTAAAAAGAAAGATATAGAATTCTAAGCACAAACTACTTAAAATTTCATTAAAAGCTTTTACACTGAACGGCTTTTTACTTAACCCATAAAACACAACGTACGCATAAAATAACTCATGCATTAATTTTAAACGAAAATTCCTTAATTATTAGTCACCCCAGCTGATCAGCAGAGCGTATCTCCCTAAAACCGGCGCATCTATTCAACATACGTTTAGTCAAAACTCGAATACCTGCGTTAACGGATTCCTGTTGTCTCTAAATAGATAACATGAAATTGAAAAATATCGCCAGTGCAAATGTTTTATTTGGGTGTTTTAACTGCTTATTCTTCGTAAGTAGCTGTTAAAATTTTATTTATAAAATACCGTTAAAAGTTTTAGTTAAATAAAATCTTGCGAGAGGTAACACATATTAAAAGTAAATAATAAAAAAACAGAACCACATTGTAAGTATTTAATGGGTAACTTATCGAATGCTTATTTAAAATCATATAACGGTTTAAAACGCAAAATATATTAATTCATCGTGACCTGATGTTTCGTTCATTTCTTAGTACAGACAATATTTATGTAAATTACTTATTATTAATTGTCTGTTAGGAGAATCTGAATGATATACGGCCGCTATAGGTAGAGTAGCCTTACCGCTATTTTATGGCTTGAGTTTATATTTTCCTAGTCTAAAATGTTAATCTACAAGAGCACAGTGACCGAAAATTGTTAACACAATGTTTACACAAATAATAGTACAAGTTCATTGCACCTAAGTTAATTGTGTATTTTTATTTTCCTCCTTATTAGAAATCATGTTTATTGATATTAGGCCACTCTGTCTCTAGCAGTCTCATATTAAAATATAGTATTGTGATTTAAGGTCACTGGTTTCGCTCAAATAGTGTGCGGGTTCTTTCTCCTCTGCGATACGAGAAGAATTCTTCTGTCTCGACTGTTGGCGACGCCCGAAGACGGCTTGGAAGAGCCTCCCTTTTACTATGTAGCTCTCGCGTTGCTGGCTTCCGGCTTGGCTGTTTGCACGTTGGCATCTTTGGGCGTTTGGGCTACGTGTATGCCGGGATACATTGTTTTGACCTTTGTAAGTATATATTTTATTGCAAATGTATTAATATAAATTGAATATAAATAAAACACTTTAACGGTTTGAAACGCGATATAATTGTTAAACTCATTTGATAATGATTTTTAACTTCGGCGACTTTCGAATGCTGCAGCAGCTGTGGTCACGGGGAGACTATTTTCAAATAAGTTTAACTAATACCGGTTTGAACCTGAAGTGTTTTATTTAAATGTGTAATACTACTCGCGTAAACTATAGACAGTATACATTGAATCAGTTAAAAAAATACTGAAATAAAAATGAAAATCTCTTAGGCTGCTAAGAGATCTAGGGCAACTTGTTTTGGTTATGTTAATGTATACGTATATATTATACATTACCCTTGCATTAAAGTAAAATAATATGTATATAATGTTTAAAAACTTAACCTTTGATAGGTATTATGCATTAAAATAACGCCGTTGCTAAATTGCCTACAATATACCATATGTTATCTACATATTAACATGTTTCAGTATTTCCTAGTGGTATTATCATTGCTTTTGTGCGAATGTGCGGCCGGAGTTATAGCGGCGATCTGGCCCAAATGCCTAGGCATCCAGAACACACGAGGCGGCGCGGTCGGTGCGCTGCAGGGCTATTATGGAGTTCCAGATTATGAGGATTTCACTACTGCTGTGGATCTAGCACAAACTGAGGTAAGGTATAGCAGGTATTTGCAATAACTTCATAAAACAATAAGGCAAACAACGTTGGTCTAATGGTAGCAATGGTCGTGGGATTAATCCCCACTGGGTCTAACATGTTTCTAATAATGTTTTTTTTTTTTAGTTTATAAAACTTGCTGGAAATCTGGATTTTAAACGGGTGGTGGTAGGAATATTCCGTCCGGGTGACGAACCGCCTTAAACAGATGAAATAGTCGACAAGTTTAATTACGTTTCTTCAATCTGTGAACCCTCATCATTAAAAATAACTTTGATCAGTTTGAAGTACCACTGCTTATTCAATCAATGACATGCTATACATGTTGAATGCCTCTCTACAGAAATCTAGAACGTAGAGTTATGATATAAGATTCTAGAAAAGAGTATAACATATAATACTTATGTAAATAATTTCTTCTATATCTTTTGTAACTTTCGTAAAGACACTATTGACCTGACACTACACGGCCGTACACAACGGGGAAAGGCTAGGGTACGGCCTCTAGAACTCCCGTAGATTAATGAAATATAGTAATAAATAAAATGAAATACTTCAACGGTTTAAAACGCGATATATATTAATTAAACGTACATATTTGGAAATTATTTTAAATACGGCCCGACGTTTCTGACGCTTTACAACAGCCGTGGTCACGGGGAGACCACGTAATGTATATTTTCTATTGTGTTAACCAGAGTGGAGGTTTAAGTTTAGCTTATTTTCAGCTAAAATGCTGCGGAATGACGAGCGCTCGTAACTACGACATGTCAATATGGCAGCTGCGACGGCTCGGCCCGCGAGGCATGTCGGCGCCGCTCAGCTGTTGTGTGCAACATGATCTTGAAGAGTCCTATTTAAACCCAGCACCGGTTAACCAGTCTCGATGCCAAGAAGTTCAGCCTAATGCACAGTTTCGTCATGTCTCGGTAAGCATTTGTAGTCAAGTCTACATACGAACTCCATGGTCTAATTGTAGCAATCTATGGCTATTGATTAACAAGTCAAAGTTTAAATAAAACACTTTAACGTTTAAAACGCGATATATTATTAAACTTATTTTAAAATGATTAACTCAAAGTTACAATTTTTTTTATTTTTTCTGAAACATGTTAGACTCTATAATTCAAAAATTGAAAACATTTTAGACTCGGGCAGGACTTGAACCGGCATTGTCAGTGTTCTGTGCTCTTGCTCTACCAATTGAGCTACCGAGTCCTACATCTCATCGTCGAATTTTATCAACTTATTGATACATTCACCTCTCGCGCAATGTAAAAAAAAATCAAATTTTGATAAATTATATAGTGCCTTCATGTGCAATAACGTAAAAAATAATAAAGTTTTCAAATGTTGGACTCCGTCTGGATATTAAATGGATGGTAGAAATATCGAAATTTCGTCCGGGTCACAAACCACCGTCCACGGATGACAAAGCCGTGAAGTTTAATCGAGTTTCGGTTTGAGTCTGTAAAATCAAACGCGGGAACTTTATGACTTTTTAAAATATTGCTTTTTTAATCACGTGCGAATAATATGAATGGAACTTACAAATATGAAACGAGTAGACGTACATTCCAATAGAACTGATCTAAGGTACATACATTTTATTTTATTCCAGGGTTGCCTCATGAAGCTAGAAGACTGGTACCAGCAGCAGTACTTCATGTTTATGATAGCTCTCTTTGTGGTAGCCGTATTCAAGTTAGGTATACTCCTGAGCACTGTTTTCTCCTGCATAAAGCTCAGAAAGCGCCGACAGGAAGGCAACATGTTTCTAAACAGTGACAAGAGAAAAGAGAACATCTACGAACGCAGTACCGACGAGCCAATTACGACTAAATACGTCCAACCGAATAATTTCTACAGCCCGCGCGTGCGCAACCCCCGTCTGTTTCATACGAAACCGAATGAAATGGTATGAGAATTAGCTACGGAGATAAATTCTTTAGAGAGAAAGCTGGATAGATTTTCCGATTTCCTATACAAACATCAGGCGGAATCAATTATGTGGTAATATCTAAAAATTAATTGGACTACGCGTTTGTAAAAATAGTGCCATATATTGCTACCACCATGTTTAAAGCTATACTGTATTGAGTGTCAAAAATTCTCTAAAGAATTTAGCTCCTGTGCGGGGGCATACCTATGTTAAGTACAATTATGGTTATAGTAGACTTAGTAAGTACTTTATTGTGTTCCCATCTTAGTGATAAGTAATAATCAAAATTTGCCCATAGTAAGGTATTGTTATAAATAAAACTGCAAAGTTCATTTTCAATATGTAATATTATTTTTAAAAGAACATTCAAAAATTGGTCCTAAAGTTAAAACATTGTTAACAATGGCTCTGGAATGTTTTCAACATTTATCATCGGTTTATTGTTGTATAATAAAGAGAGCTTCTCAGCGCACCGGCGAAATCATCAATAAATACATACGTCTAAGGCAGTTTCAAAATTATATGAAAATATCAAGTGAATAACTTCATAATATTAAAACTCAAAGTTCTAAATAAAAAGCAACATCGAGTATTCCAGAATTCCAAAAACCTCACCCTAAATGATACATGAGATCCTTAACAATAACAATAGTCTATCTATTTATAATAATAATTGATGCTATATTACCTATTGACCGTTGAGACCGACATCACAGTATAAACTAATAATTACTAATACTCTTAGGTACAGGAATGATCTTATTATATTAACCCTTACAAAATGTACATTTGAACTACGCAATAACTTTAAAGATTGGGCCATCCCGAGGCGGATTGTACGGTCTCGCTAGACTAGCGAGGCGAGTGGAGGTCCAGAAAAAGAAAAGAACGTGTCGCCCCAAACTGTAATGTTATAAATAAATTCATTTCAATGTAAATAAAATTTATTGAATGTCTTTTGTGCTATCTTATCCCTATAAACGCTATAAGAATAATAATAATTTTAACAATAAATAGATAGTATACAGTTAAAAATCTACACGGCGATAAAATGGAAACTTCAGCTATTCTGGATGACGTCGAGTAAGTAAACTTCACCAAAAAACATTATAATACAATAATTTCTATACAAATGAGCGACAATACTAGGTTAAATACTACGAAATTTTACAATAAATAGTCTCTAAAACAAAATACCGTAAAACATTTATAGATTTAGGAAGATCGCAACATTAGTTAACGTTCCCGAGAACATGATAATGAAGTCTGATGATAAATTCCTGTTACTAACTTTGGTCATCACTTAACATTGGTCACGAGTTAGCTATTTCCCACGGCGCAACAGTTTGCACTACGCTACGACCATTTCACCAAGAAACAATGACACGTTGGAGACAGTCCCAGGTGAGATTTGGTCGAAGAACATTCGAGAAGGCGGTAGCATTTGTCGCAATAGTCCCTAAGGGTAGATCTATGCGTAGATCATCCCCGAGAACTCCAATACGAGTACACGAAAATACCGTAGTAAGAACCGTTTAAAGTATATCATTAAGGAAGGAGTTATCTAGAGAATTAAGTAGTTCCTGCGCTGTTAGGTTACTAGTATCCGAAGACGGCATATTGTCTAAGAAGTCCAGATTAAAATCTGCCGTTTGTCCCGTAAAGGAAGACGTGTGGAGTGAGGGGAAGGAATGGTTCGCGTTGCCGTTTTGGCTTTGGAGCTGCCCATTCTGCGACATCATGCTATTCTGTTGCATGGGATTGCTCTGCGCGTGCATCGGTTGCATGGGCCCGTTCTGCATGGGATTGCCCTGATGCGAACCACCCATGCTGCCCATGCCGGGCTGTTGCATCGACATACTCTGTGACTGATTCATATGAATGTTCGGCATCTGAAATAAACAAACAGTCGGGTTATTTAAAACATTCATTGCGATGTGTAAATATGATTTTAATGTATGAATTGTCGAATCAAATAAAAATCATTAATTATGAATATTGCACATATTTTTTTATAATTCTCAACATATATTTTTTTTCAACTGTTATTTTAACATGCGAGTGTTATGTTAATAAACTGATTAATGTTAACTACAAACCGACATCGGATCATTTTAATGGAGAGGGAGTCCGTAATTTTAAAATAAAGTTTTCTACTCTTGCGCCATTTGTTTGTCAAATAATATATTTTAAAACAGTGGTAAAGTTGTTTTTTTATTTGTGTAACAGAATTAGTCTAGTTACCTGTCCTTGAACGCTCATCATTTGATTCTGCTGCATAATTAGATGTGTCATTGGCGACTGCTGTTGGCTGGACGCCCTAGAAATAAATACACGATAAGTAAATAGAGCGTTCCATATCGATGTCATAAGGAAAACTTCAATTAAACGCTTTTATGATGAAATTAACGATACACTTGTTTCAACGACTATTATGAATTCATGTTATAGCGAGATAATATTAATATAAGGTAAAGAACATCTGACGTAAACTAGAACAATTCTTCTATATTTTAAAATTAATGATATGTATATAGAAATTATAAGACTTTTGAAAGAACTTATTTTATAAAAACAAACATAAAAAGCATATACACGGTCAAATGAAGTATCTCATTTTTAAACTCCGTTAAAAATAATAGTATTTTTCGCAAAAATAATTTATTTAAATCATTTTAGTTGGGTTTATTAGTCATTTACGTCGAGTTCAAGCCTTATTATGACGTGTCAAATGCCCTAGGTCTAGGTCACGAAACAGATCTCTCAAAGGCAAACTCTTACATACAAGTATGTGAAATGTTTGCACATTCTATTATCGCGCTGTACCTAAGCTGATAACAAACACAATAAAATGTTACATACTAATGGTGCGACAGCGTTGAACCACGTCATAATTAAACCTGTTATTTGCTTGGTAACTCGTATTTGAATACGATAATTACGTAAGAAATGTTAATCTATAGCGCTTATAATCGATACAGAACTCTACTCCATGTTTAATCTTTGCTTAATAAAGACTCCCTTTACGACTTATTAAAATTCGAAAATCTCAAAGTCCAAAGTCGCAATTACAACAGTGCAAAGTGCAAAGATATAATAATAATCAACGAATAGTTTAATATTTTTCTATGATTTTTAAAGAGGGCATTATAATCAGCAATTACCTTTGCTGCTGATGCTGCATCAACTGCTGTTGCTGCAACCGCGCCTGCTGCATCTGCAGCTGCTGCTGTTGCGACATGCTGCTCACGTTACTCATTCCACCCATGTTGCCCATATTAAAGCCTACAAAATATTTCATTTTTGTTTTAACATTTTTACAAATAAATCTCATATATAAACACAATCGACCGTTAAGATTGAACTAATAAAACTCGTGGTGTAATGGTAGCAATATGTGCTTAATAATCAACGGGCCGTGGGGTGGTAGGTGGTAAGAATATCTAAACTTCATCCGGGTCACGAACCATCCTCCTAAGATGAAAAGCCGTTAAGTTTCAAGGCGTGTCGGTTTCAGTCGGATTTCAGAATATCAAAAGCCAAAATAGGACGACAGCGCATCTAGTTCACATGTTCTATGGCTGGGGTATTTCACCAACGGTTAAGTGGACACTGTGCTTGCCAGTCCTTCACTGTCATAAGTCTAACGACTTCAAGTTCCCAGAAGTTAGTGATTGTGTAAAACCGTTACTCAAGAAACTTAACTGACGTTGTTCGACATAGAAATATCTTACTTTGGTGATGGTGCGGAAACTGTTGTCTAGCTGACTGTTGCTGAATGAGCACGTGTCGCCAATCCGGTGAATAGTGCCTCGCGTGAGGCGGGAACGCGGGCCGAGGCGGCGCAGCACGTCTAACGCCCGCGTTCACGAATCGCGCCTTATTGTATTCCGGTGGCGGCGGTCGCATCTGCTGCTGTTGAGCACGCAGCATCTGCTGCTGCTGCTGTTGCAACATCTTCGCTTGCTGCTCGCGAGAAATACCCGCTGCCGCGATGCCTGTAATGCGATGGAATGAATTGACATGCCAGGAGGTTATAATTATGAGTGCTGCGTTAATCTAATGGTGCAATTTGGTGCAGATTACAAGTTGTCTGTAGTTTACGCGAGCAGTACACATTTAAATAAAACATGTCAATGGTTTAAAATGCAATATATATATAAAACTTATTATAACTAGCTTTACGTTTCGGACCCGGTCAGTTTCGCAAAATACCTACTACGATGGAACAGATGGCGCTAGCAAAGCAGTTTTTTACTGTGACCCCAGAGACACCCTCCATCTTTAGTCTCCCTGTGACCACAACTGTTGCAAAGCATCCGAAACGTCGGGCCGTAGTTAAAATAATTTTCAAATATGTTTAACTAATATATATCGCGTTGCAAAACGTTAAAGTGTTCTATTTCAATGTAAATTTCAAGCTTCCCTTGTTTTCTTCGTTTGTTCCAAAATTTTTTTCGTTTGTCTGTCTGTTTGTCGTGATTCTACAGAGTGATGTGAGTTATATGAGAGATAACACTTGTGCCCAGTAGTGGGACTTATAAGTGTGGAATCAAAAATCGAATTGCTTTATTACTAATCTTTATAGCTTTAAATTAGGTTCTCTTTATATTCGATTAAACTATTGTTTTTTTTTTAAATTCAATTAACGATTTATAAACGTTTTATCCCAATTAAGAGGACGTTCGCCAAATTTGTGACATGGCCGTATGAGTTCCTGTCATTAGACGTCGCTATGTACGTATAGCCCTCTCCGTCTGGTAATTGAATTTCGTCTCATATAGTTCTAACAGTGACCTCAATACTCGTAATACAATTTCGATGTCTAACAGCGGAATTATTCTACGAACTAATTTACAACTGTTTTCTTACGTCATTAGTTAAACTTTAGTTAACAATGCTCGATAGCCATGAAACAATATCAAAGAATGGGCTATAATAGGCAACTGTGATAAGAGGCGTTTTGCTTTTGGGGTTTTACGTGCTGTGTGACGTGCACTATGACGGGTTCATTTGATGGAAGATATATTGTCATTGCACACTCGCTAATCGGCAAATACCAAAACGAGAAACTTCACACACATTTTGATGTTCCTTCCACCAATTTGTCCAGATTTTTTAGAAGCACGTTCATTTGAATCGAACAAATACAATAATAGCAGTAGTCACTACTACTATCACTGTAATATTCTTCTACTACTATCACTACAATACTTCTTTGTTGAGTAAATATAAATCACTATTCATATTATACTCAACATAGAAGTGTTACGATTTCTTTTACATATTAAACTGCAGTAAAACGCAAAATAGGAAATGCTTTCTAAGTTTCACACATGTTGACTGCATAATACATTTTCAACATATTACGAGTAGTATTGAATTATCTCTCCTTATATATATAGTCCTTACCAAGAGGCGGTTGTGTTCCCTGGGCGTTTTGCTGCGCGGGCGCTGAAGGCCTTGCTCGCATGCCCTGGGAGAAGTTCATACTCTGCGACTGAGACACATTGTACGAATCACATCCACTACCTGCAAACAGAATTGTTAACTGTTAGGTTGTACATATCAATTATAAAATAAAATTAAAGCCTTTGCGACGAACCATGCCGAGTCACCACATAGCTATCTATGTTGGCTACGTTTTCATAAATACAAAATACTTGTAGGCTTTACCATCTAACGTGACCACACTATACTATACCTTTAATTATATCAGTATGTCTAACGAAATGCCACGCAACGGGTTAGATATAGATACTAAGGCAGTCTTATACAAGTTATTTATAAACGAAACAACAGAACGCAAATTCGATACTGATAATCGCAAAACGAAATTTTGTTGGGCTAAAAACGAGCAAAATTTCAGTGACCTTGAATGTTTTTTTTTGTACTTTTTCCATTGCATCATGCAGCACGTATTTGTTTGATGAGATATTTAAAAAACTAACTAACATCAAAACTATTTCGTGTAGCCTAAATGGCTAATGTTACGATGGTCTGAAAAAAAAACCACTCAGATATTAGCTGAAGTCCAAAAGAATGAATAAGATGCCTCATAAAATTTTAAATAAAACTGTTAAAATCATTAGGAAAACAAAGATCAACGTACGTAGCCATAATGATTATAAATAACGACTATTTATTATAAGTCAACACGATCACATGATTTCCTTACTTCATTTTGTTCCGTATTCCGTATCTCTATGTTACGCTTCCTACACACTAGAAATCTGATTACCTATTGTATATTTGCAACTTAGCAACAGATATTTTTCTATTACTCCATACATTTTCAAAGCAGAATTTAATACTATAAATGGCTATATATTATTACTTTAATAAGTCATTTATTTGCGCTATATAATTTAAATCATTAAGAGTTTTGACTAATTTAGGTGTACGTAAGAATTTAAAAAACTCCTTATCTAGTAAAGCGTTGAGTTTTGTCGAAATACGACAATCGATTTTGTTCACGAATACTGGCTTTTGGATGGTAGGAACATCCATAAATTGATTTCTTGGTAGCATTTGAACTTCAGGGTTTAGCGTGTCGAATTCACAACGTTATGGTAGCCTTTTCATAGATTGATTGAATCTTATTAGGTTGCTCATTTAAGCATACATCACTAGAAGTCACAGTACTAGTCTGCACAACAATATAACATCCCCAAAGTATTAAACCGTGGCGCATTCCCGCAGATCGTCAACCTCAGATGTGTCCTCCGGCCCCCCTGACATCTGACTGAACATCTTCACACGTCCAGCCAGAAATGATTCTTACTACGCGGGTATTGGGTCGAATATTCGTCTCACACATGCCAGCCGACATACCCTTCGTACATTGTACTGGTGTTATGAAAAATAAACTCAGAAAGGACGTTCTACAATGTAATGCTTATAAGAAGCTACTCGTCTACATCAGCTCAGTAACGATTGTTTACTTGGATTAATCGAATCGAGCACAGGCGGAAAGTATCTTATTAAAATATAGCTCAGTTTTAGTATGGCTTTAAAACTCTTCTTGAAATAATAAAATAACGGGTTAACGAGAAGGAGTTACCAACTCTTTAAAAAACAATATGGCCGTGAGTTGTGGAAATTTTTAGAGTTTTCCGTAACTTGCGAAGATTTGTTGGGTTTCGCATTGAACAGTATTTTTTTCGCTAAACAATAAAAAACCTTTACAGACGTTTTTGCTGGAGGCGAATAAAAACGTCAACAAATCGTCTATCATTAATTCTCGAGGGCGTTTGACATTGATCACTTTATCAAGTACGTCGTATCATTATTAGCATTATCAACGCCTCTCGGATTCTCATTAGAAATTATCTATTCATTTATAAGTTTAATCGATACTGGCGGTTCGTCTGGGGAGGAGTATTGGCTGTGCAATTCGATATCGATTACGAAGTCGTCAGCCTCTTTATCGACACGCTACACTTAACACACACTTTATACCTGCAAACTGAACAAGGGGCGACAATTCCGCATTCCTAAATAGCATGGCAAGATAATATTGCTTAAGTATATCATTATTTTCTTTTAGGGACACCGATAGAAGGCCAGGTGACCATTCCACCCATTTCGCCTTCCGCCTCTGCTGAATTTTCGGGTCCAACTCTCACTACGTCCTCTTCAAACCTTCCGGTCTCTTTGCAAAATCTTCTTATCTATTCCATCTTTAGTTTCTAGATCTCATCTCTTGCTTAAGTATAGGGAAATAGTTAGCAATCTTGTGTGACTCACCCTGGTGATGTTGCGGTGATGGAGTGCTCTGATTGTGGAAGGTTGCATACATTCCTTGCTGAGCTGCTGCCGATACATGACCGCCTCCTCCACTTACTTGCATATGCTGCGCTGCTGATACCTGGATCATAAAATGACAATGAATACCTACGCATTTACTGCTTATCTAATCCATATTTTTTTATCATAGAGGAGGACGGACAAGGTTTACTCGATGGTATAGCCAAGCCATATATATACGTCTAAAATGCACTGTCAATCTATTTTGGCTTCGAATATCCGGATGGTCTAATGGTAGCAATGTATAGCTAATAATCAACAGATCGTGGTTCGCTCCTAACCGGGTTAAATTTTTTTTAATAAATTTAAAAAATTTCGGAAATATGTTGGCTCTTGTCTTGTAATCCATAGAAATAATATTAAAATAAGAAAGCTACACAAGTATATGGTAGCATGAAGCATAAAGCAAGCAAAATAGAACACTTCAACGCTTTAAAGCGTGATATATATTAGTTAAACTTATTTGGAAATTATTTTAACTGCGGCCCGACGTTTCTGGTGCTTTGGAGCAGTCGTGGTCACATATCGCATTTTAAACCGTTGAAGTGTTTCATTTAAATGTGTACTATTCGCTTTAACTACTAGTACCTACATTTATCCAAGAACTCGCTACGCGAAATTTATGACAATTGAAAGTAACAAACCACTTTATTGTGCCCATATTCGAAATAGCTATGCAAACCTCATCGCGTACTTATTTTTAAATCGTCTCCCACATAAAACCTGTTCCAGCGGAAATCTTTATGGGTAATTGGGATATCTAGCGCTTTCGCCGTCCGAGGTGGATCCACGGACTAGCGGAACCTTGACGTTTTTAATAAAAATCGTGCGAAATTATTTTAAGCCGAGTTAGAGCTTCGATTGCGACCGCTTCTATCGGCCGTTACTAAAAACACTACGTTCGATTTTCGAGAAAAAAATAATATTTGATTTTATCAAGCTACAGTTCAACTAGTCGTCTTTATTTTGAATCTGTATCTAAAATGGACACAGAGTTATGTCTGCATCGCCACATGAAAAGGAAAGGGTATTATTACGTTTTTAAGACTTGAAGTCAGGACTGTTTCTCGGTGACAGCTGAGAGTGGAGGCACACACATATTCACACATCGCCGGTCACCGGACGCCGCAAACCAGTTTCCCCGCCCGCGTCTCTTCAATTTCGCCATACATATAATACGCGTAATAGCCGCTTAGTCGTATTATATAGACAAGCTAACGGCTTTTATCTAGTCGCACACGTTTGAACTGGTCGTAGATTCGATTCTTACCGACTAGCAAGTTCACATTTTAGGTTTCCCTACATTGTAGTCTGAAATCTGGAAATTAACATTTCGATCCATAGAATGGTGGAGAAATTATGCCTGAATGCACAAATCAAAAAGGTCGAGAGCGCATCTTAATTACGTCTCTTTCATCTGTGGACGGTGTTTCGTGACCCGGACGGAACTTCTATATTCCTACCGCCCATTTAATATCCAGACTTCCAGACGAAGTCCAATATGTTTCAGAAAAAATATAAATTAAAACATTAGAAACCCGATGGGGATAAAACCCACGTCTCGTTGATTACTAGCAATATATTGCTACCAACAAACCCGTCAATATTAATACGGTAGTCTTTGTTTAAAAAAGTTAATACAATTTTAACTATGAAGTAATGCAATAAAAAATAGTAGTATTAGACAGTCAGTCCAGCTAACGGCACCGCTTATCTAGTCGCACATCGGCTTTCGAGCTTCTCTATCACGAATGCAGCCACGGGGTAATGCACTGTCGATGCCTGCACCTACAATATGTATCGCATGATTCCCGTTACGTCTCTTGGATAACCTCGATGTTGGAAACGTTAGAATCCATTAGGGGACGTCATATAAATATCACAGTGCTGCTAAACTATGAAATAACTACGCAAATCTTTACTAATGTTATAAAGAGATTGTTTGTTTGTTTGCCCTTATCTCGGGAACTGATGGTTGGAATTGAAAAATTATTTTTTGTGTTGATTAGAAAATTGATTAAGAAAGGTTACTTTCTAGGTGTGTACGATCTCCACTCGCGCAAGACAAAAGAACTGTTTAAAACGCGAAATTAGTTATATAATCGTAATTTTCCTCGAAATGGTTATATGTATTACATATACATATAACAATTTCGAGGTTTTTATAAAATGTTTTTATTATGTAGTGACCAGTTTATATATCTAGCAAAAATAACATGCAGTTTAGAAATTCGGTTCCGCGAATTTCATTGATTAAGAACGATATTACTGTGTTTATTATTTTAAGTTTTAATCCCATATGCGTATGATTTCTCATCGTAGACCTGGAATCTGGAGAAAAACACTGACGTCACGGGAGCTAGCGGTACTCGCTACAGCGCGTTTAATATCACAACCAACGTCACAAACGCCCACCATGCACAGGTCAAAGGTGAAGTTTATTAATAGACCCGCAACCTATAAGCGAGGGTGTTTATTTGCTTTTCAAATTATAATTTAACGTTCAAGACCATTTCCCTCTATGCTTGACAAGAAGCCAAAACCATCGATTTTTGTCGGGTAAGATCGGATTCAATGTACTTTTAATATACATATTAGACTGCTTACATTATATTATTATCTATATATTATATATAAATTTATGGTACTATCAAACCTCAGTGAGTAAGGATATTATTCAAACAAAAACCTAGGCGTAAAATGCCAAACTCAACATCATATAATAGACGATATATACAGTTTATTTCTCGAACGCTCAACATAGGTCTTGGAAGTTTGTCACTTTAAAATACGAGTTAGAAGTTTGTGAAATTGTAATAAGGTTCAATTTCTATTGTCTAACGGCCTAACGGTGAAGCTTGATAAAGAGTAACAAATGCTTTCCAACGACAAGAATTTTACATTACAAAAAGATTAAAAAGTACATTAGTCTTGTCAAGTGCGTCGCAGTTTTATATTAGAGACTAGAGACGCCCCGCGGTGTTAATCGCGTTTAATCAGATGCATTTTGTCCCTCTCTTCTAGCCGGATTGAACCATCTGGCATGTCACTTCGATGTTATTTACGTCTACGCGAAGAAACATAAATGCAACAATTTTGAAAGACTACGATCATTGTATTGAGATAACGGATGGCTTATTGATTTGTGGGCCCTCCGTTCAAGGCTGGGCGACTCCGACGCCGCCACTGTTTTAATTGAGGGAGCATCCAGCGGGATAGCAATGGACTGCGACACGTGTTCCTAAGGCAGGAAGTGATCGCACCGAGGCGTCTTTTTTCCATTCGAATAAAACCGATGTCATCGGCCGTGTCGCGACTCGCGTCGTCTTATCGTACATTGTTACACTTTAGAAAGTTCTCGCCGGGAGGACCGGTTCCACACACTATGCGGGGAGACAAAAATTCTAACCTGGCTACTCCTATCTAATCCATAGCGACTGTTCAGTGTCGCACTTTCGCTGTATGACAGGTACAACCCGATGACGACTAAACAAACGCCATTATTTTCGAAATTCAAATTAATCACAAATAATCATGATTCCTATATTAGCGATTCATTCGACGCCCTTTAAGTAGAAGATAACTTTTTTTATTAATACCAGCTTCCTCTCCCGGTGTTACTTATTAGATATGACGATAAGACGTACCCGTATAACATCTGCTGGTGCAAGTCCTGACTGAATCTACTCGATACGCCGGAACAAACAGGTGATTTTTTTCAAATAGTTTACCGAATACGTAGAAAATAAGTTTACTTCGTCATAGTTAAACGCCTGTAATGTAAGCTTTATATATCTAAGACAAGCTTTATTTATCGCAAAATATTAGATAATCAAAACAAACAACGATAAACCGTAAATATTTCATTTATATCCTATGACTCATGCCTCTAAGTGATTCTAATCGAACATTCAAAATATTCCCACCGCCACAGTTTGTTTATAACGCGACCTTAATTAAGTTGCGAAGAATTAAACAAGTAATTTAATTTTGAATAACAAAACATGGTGTCACAAAATGACTTGCCAAGACGAGACCTAACGTAATTCAGTTTATGAATTTGGAATCGAAAAATCGAATCAATTTAAATTAAAAAAAAAACAATACGACACGGGCCGGTCTTAAACCGGCATCAGCTTTCCGTGCTGTTCCTTTATACAAATGAGTTATCAATACAATCAATGTGCTAAAAATATATCGATGTCAATTGTCAACATCATAATCGAGTTGTTGAGTCCACATTTCAAAAATTACTTCTTTTTTTTAATTTGAACTGAGTTTCCATAAAGTACGCATAGTATAAGTTACGTTGAGTAATCATCATACATTAAACTTACTATAGTAAAGGCACTCTGGAGTCGTCAAGCTAGTCTTGTCACCCCATTGTTAGTGGCGCAAGACCCTTAACTGTAGCTAAATATAAAATGAATTTCTGATTCAAATAGCGCGTCTCTTTTTTGTTCAATGTTAGAGTATAAAACATGTGGTCTAGCACATGTGGTGATTGCGAATCCTATTTATTGTAAACAGAACGTTAAAGTTACGCGCTTTCTCATAAAAAAAACAATAGAAACGTTTTATGTAATATTTGAGAGTAGTACCTTTAAATAAAACACTTTAACGGTTTAAAACGCGATATATATTACTTAAACTTATTTGAAAACTATCTCTCCGTGAACACGGCTGCCGCAAAGAATCCGAAACTCCGGGCCGTTTTTAAAATTATTTTCGCCATTAAGTGTTTTATTCAGATACTGTTTATTACCAAAACTATCTATTTTACGAATTTATTGATTAGGTAGGAAGTGCTTTCAAACAATGAATTATGTATTTCCGATATTCGAAGGATAATAAAGCAGCTGACCCGGGCGGGCAGATTTTTCATTGCTCTCTCAATAAGTGAATGTTTAATGCGGCACGTTCATTAGCACTTATAACAATGCATGTGAATTCCAAGACCATAATAATTCAGTAGAGTGGGCGTGAGTTAGGCGTAGAAGAAGACGACACGGTTAGACGTGTCCCACTCGTCAACCCTTCGCAGCAGTCTGCCGGCGGACGAGAGGCGCGCGCACGCTACATCGGGTCGATAATACCCCAGACTCCTATGTTTTTTATGTCCTTTCACGTCACGAATTACCCAATAAAGTACTAGCAATAATTACTAATACATAAGATTAAAACCAAGTCAATTTTTAATCTCTTCGATGTTCTTGGATAAATATGTTTATTAGATGCACACCTCCGCACGTTAGATTTCACCAGCCCAACTTTAAAGTTTTTGGCGCGAAATATGACGCTTGTGCGTTCGAGAAATATAATTTTGTCGCTCTTAATTAACTATTATTGTTATAAAAAAGTAATTTTTCTACGTTATACTAAAAACGGTAGTTTAGAATTGATATTTTATAGTCAATGTCTTAAAAACTCACCTGCAGATTGTGATGAGGTTGCGTCAGATGCAACTGTTGCTGTTGTGACATATGTAGATGGTCCATAGATGGTTGCGCAGGTCGCGGTCGGTAGCTGCCGTAGCCCCGATAGCGCGCCCAATCTCCACCAGTCGCTTGCTGATGTTGCTCCGCCATATGTTTCAACGTCTGCGCAGCCGGCGACATCTCCCCGGCACCGTATGGCCTGGGCGCGGGCTCACCCTCGGAGGGCTCCAAACTTCCAATATTTCCACCGTTCAATTTGCCAGCGTCGAGGTCGAAATCCTTCATAAACTCAGGATATTCAGATATTTCTGTAATGAGATCTTCAAACGTGTCGTCGCCGTCATCTTCTCCGATCAGTTCCGCTAGTCCGGGGAATGCTGATGCAGCATCTCTTTCTAGCGCAGCAGCACACTCGTCGAGGCCGACGAATTCATCGTCTGCCACTTCGGATTTGCATTCAGCTTTACACTCGCGTTCGCAGTCGAGTGGCGTCGGGATCCGCGGCGGTTGCTGAGGCGGCGGAGAGCCAGAGGTTTTCACGGCATTGGCGAGGGCCTTCACCGTCACGTTTGTACTGATTTGCTGCGGCTGAGAGTCCGCAGCAGACGTTGTGAATTCCAGCTGCTGTACTATTTCTACGGAAAATTTCGTAAGCGCCTCGCCAGCTCCGATTCCGCCGGTGTTGCCGCCGCATTGCAATTTCGCAGGTGGTTCGTAGTCGCCGCATCCAAACTTTTGTTGCTGCAAAGAATAGCTCAATTAGTAGAAATACGTCAAGACAAACCTAGTAAAAAAAACGATATGAATTCTTTTGACCGAGTGTTATTTGTTTGAAAGATCACGTCGACATGTTGTATTTTATCACGCATACTGAGTGCGTGGCAAACGAGTAAACATAATGCGTACATTCGCCCAATGCAAGTGTAACTCCCTCGACAACGGAGCTATTTAAAGACATCTATTTGACCATAGTATTGCAAAGCACGACGTAATGAAGTAGGAAAATTATTGCCTTGAATAAACATCGCATAAGTTTAATTTACTTTATTTTATTATACGGTAATATCGTTAATTAGGAATAATAAATAATAAGGAAAACTCTGTAGGTGGACACTCTGTGTAACAATCTGCAGTGAAAAGAAACCAGTTACATTATATTATACCTTTTGAACAATTCAAGCACCTTAGCTTTTAACAGTGACCGGATGCGTAGGTTAATATTTGAGACCCGACGGTAATGTCGCAGGTGGTTTAGCTTTAAATTAATAACTTGTGCGAGAGTCCTATAGGGGTTCAGTAACTTATAAATTTATTTTATTTTAACGCTCTTCATTCAATCGCCTGCATATTGGATTTTTGATTTTGGGCAAGAGGCAAAAAATCGCATCATTAATGCTGGAGCCTCCTAAGACAATACATACTTTTAATTTCAACTATTAGACTGTCATCTAGCTCTATCAGTATATAAAGAATATACAGACAGCACAGTTTTAGTTAGAATTTTGTTACCGAACCCTTACGAAATTATGTGATTATTTAATTGTTAAACAAAATACAAAAAAAATGTGAGTTTTCCAGGTAAATTTAAAAGAAAGAAAAAAGAGAGATAGGACATGTGTGGGTTGGAGGATATGTATAACTAAATCTTAAATTTCCCGCTAATTCCGAAGACTTGACATTTTGCATGACGTTACGTCAAAATGTCGGGTTTTAACGCGAAAACCCTAAAACGGAGTAATGTGGAGAAGTTAGATATATTAAATAGGTAGTTTACTTAATTATTGAGAATAGAGGTTGCCGCAATAACACAATTTGTTGTTTCTGATCAAGTAATTCTTTTTATATTAAAATTGTTGTAGAATATGTAATGTTAGATTGTTATAACGAAAACATTAAATATTTTCAGATAAATGCAACAATTCGTTTTATTTCTCAAAAATAAAATTATAAACAATTAATCCTTATATGTAAAAATGGCATTTTGATTATAATTAAAAAGGGAATTAAACGACTTTGCTATTGAATATTGTATTATTTGGATAATACTATTAAAGGAGAATAAATCTTACTAAGTTACGAACCACTATCAAGTGAACACACAATATAGGTATGTATTGGAGCGAGATCACGCAGTGTCGTTTTGTAATTACATGACTGCGGGTTGCGATAACATATTCTATCCCCCTCAAAGATACCGCTCTGATTGCATTCTTTAATTTAACAAGTGCATTATTTAAATAAAACATTTAAACGGTTTAAAACGCGATATATACATCGCGTATTGTTGCAACGCAACTTGTTTTAAAATAATTTTAACTACGGCCCGACGTTTCGGATGTCTCCCCGTGGCCAGAGCTGCTGTAAATGTCGGGGCGTAGTTAAACTAACTTTCAAACAAGTTTAAATAACATATAGCACGTTTTAAACGGTTAAAGTGTTTTATTTAAGTTTTTATTCGCGTAAACTGCGTAGACAGTATTTATGTGCATTATTGTAAAAGAAAATTAAGAGAATTTTATATGACGAAAGACGCTACATTTCTTTCTTAACACTTCTTTAAGTATCCTCTGATGTAGAGAACATCTTAATGAAACTAGAAATGCACCAGTTTAAATAAGATACGCAAACATGTGAAAGTCAACAGAGGACATTGGACAGGGAAATCAACAGACTGAAATTGAAACTCAGACTCAGACAGACACGACTTATTCATCTATGACCGATAGCTCGTGACCCGGATGTTCGTAGCCAGCCAGGTAATATTTAGGAAAAATAATAAGATTGTTTACAAGCATGGTAGGATTCGAACTAAGGACCCGTTGAGATATACATATAATACTGCTATGGAACTGACGATCTCGACGAAACGAACATACATAAAAGTTTTTGTGGTATTATGATAGGTTTAAATTAGTTTTATAATAAATGGTGTTGTCAGTGATTTTTTAATAAGAGCTTAGTTTTCAATTCGTAACTGATTAGATGATTAATACGGTCACAGAAAACGGCGCGCCTCATCGACCGGAGGTCATCGTATATTCAAAGAGCTAACTCTCTCGACTAGCTTCCTGCCAACGTCATACAATTACCATATCCAAATGAAGGGATAATGCATTTATATTAGTACAGTTATAAATATTGAAAAAAATCGAACACTATATCTATATATAAATTTAGTAATTGTTATGATAATCTCAAGAATTTATACCCATTACTGAAATCAACAAATTCTTCAATTATATTCCTCACTACATAGTAGTAAACAAAGTCGCTTTTTCTGTATCTACGTACGCTTAATTCTTTAAAACTAAGCAACGAATTTTGAGGCGGTTTTTTATAAATAGATAAAGTGATTCAAAAGGAAAGTTTTTATATACAACGTTCACAGTACTGTCTATAGTTTACGCGAGTAGTACACATTTAAATAAAACACTTTAACGGTTTAAAACGCGTTATATTAGTTAAACGACTAATATATCGCGTTTTAAACCGTTGAAGTGTTTTATTTAAACGTTCACAGTTTCTGTAGTGTATTTAGTATCGGCATTGCACCCGAGCGAAGCCAGGGCGGGTCGTGTTCTTAATACGACGTTATTAATCTACACAAAAGGATATTTATCACATTATTTTAGCATTTTTAATCTGTCAAACATTGACAGAAGATAAAGCCGTCAAGTTTAATCGTGTTTCGAATTCAATCTGTACATTTTCAAATATCCAAAAATCGAAAGCCAAAATTGATTGATAGTACATTTGTGAGATGTTATATGGCTGACGTATTCACCTTCCATCAAGTAAACCCCAAGCTTGTCTGTCGATTATAAAAAAATAAATAAAAAAACAGTAGCAAATTAAATTCTTCAGCTCTTGGACTAAGAGTGAGCGGCGCGAGCTGTGTTCGAGACAATGCGAGGCGATGCTTGCGAAATTACGCAGTTTACACAACAGAACTGCTCAGCCCTACACTGCATTTCAATACTACTAAAATTTACTTTCAAAATGTGCACTGCTATTTGGCTATTGTAAATGTAAAAAATAATAAAAGAAGGCCAATACTAAGCATGAATATACTTGATTGCTTCGGTGGCCTTAAAGCCATAATAGTTCGACGGCCTATCTGGTTTAGATGCAATAAACTGGGGTTAAAGTGGTGGACCTACCATCAAGGACCCACGCTTGTATTCTCCTCTATTATAAAAAAAAATTTGAATAGTAGTAATATTATCGAATAAGACATAAACGGAAACGAAATTTCACTCCTAAACATCACAAGACTTTCAATAAAGCTTAACTCTGTAACACGAAATTAAAATTATTTTTGGGTTGTTGATAGCATTTAACGAAGAAGGAATGTAAAACATCACGCCGCAACCAATAGGAGCGAAAATCAGTAGAAATGTGAAATTAACTGGAAATCTATTCATCTTTGAGCCTTACCTTTCAAGACGAAACTTAAAAGAAAGATTTAAAAGCTATAATTTAAATAAGGAGGAGGTTTGGAACAAATTTTGATGCCCAAACTATACCACGTGAACAAAGTCGCAGGCGTCTAATATCACACAAGAATGAAATTAGAAAATTCACAATAATCTTTGGAAAAACAAACTTTTAGAACAAGTTAGGTCATGTTCTGGGACTTGTGGATGACGTGCGTCATCATAGCAGTAACACAACTGGCGAGTAGGTACATAAAATACCTACTAATAATCCACATCGGATATTGAGAGTTAAGTCTCCTTTGTTCTGTAAGACGTTCGGGTTGTTAAGTACATATATTGGTCTGGAATATGTTGGAGCAGTGACCTGTGTATTAGGTTTTAAAGATATAACATTCTCTAACGCCGAAATGCCGGTTATCGATTTTAGCAATATTTTTGTGTATGTTACTTCGCTTACTGAATCGCCTCTACATCTAAAACGAAATAGATGGTTTGAACATACCTGTAATATGCTACATTACATGGCTATATAATATATATTAGCAAAAGTCTATGACAAAAAACTTCGATCGACTGTTTTACTTCATTTTATGAAAACGAGAAGTGCGAGTATCAATCGGTTGAAAAAAATCGATGACGACAGTAGGGTGGCTCAATTTTTTTTTTCGGTCGGGCAGGGCACATAAGTCTGATAAACTACTTGTCTGTGAACCGGGATTCACTTTATCCCTACTCTGTTCCTCCAACATTTTGTTACAAACGTAGCCATTAGGAAAGTTATTAATTACGATTATAACCCAGGTAATTTCAGACGTACGCCACCCAAACACAGTTAACATCGCCAGTGCGTGCGCGTAGGAAGCACGGGATGCGCCGCAGAGGGCAAGTCAATTGACGCCGGCAACATCCGGACGCTGTTTCAATTGTCCCCATGACCACGTGCTGTTCGTTATCACTTTAATTATTACGATATCACCTGCTTCGTTATATACTAAATGCAATACATAAATTAGCATTCAAATGCGCGATTTCGACCGCAAAATGTCCGTGGCGAGCGGAATATTTTTACTTCGATACATACCACACACTTCTCAAATAGTTTTGACTGTTTTTATCAGATACTAATACCGATCGAATAACTTCGTTGAATCAAGAGAGAGATAGATTTTAATATAGAGGACAAACACACATGGCGTTCAGTTCATGAGAGGGAAATATAGCCATATAACATCAACAAGATGTGCTGACGAGCTATTTTGGCTATGGACTTGGAAATCCACAGACTGCCACCGAAACGCGATTAACTTTTTAATCTTTGGTTTATGACCCGGAATTTCGATATTCCTACCATCCATTTAATATCCAGTTTTCCAGACAAAGACCAACATGTTTCAGAAAGATTATAAATTGAAAAATTAGAAACATCGGACCTGGTGGATATCAACCACCCGTCGATTATTAACCTTAGTTTCTAATTAAACCAACGAGCTCGTCAAGCTTTGCGTCAGCGAGCAAACAAAAAAAAACTTTTCACTTATAGTTTTTTAAGATCACGTAGTACTTTAATATTTGTCTCTACACATAAGTCATTTAAAATTAAATTAGCATTACTGGCCCCGTTTCAATTTTAAATGACATATTTCGACTTTTACTCTCGATATTACGTTTAATTTCGATGATAGCAATGTATAGCAAACAAACGGATCGCAGGTTCGATTTTTAGCCATTGCTACCATTAGACCATCAAGCCCGTCATTGTATTATTATCTTATTTATACATACAAGTGTGTCTTAAAAATACCTACTGATTGTTCGAAGAATTATGCAACATTAACGCAACATAAAATGAATGGGTTTATTGAAAACGGAGCAACGATGCAATTTAGATTACCTCATTGCTCATACGAACGTACCTATATGAAACAATACATAAGCAATTCTGCTTCAGTCTCGAATCGCAAATACCAGTTCCTGCACACGCCGTGGCATTGCGTAACACAAAATAACCAGAATATAGATGAGAGTAATATGGGTAAGATATTGAATGTTACATGCGCAAGAGTTGCATGTGTAAATGGATTGAACAAATTCCATAATGAAGCGGACATGGTCGCTCAATTGGAGGACGGGCACGGATCATTGTGATTGTGGCTTCGATTTTTTTCAATATAGAATTGGTTTCTTTAATTAAATGACGTGTAAGTTGAAATTATAGTTATATATTTAACTAGCTGTTTCAGCGACTTCGTCCGCGTAAAATTGTATGATTTTCCCCGTTTTTTATACAAGTCCCACTGTTTCTTTGCTCCTAGTCACATCGCAATGCTTTACAGCCTTTCTATATATAACCTTCCTCGATAAATGCTGTGACAACACAAAAATAATGTTTGTGTTGGAGAGCACTATAAACGGCTAAACCATGTATCTATTAAAACACGGCTAATACCACAGGAGTCAATGTACATACTCTATAATATATATGTCGATGTTTCTCCTTACGCTAACGCAAACTATTGTGTAAGTTGTTACTAGTAACACGTGCAGTGTTACACGTATTCACGTGATCTAGTCGCTATGGAATGCTTTAACTGAGTAGGTATTCCTTATCAATAATTATTCTACCTTGCATCTTTAATTGATAATAATTGTGCCTAGAATTACAATATCTTGATACGTCTTTCAAGTTATAAATAAAACAAAGCAAAGCAAAACTCCTTAAAATAAATCGATAGAGCTAGTGAATAACTGAAAAATTAAAAATGGTCGCAAATGATATTACTGAGAATCTGAAACATCAGTAGTTTTATATAAACTACGTTAATATTTGAACTAAAAAATTAAAGAGAGAAGTGGTAACTACGTTGTGCTTTAAATAAAACACGATTAACGGATGCAAACGCGAATTTAGTTTTCTTATAGCCCGACGTTTTTGATTTTGCATTGCATCGAATGGTAGTTATTATATTTATTACTGATACATGTCGCGTTTTAAACCGTTAAAGGTGTTTTATTTGATATGCATTTTGTAAGCATAGCGTCAATTCTCAATCGGTCAAATATCGAAAGTTTCAGTTTTAACCTCTAACCACTTGGCTAGAGGGATTTCTAGCTGGTTATCAATATTAGTGAATAAAGAAAACGTAAAAATGTCAAGTAAAGTAGCTCACACAGCTCACATGCACGCTGCTGTGCAGATTACTGCTTATCGCTGGCAAGTCCGGTTTCCTATCTGTCTTCTTGGCCTGGCGCTTCGCTTTGCCCTCAAGAAAGCGCTTCTGTAGAGCACTCGTCTCCAAGTTTTGCTGTTCACACGCGCCGCTGAACGACTGGTCGAACCTTGGCACACATTCCGATTGCCGTCGCCTGTATGTTTCTATTCTCCGCCTGAGAACATAAAAAAAACATATGTTTAACAATTAAATTCAATAGAACATTCTGTTAATTATACGTTCGAAATCTGTTATATTTAAGCAAAATTTGAATATGCTCGAGGAAAAATAACACAATTTTTTAAAAAAATATTAGTACATTATCGATATAAGTTAAGTAGGTATATAAATGTCGTGTCACAGTGTTAGTTATCTGAAAATCAGCTTGACTGATATTCATGAAATGTTACATACTATTTAATTTTTTATTGTACGCACGATAAAGGTTGTCCAAACCTTTAGTTTTTGGACACACTTTTTTCAAGCTTCCCTTTAGAGTAATTGTATAATTTTTAGAAAATTCCCATAACCTGTTTTTCAATACTTGAAATGCCCTAAAAATAATTTATATATCAAAAGAACATTTAGCGAGTCAGCTACTTTAATATATATTTTTGTGGCTATTAGATTACTGATCTTAAGGCTAGACACTCTTACTTTTTACTGAAAAAAACGCAGAGTCTAGTAAACACACTAACGACTTGCTGACTTGAACTTCGTGCATCGTTGGTTAAGTACTTAACGTCGCTTGGATTTTGTCATAAAAAAAGACGCTCCGCGCTTGCAAGTTACATACTAAACATACCAAAGGACGATATGATGTTCAGTCAGCCGCAACGCCGACGGTCACCTTGGGCAAATGTTAATGCGGACACGTCTAGTAGCTTTTCATTTATACGACCAAATATTAGTTTCCAAACGAATAAATCGTTCAAGGTTGTCGTCAACTGAACAAGTGAAGTAAACAAAATGCGATGTTTTAAACGCCTGGAATAACAAAATCCTAAATCAGTAGTAAAAAAAAATAGACACAAGAATGCTTTCGCCCCAAATACACAGGTGTAAACGAGATTTTATGAAGCGCGAAAGGTCCCTGAATCTAAATAACGGGGAAAAAATAATTTTGCTGGGAGTATCGATTTGTATGACTAGCAAGTGTCGATATTTTAAAAACAAAACATTTTAGAATTAAATGCGCATATAACCTTTCATTACAGTTAAATAAAACACTCATCAATCTACTCATGTACACTAATGATAACGTAAGGTCACGCGCATCCCACTCATGGGGAATGGAGGAAATATATTTATTTATACGTTTTCCTGATTATTTTCGCTTTTCTCGTTAAAATGCAAAGCAGTTCCCGTAATCAACGAACAGAGAATCGGTGAGGATTTCTTTTTTCAGACGCATAATAAAAAAAACTAATATCGTTTCATGTTATCGAGAAGGTTTTTTATGTTAAAGACAAATTATAATTCGATTTTTATAAATATGTAAGACCTGGTGAGAATCAAACTTGCGATTCGTTTGAAACTCAAAAATACTGGCCGGAAACGAAATATTTGTATAAATGTATAATAGCAACTGAAACTTAGCACAGAGGTAACTGTAGCAAGTATTCTCACCATTACCTAATCACTTATACCTAGACCATTACATAACGAGTCTATATCAACGTAACGCGTCATTCGATTTCGGATTCGATATCAGCGCGGATTACTTAACAACATTCGCGTTTGCAACCAAATTATAAATAAAACAAGCCAAGTGCGAGTGGGTGTCGCGTTAACGGGGTTCCGTGCGAATTCCAATTAGATAAACAGCACAAAGTATAGATTTCATATTATAATTGTCTTTTTTAGATAACATTTTTAAGATTTATTGGCATAGAGCCTCTGCAATTTGAGTATTCTTTTCGTATTTATTGTTGTGAAGGTAGCAGCAAATATTTCTACATAATTTGTGAAAATTTCAACGTTCTAGTTATCGTGGTCCAGACTGTTCCATTTTAACCCTTAAACTTTGAAATTAATGGATACAGTGAAAAAAAAACTAACACTTAGATACTTTAAGTAACTTAGTAGACATTTCACTTAAAATATATATCTTAATAACCAAATAAGAGAAACGTACATATTGTTCGTGACGCATTGTACTTCATTCAAGTACTGGAAATGTTGAAACCAGGGTTTTCCCCTTAGAGGCCGTTTTAAAAATAACGGATAAATCTTTACGTTTGTCGCCACAGTCTTTGGATATGCAACATCAGAAAACAAAAAAAGATAATCTGCAGATTTTTTCGTTTACAGCTAACGTTCAACGTGGGTAGGCAGACTCAAAGGGTGGCAAGGGCTGTCGTATTGCACGCTGACGTATGAACTCGTAGGAGTTTTTGTTTAGTTCATTGACCAGTCGCGGTGACTTGTCAGTGGTGCGAACGCAAACAACTACATCGATAAGTAACGTCTTGATTAAACATCACGAGTCACGGTACAGTATATATATCAGTGTCACCGAAATAAAAATATTTATTCAAAGGCTTAAATTCGCGCCAAAATTTGAGTTCATCTGGGTATGATAAGTGATAACAGATATACAATTGTAGTGTTTTTAAGTTATAATTAAAATAAACAAACGGATTCACTTTCATAGAGAATTATTTTAGTGCAATATTGGCAAATCGATTTATGGTGCCTTTTATCTTTACAAGCAACTGAAGATTTCACACTATGTATAACTAAATATAACATAGGACTTTCACTGCATTACATATGTTATACAGTCACACACACACCGGTTTGTAACTCAGTATATTAGTATTTATGTTAGTGGTACATATTTTAACAGACAAATTATCCTGGACTTCTTTTAAAGAGAAGATAATAATAAAAAATATACATTCTCATAGTGTGCTCAACTAGCTAAATGGTTAAATGTGTTGCGTAGCATTGCGTTAAACGAGAGAGGTACTGGGTTCGCCAACTGGGGAAACGATACGATTTGTTTTCTTTGGGCAGGACACAAAAACATGAACAACTACTTGCCCAAAAATAAAACCAAGCAGTGAAACGGATATATATCGCTTTTTAACCGTTAAATTTTTTTATTTAAATGTGTTAGAAGTGGATTACTATTAACTAATGCAAACTACAGACAATAGATCTGAATTGCTAGTATTGCAAAAGTACAATTCTTCAGTATGTTCAAAGAGTTATAACTTGTATTATTATTGCACACTCAGATATGTTTAGATAGAAATACACAGTTAACATACATTAGTCAGGTATGCAGTTCAAACTGCAATGTTATATTTAGAAAACAACTCCATGCAATAATTGTATAGATTGCATTCCACCTGTGGTTGGCGATAGATATTATTATTAGGGAATTAGTTTGAACCCTTTGTATCGCCTATTTATGTAATTGAATATACAATTTTATTAGCTCACTGTAAATATTTTTTTACCATATTGACATTTTCATTTTATTAATTGAATTAATAATTATAATTATCGCTTTATACAGGAATGAGCAAACTTTGATAAAAAAGCCACATTACATTTTTGAACTTTTAAGAAGGCTGAAATTTTATGTTTCTTAAAAATAAATAGGACTAAAATACTGCATAGTTAATAATGAAAACATAATGCAAAATGAAACAATTACATTTACGGATAATTTTTATTGCAAATTCATACCTAGTTGCATTTTTAATAGTATACTTTTTATGTTCTGATTTGTGTATGTACCTCAAAAAATATGTTCCTCAGCCCTGGCTTAACCTATGGTGTTTTTAAGGTCTCCTATAAAAGCTGACAGTTCACGGGATGTTAAAACAGTCACTACATTTTTTCTTATAGAAAAGTTATAATATTCTACCATTATTCATTTAATCAATGTCACTGTATAATCATGAACAATATCAAGTAAATATTTATTCTATCTAGTGATAAAATACTGAGTAGAATGTAATAATAAAACTTTTAATTTATCTTATAGTGCTATACTTCAGCGCTATAAGATAAACTGGATATATTACTCATGCAAAGGAATTTTTATTTAACATTTACAACTGATGTAAAATTTAAATATTCTTAAATGTAAATGAAGGAAATACTAGTAGAAATTAGTTGTGAGTTTTTATAATCAAATGAGACTTTAATAAAACAGGCTTTTACTATTTTCTTTGTGACTTATATACGAATATAAGTTGACAAATTAAACATTTGCATTACTTCCTCTTTTTTTACAAAACAAAATATTAAACTATGTTTAACAAACTGTTTTATTTAAAAACCCTTTTTTTTGTAATTTCATTTTGGTATACTTAATTGTTCTAGCTTAAAATCCCTGGAAGGATTACTAGTTAGTTTTGCAAGTACAGCTTAATATATACAAAAATAATTAATTTATATATATATATATAAATGCCTTTGCCCCATGCTTCGCAAGGATTTCATAATTTCTTTACCTAAGACGATCGACAACAGCTTGTCGTTTAGGTGGTAGTATCATTTCCTCCATGGGCTGCAACATGTTAGGTGGGTGCTGGGCGGGCGAGGCGCCGGGCAGCAAGCCGCCCGCGCCACCGCCTCCCACCAGATGCTCCACGGTGATTCTTTACCACTTTACCTCTGATCTATCATTGTCTTTGGTCAGTCTTTACCAGAGTTCGCAATCAAGTACTACAACGTACTTGCGACAACACTATGAGAAAATAACAACAGTTCGTCCTGTGCACTTTCAAAAAAATTTTCATGTTTACTCTTTTATAAGTCACGACAACTACACGAATCTGTGTACTTCAACTGAGTTTATGATCAAGTTAGAATTAAGTTATAAATTACAATACACAACATACGACTTATAAGCGAAATATTTTAAAACAAAACTTGTTGTTAAGTCACACACTTCACAATCATACTAGATAGGAGCGTGTTACGCTTCACGAAAATATGTTCCAGCTTTCCAAAATGTTAATGCGATATCAAGAAAATCCATTTGTATGACTTATTATTAATATTTCATACAATTAGAAACACTTCAACAACACAATATACAGTTCAACGCCCACAAGTTCGCAAACACAAAAAGTGACTGAACTAGCTTGACGGCAACAACGGAGACGCTACTTTGAAGTTTGACGCATCGTAAGTCCTAGTGATGTTTGCGCTAAGTCAGTCTACGATGTTCTATAATGTCGTGAGATAAATAATACATAACCTTTTTTGTGTGTTTGTAGAAACGGAATTTAAGATAACAGTAATAAAATAAAAACTCAATAAATAAATAAAAAATCGTATTTATGAGTCTATACAAACATATAATTAAGAAACATTCCATCAGTACCTTATTTATTGTCGGTTTCTTCGTTAAGTAAATTAGGAATTTAATAATTTTTCGTTTTTATCGACAAATTAATACATCTCTTTACTTTTATAAAGTCTATTAACAACTTTCACAGATATTGAATGGAAACACATAGATAATAAGAAATAAGCAATATTGTAAACAATCAATGTCAAGAGCAATTTAATATTTTTTGCAGTGACATTATATTGTCAAAAATAAAAGAAGACCGGACCACAAAATAATTATTATATTAAATTATTGAAATATACTATATGGTACAAAGTACAAAAACCAAGCACATCATTTTCTTTGTACTCCTACCGTTTTGAGGGACGAATATATTTGTTTGACTGTATATTACAAAATATATAAAAATGTCGGCACTTCGTGCAAGGTTGTCTTTAACACTTTTAGGACGGCATATGTTTAACCAGGCTTTAAACAATTCAAAATATATTAATGGCGTCACAGTTTATAATAAAAATTACAATGGTGAGTGTTATGACATAGTTTAGGTAAGAAAAATGTTTATTACTGACCTAGCCTCAAATTGTAGAATTCTTTTGTTTTCTAGATAAAGTTTTACCTAAGGCTAGATACAGTACCGTATCTGATCAGAAACCGGACGAATCAAAGACTAGCTCTGAAAAGAAGGAGTTTCAAGCAGAAACACGAATGCTTCTAGATATTGTGGCAAGATCCTTATATTCAGATAAAGAGGTCAGTATGTCTACTACATAAAACTGTAAGATTATTTTATTCTCGAGGTTTTTTTTCCTCTTGTAAACATTATAATCACCATTACTTCCAGGTTTTTATTAGAGAACTAATATCAAATGCTAGTGATGCATTAGAAAAGTTCAGATATCTAAGTGTCAGTTCTACACCAGATGCTCTGCCATTAGAAAACATAGACCGGGCTCTTGAAATCAGATTGACAACTGACAAGCAAAACAGAACATTAACATTCCAGGTAAATAATGCTATTTATAATACCAAATGTGAGTGGGTTATCTATCTATTTACAATGTGAGCATAAAAATACATCACTACGAAAAGGTACATAATAAACAATGCTAAGTTCTAAAGTTATTATATATTGTTTGTAGCTTATGTGAGTGTTACACATTGAAGTAAATATTATTAACGGTTTAAAACACATAAAGGAAGATTAGTTAAATTACTTTTAATTTATTATAACTACAATGAGATATTTCTGTGCTTCATTATAGTGCTTTTTAGCAGCTATGATCGGGTAATAAATTAAAAATATGTTACGCGTTTTAAACGGTGAAAAGTGTTTAAATGTAAAATTTTTATCCAATCTAAATTTAATGAAAACATTGTTTATTAGTAAAATAAATGTTACAGACTTAAATCAGCTATTAAATTTTAATTCATTGGACTTTGCCACCTCCTAAACATGTAGTATTTTTCCTATATCCATAAACTGAATCAATGTTTAAAAAAAAAAAAAAAAAAAAAAAAAAAAAAAAAAAGGGAAAGGATTTTTTTTCCCCCCCCCCCCCGGGGGGGGGGGGGCGGCGGGGGGGGGGGGGGGGGGGGGGGGGGGGGGGGCCCCCCCCGCGGGGGGGGGGGGGAAAAAAAAATTAAAAAAAAAGTTAAAAAAAAAATTCGCGTTTTAAACCGTAAAAGTTTTTTTTTTAAAGGTTTACTACTCGCGTAAACTATAGACAGTATTGAAACAATGTTTTTTAACCTAGTTATCTCAAGAAATTTTGTACATTAATAATATCTTTTTACACATAGGATTCGGGTATTGGCATGACTAAAGAAGAATTAATTCAAAATTTGGGTACTATTGCTAGATCAGGGTCTAAGTCATTCATAGAAGAAATTAAGAAGCAGGGAGCAGAACAAGCTAATTCAATAATTGGACAGTTTGGTGTCGGATTTTACTCTGCTTTCATGGTTGCTGATAAAATTGAAGTATACACTAGAAGCAGTAAAATTGGATCACCTGGCTATAAATGGAGTTCTGATGGGTTTGATTTTTTATAATAGAAGCATAATGGGTAACATTGAATTATTTTTTAAGCTAAATAATGTCTTTCATACCTAAATAGATCTGGAACATATGAAATTCAAGAAGTGGAGAACGCTGAGATTGGCACTAAAATTGTGGTTTATCTTAAAACAGAATGCAGAGAATTCTCTGATGAAGAAAAAGTTAGAAGTATGCATTTACTTATTTAATTTTTATTTAAGGAAATTATGTCAGAAAATTTAATATATCTATCTTACAGGCATAATTATGAAGTACAGTAACTTCATCGGCAGCCCTATATTATTAAATGATAATCAAGTAAATTCTATCAAGGTGTGTATTAAACTACCATCTATATATATTTTATAGAATATTTTTTTTATATTATTCATTATATTTGGTCACCTCACTAATAAAATACAAAATGGTCTATTAATTTTCAGCCCCTATGGTTAATGGAACCTAAAGAAGTGACACATGAACAACATGTAGAATTCTATCGTTTTGTCAGCAACTCTTATGATAAGCCAAGGTATACATTGCATTACAAAACTGATGTACCGCTAAGTATCAGATCCATACTCTATGTACCAGAAGGAAAACCAGGTCTCTTTGAAATGTCGAGAGATTCAGATGTTGGTGTGGCATTGTATTCGAGAAAGATTTTAATTAAAAGCAAGGCGGAGAATATTCTTCCTAAATGGCTGAGATTCGTAAAAGGTAGTCTATAGTTTTCATCAGAAAAGATGGCTTAATTAAAGATTGTTCATAACTACTAATTCTTATCTTACAGGGGTTGTTGATTCTGAGGACATTCCTCTTAATTTGAGCAGAGAATTGCTACAAAACAGCGCTCTGATTGCGTAAGTTTCGTTAAATTTCTAAAATCTACTAATTTTACGAAATAAATTATAACTTTGTTTAATAATTTTCAGAAAACTACGACACGTTTTATCAAACCGGTTCCTTAAGTTTATGGTTGATAATTCTCAGAAAGACCCTGTTGGGTATGATGCATTTTATAAAGACTATTCACTATTCTTCAAGGAAGGCATTGTTACAAGTCAAAGTCCTCTTGAGAAGGTGCATGTTGTTTTAATCAAGAGTTTAAACTAGAGCTTTCCTGCTTCATTGATTGTAAATTTTTTTACCTTCAATAAAATTGTTTAAAATATATTTTTAGGAGGAAATTGCAAAGTTACTACGTTTTGAATCATCAAAACTAGAGAGTGGGGTGCGCACTTCACTTGCTGATTACAGCACAAGACAGAAAAATGATCAAAAGAGTATTTACTACTTGGCTGCACCTAGGTAAAGTATTTTCTATTTTTTATAAATGCACTAGCAGACTCGGCCACGCGTTGCTGTGGCTGAAGTTATTGTTTTATTACATTATGGTATACAATTTAAGAGGAACAGTAGGAGATTGTCTATTGAATTGTAGCTTATATGACACGTTTGTCGGTTTACCATAGCAGTGCCATCTATTGATTACTTACTCAATCCATTGTAGCTGTCAATTATTTATAGACAAATAATTTTCAATAAAATAAGTTGCGACTATAATTAAAGATCTAAACTATCCTATGTCTCAAGGACCAGACTGCTCACAGTGTGCCAATTTAATTTAAAATCGATTCATTGGTTTAGGAGTCCATAGGACAAACATCGTGATAGGAGATTTATATATATAAAGATATTATATTGTATAAATGTTTTTATGTCTTCATATATTCCTAATTTTTTAGTCGCGAGTTAGCTCAATCATCACCGTATTATGAGTCTCTCAAGAAACAAGATGTTGAGGTTTTATTCTGTTACGAGATGTATGATGAACTGGTCTTATTGGAACTGAAGGAATTTGGTGGCAGAAACCTTGTATCTGTTGAAAATGATATGCAAAAAGACGCTGCTGAGAGCACAGATACAATAATAGGTATAGTAGCATCAACTCCTATTAAGAATTTCTTACTCATAGGGTAAAGAAGGAACCTGGTATTAAGAATTTGCTATCTGTCACCATGTTGCATGTCATACACCACGATAGCTAGGGAGTTGTAATACCTAAAATGTCGCCCTTAATTCATTAAACCCTAAAGATTAAATATGAAATTTGTTTACCTAATTAATAGTATGGAGTGCTTTGTATCCTAATCCCTCTCACACTTGTTAATACATAAAATATCTGATATAAAAATTTAAAATCGATTTTATATTGAAAAACAAAATGGGCACGAGTTGAACCAGCATCCACATTATTCCATGCTGTTGCTCTAAACAGAGCTAGAACACTGAATGCCGATTTAAGACCACCCTGTGTCGAAATGTTTTCAACATAAAATCTATTTTCTATTTATATGATATCCTGTTCATCATTAACATGTGAAAAATATTGGAAGTTTTCATTTGTTATAAACTTTGTACTTTAATAGGAAGCGACGACTTACAACAGACCCAAGTGAATGAATTGATTTCGTACTTAAAATCTCACTTAGCTGGTAAAGTATTTGAAGTGAGGACTACAAAGAAGTTGGACTCGCACCCTTGTGTTATTATAGTACCAGAGATGGCGGCTGCCCGACATTTTATTAGAACACAAGCGCAAAATCTCAGCGAAGAAAATAGATTTGCCCTGTTAAGGCCGCAACTTGAAATAAACGCCAAGTAAGATTTTACCATTTTATGTAGAACTATTTTTCTTTTCATCAAATTAACAATAATCATATTATATTTTATGTTTAACTCTTATTTTCTTTAAGTATATATTCTGTTTAAAAAAAATCTGAATTCCAAATCTTTATAATAATTATTAGGATAGGAAAAATTTAAGAGAGAATTTTAAATTTATATGTGATAGTCATAAAATCTTTTTCTTGCAGGCACCCAATAATAAAGAAACTCCACAAGCTCATATCAAGTGATAAGGAACTAGCTAACATGATCTCTCAGCAGTTACTGTCCAATGCTATGGTAACGGCCGGATTAATTATCGATCCAAGAAACCTCATAACGAACATTAATGATCTTTTAGTGAAGGCCTTAGAAAAATACTAATTATATTTCCATTTAAATAAAACTGTTATGCTTTATTGTTATTTCATTTATAAAAAATATTTGTGAAATCCAAAATTTTCCCAATCCAACAGTACAAACGGCAGCCTAAATACCTAGCATAGACAATTAAATATTTGGTGTAGTACATAGACTAAAGAATAATCTATACTAATATATAAAGCTGAATAGTTTGAACGCGCTAATCTCAGGAACTGCTGGTTCGAAATGAAAAAATATTTTTGCGTTGGTTAGAGGATTTATTGAGGAAAGCTATGAAATATCGTGTTGTGACTTATAGGAGCAAAGAAACAGCTAGAAATGAGAGAAAATCTCTGTAGGTTTCCGATGCGTATGCTGCAAAAACAGTTCAAATTACCCAAAAAAAATGCATAAAAAAATAATTGAAGTCTATCTTTTAAGATTAACTATATCTTTTAGAGAAACTCAATAACGACGGGACGCCATTTCAAAAACAAATTGGGATACCCAATTTAACTGTTCTATGCGGATGAAGTCGCTGACACAGCTAGTCAACAATAATAGTTATTACATAATATTATCTGTGGTAGACTTCTCCTATATGGCAACATTGTTCAGTGATACAAAGCGCGCACCTGCGCAATAAAAAATTAAAAAATCAATGGACTAAAGCGGCGTTCGGCGCGTTTTCGCAATACTTAAAATTGCGATTTGCAAAACGTGAATAATCCTTTTTTTTTGCTACTAATAATGTGCATTACTAGTTTAGAGACCTCACTTAAGAAACCTAGCACTGCCTAACGTTATTGTCCAACTTCGTTATAGTTGATTGTACGTAATTTATATTCTTTTGTTATCCAAACTGTTTCAACAACATTAATGGAAGTGTCTTCTTCCGTAACGTTATAGATTTCTTTATACCGCCCTTATTTGTATTATTTATATGCGTCTGCGAGTGAAACTGCAGAATGAGTGCAATAGATATAAATAAAGTGGAGAGTGAAGATGACAAAACTTTGGACAAGAAGCAAATCGAAGCAGAAGAAAAGGAAGTAATGTTGAAGAGCGATGGAGACAATGAAGAAGATGTGGAGCTGAGGCATGATGGTGGTGCCGTTAAGGCGGCATTATCAGGAGACATCACGGAACAAGGACGCGAGGTTAAACCCAAGTTCATTCCTATCGGCGCCATCAAAATGCCAGGTTTTTTTACAAGGAATTCTGATAGAGAAAAATCAAAGGTACGATACTTTTAGTTGTATAGGTTTGTCTCTTCTTACTAACAGATTTGACTTGGTAACTTTGTTGAATGGTACATAAAGATATTTCTAATTAATAGGCAATTAAAGGCAACACAGTATCAATCCCTAAATAGTACTAATAAAAACAATAAGTTATTTTACCTGAATGCTTTTATTTTACTCATACTTTTATAATGATGTATATAGGAGGAGGAAGCTATTGAGAACGATTCCGAAAAGGAGAAAAGTCAAGATAAAACAGTTGATGAAGGAAATCCAAAGAGTAATTTTAAATTCCTACAAGGCTGCCCATTCTCCAGCTTCATAAAGAAGTCTCAAAATGAGAGTGGTAAGTGCATATCAGTATTCTTGTTATGACCACAAGCATCTTTAAAATAGTTTTATTTATCTTACGTAAGAAATTCAGTTAATTTAAAAGACTACCTTTTTATTTAGATGGTAATGCAGATAAAAGCCGAAGTTTTGGTGGATTTACATTTAAATATCCCAATATATTTAACAAGCAAACTCGCAAAAATGCAGAGGCAACACTCGCCTCTATGGAGACCTTGGAAGATAAACTGGATACTCCGAACGATGGAATGGAAAATATTAAATTAGATATGACTGTAAGTCATTACTGAATATTGTTTTATAAAAAATTGTTTGATACATGCCCTTTTATTGACTTTTGTTCTTATTGGGTTTTTTTTATTCATTTGTAGGAACCTGAAGAAGGAAAGGTTGCCACAAGGCTTCCACTAAAAGAAAGAATACGCCAAAAGAAATTCATTATAGGTAAACAAAATAAGCTCACTTTTTATACAATTTTGTTTGTAAACTGGTATCACTTTTATTATTTAAATTCTAAATCCTTTTAATTCTTTCTTACAGATGATATTGTAGTTTGCGTCATAGTGTTCTTAGTTATTTTGGCTGTGATCATCGGGATTGTTATAGGAGCTCAGGCGGGCCCACCCACAGAAAGACCTCTCAGACTTGGCAAATATGTCACAACACAAACCACTTGTGGCTTAGTTGAAGGGTATGTATCATAACTAGTGCTCTAAATTCTGTCTTACAATTTTCGGGTTTTCAGAATGATCTTGAAAGCATGTTTAAAATAAGTCTTATGCTCTTTTTTAGCAGTTGTCGTTAAAAATATTCTTTTGGTGTAAAAATATTTTCCTCCCATTTAGATTTCACTTCTTCATAATTTTTGAAATCTTTTGAATTATTAGGGTGGTATTTGGGATGGAGACTAATAAAAAATCATGAACTTTGCTCTATCTACACCCATATCCCTCTTAAAGGTTTCAACAAATTTAAAACAAGAAAATAATTTACATAGCTTTGTTTTATGTAATTTTTTTGTTTTACTTGTGTGTACATAGTTTTCTATAATAGGTTTTTACTGTTGTTGTTTTAGTATATTGAATGAGGGTGTTTATAACTTTTATGGAATACCCTATGCTGCTCCACCTGTTGAAGAAAGAAGGTTTGCATATGCCCAGCCACTCAATAATCTATCCATGTGTTGGAATGACACACTTAATGTGCACAAGCCTGGCGCCAAGTGTCTCCAGTTCTTAGAAAATGGTACCATTATTGGAGATGAAGATTGCCTAACATTGGACATTGTTACACCTCACGTGAGATATGACTCGCCGCTACCCGTTGTTGTTTTAATTGGAGCCAATACACTAGCTGGAGGAATTAGCCCAGCTCAACCATCAGCTCTTTATGCCCGCACTAAAGAAGTAGTGTTCGTACGTCCTAATTTCCGCCTCGGACCATTTGGATTCTTAGCCCTTGACATCATATCTAACAGCAAATACCCAGCGACATCAGGAAATTATGCCCTTAGTGATTTGCTAGTCGCTTTACAATGGATAAAGTACAATATAAAGCATTTTGGCGGCGACGCCGAATCAGTTACTTTATTAGGACATCGCGCTGGCGCTACATTGACAGCAGCATTGACTACTATTAAGAAAGCCCAGAAGTTATATTCTCGTGTCTGGCTGTCTTCCCCGTCAGTCATTTTTCCAGGTGAGGCTCTGGAGTTATCTGAGAAAAGCAATGAGCAGTTTAAGCAGATTAGTAAATGCAACGATATTGACTGCTTGAGAAACATGTCTCCAGTTGAAATATTGTCTTCCACTCCTGACACTTGGTTGGGAAACACAATCGATTCTCTACCTAAAACTGAAGAAATGAAGCGTTCATGGTTAGTGTTAGATGGTGACCTACTGAGAACACACGCTTACGAGAGCTGGGATGCACAGAAGGAAGCCAAAAAAGAAGGCAAGGAGAAAGTTTTCAAACCAATGGTCTTTGGCACAGCTCAGCATTCTGGGCACTCGGAACTTTTGCGAATGAAACATCTCAATTGGTCTGCTGAGACTGTAGAGAAAATGGTTAACGAGAGCTATATTGGACAAAAGAATTTGACATCTATTGTGTTCAAGCACTTCAATAAGACGTATGATGGTTTGGTGGAACTGATATCGTCTATACGGACCTTGTGTCCTCTGGTAAGCTTGGCTCGTATGCGTTTGGTTGCTCCGATGTACGTAGTTCTCGGCGCTGGAGCGGGGGGTGGTCCTAAGGGCTCGAGGATAGCCGGCATAGATTCTGACGTAGAGGCTATATTGGGCACGTTCGATTCAGAAGTACCGGAGCAGCGACGCTTTATGGCAGCTATGCAACAGCTGTTCTACTATTACGTCTGGCATGGACGATTGCCTGGCCCCGAAACCGGTCTAATAGCTGTAGGACAGGACTTGCTGCCGCACCACGGTTTGCCGGCTTGTGACATGCTCATCCAAGAGGATATTGTCCCCAGATACGCACATATCGACTAAGTCCAAGATTGCATAATTTGTAATGGTATTTTCACTTGTGTTTTATTAATTTTATGTTATGTGATTTTATCTTTGACTGCAGTTTATTGTGGCTTAGTCTAAGTAACATTTCATTAGCTCTTTTTGCACGTTTTTTTTTTATGTAATTTAGTTTTAAGTCAAGACTTGCCATTGAGCGATCTCCTACGAGGCTTTTGACTAAGGGACAACTGTCTGTAATTATGCGTAGTTAGTTTTTGTAGGCTTCGTTTTATTTGATAAAAGGCCTAAAATAGTTTGTAGTTTCATGAGATTTCAAAGTACAAATATGACATGATAATTTCGATTTTTTTTTATTGAAAATAATTATAGTGAATACTCAATAAAAGACTGATTGTAATGTATCTTTTGAACAGGTTTTAAAAGCAACCTTGATCTCCTATATACAAACTTGGCAGTGATAATAAAATGCTCATTCGTTTATGTGTAATATTGGTAGTTACCTGCATTTTTTTTGATAGAAGCATACCATTACTCTAAGCATAAACTTAGTTCTAAGATATTTGTGACGTAAAATTTGTATTTTTTTACTTTCCTAACAGCAGCTGCGTGTAGTCATAAAATATAAGTTGAAATTAACATGTTGAAATAATAATGTGATTTAATTGAAGTCTGATAATCCAAAGAGTGATTTCTTAAATAGCGTAGCCATAGAATTTAGACAGGACCTTGTGTGTTTACTTGTAAGTTTAAATATGTAAAACAGTATCCAAAGAACGAATATTTATATCTACAAGACTCAGAAAATCATGTAATCTGCGCCATCATTATTCGCCTCTATGGATATATAATAGTATTTGTTTTAGTGTGATATTTTAGATCTGTTCACTCATTTAATCCCCTCAATAAATGTTTGATATTATTATATAAGCTTAGTGTTAAATGCGTAGTCATTATATGCCGCTTCGTTTTGTAATTAGCATATCAGAAATAAATGTTTTAAGACTGGAAGCGTTATATTTATTGTATCTAAGTTCCAACACGACGTACGTGGAAAACACATAAAAGGTATTTTTCAAGTAGATATAGTATAAAAGAAGTAGCAATTTACCAAAAAATATTTATTCAAAAATGAACATTAAACTCAATTTCAGATATTGAAGACAAAAACGACATGCTCAAAATAAATAATAAATAAAAACGGTACAAAAATACGAACAATAACATGATTTTGTAATTTTTACAAAAATTCCAACGAGCAACATGAATTATTAAAATACTGTTAATAAATTAATGGTTTCTTTCTCTCAGTGGAGAAATTATTGTTTGTACATTTTCTTTCCCAACTTTATGGGACTTTCGAATGACAGATGGCGATTTTGGTTTGGCGTGCATTTGTTCCGTGTCCTTCTTCATTTTATCAAGCAACGAAGATTGCTTTGCCATATTCATACTCAATTCTTCATTTTCCTGGCGAAGAAGAGACAGTTCCACCACCAGTGATTGTTGATCTTGTATCTGAAAAATGTAATAGTAAGTTCATCTGCATTTCAATTAGCAGTTACAGAAGTGCGCTTCTGTAACTGCTTAAACACTATAGTTATAAAACTAGAAAAAAAAAAGATTTTAACCTGCTGCTGTAAACAGTGGTTCTCATTTTCCAGCCGTGATATTTCGGCAGCCGCTTGCGCCAGTAAAGCGCGAGATTGCTCGGCCGCTGCACTAGCCTGCCCCGCGTGCTCTGTTGCTAGCTCGCATAAAACTCGTTTCTTCTCCACCTGAAAGTCACTTATTATTAAAACCCAATTCTAGCTATACATTTGTAAGCGCACATGTAAAGCAAAGAAATATACCTCTTCACGTAACAATTTAATTTGAGAATTAGATTCTTTTTTAATCAATTCCACATCTTCAATTAATTCATTTTTTATAGATCCCAGTTCACGATAAGCTTCTTTCTCAACATTCTGTAAGCTTTCAATCAAAGACACATTATGTTCCATTATACGATTATGTTCTTTGGCTAGTGCTGCCTTCGATTTAAGTATGTTCACTAAAGCCTCTTTATATTCATTGCATTCCAATATGGCATTGTTTAAAGTGTTCTTATAAGAAGAGAGCTCTTCTTCTAAGAGTTGTTTTGAATCTGTCAAAGTCTGCACTTGGTTTTCCAAATGCTCCAATTCATTATCAGATTCCCGTAAGCGCATTGTTAGTACTTGGACGATATCGCGAGTTACAGATAGCGACATTTCAAATTTGTTCTTCTCCTTTATAGTTTTATCAATATCAACTGTTAGTTTATTAATTTCATTTTCGAAATTAATGAATTTAAGTCTACTCTCTTCTTTTAATGCTTCAAGCTCTTTAGCCGTATTAGATTTTTCATTTCTTAGTGCCTCGTTTTCATCTTTTAAATTTTGAAATTCCTTCAGCAAAGAATTATATTGACCTTCAGTTAAAGATATAGTATTTTTGAGTTCTTTAGTCTCATTATGTAAATCAAGTATTTTTTTCTGTTGCTGTTCCCATGAATCTTGAATGCTCCTGCTCCGTTCCTCAAACTGAATTTCACATAGTTTTAATTTCTCGCAAGTGGCTTCATCAATTTGCTCTAATTTGGCTTGCATTTCTTTCTCTTTTTCACTCAGCTGTAGTTGTAAATCATTGATTTTCTCATCTTTTTCTCGACATAATTCATTCTTGATACATTCTAGAGCTTTATTAAATTTTATCTTTGTGTTTTCTTGTTCCATCTTACATTTGCTTATAATATTTTGTTTTTCTTCTTCCATTTTTGATTTTAGTGTTTCCAATTCTAGTTTGTATTCCCTTCTAATGCTTTCATTAGCTTCCAGAGCTAAAGCATGGTGACCTTTAACCATTTCCAACCTTTGTTTTGTTTCTTCCAAACAAGATTCTTTGTCTGTTAGTTTTTTCTGCAAATCTGTACAAAGACTATCTCTAATAGTTATCAATTCTTCTAAAGAAGCTAGTTCCAATTGTTTTTGATTCACTTCATGCCCCAATACACAACATTGTTGCTCTAAGTCAGATATCTGTTTCTTCAGATTATTATGAATATCTTTATTTTCAGTTTCTTCTTCACCTTCCAATGAAATATTATTTAATTTTTTTACAAGCACTTCTAAATTTATATCTCCATCGGTAACTTGTTTAAGAACTTTTTTCAGACTGCATATATCATTTTTGAGATCTTCAATTTGCTTATTGTATTCTAGTATGGTGTAGTCTTTGTTCCTGAAAACATAATAGGAATTGAAAAATATTCACTTTTCTATGTGTAGATTTGGAAAAATTAATCAAAATCAAAAATTACAAACCTTATTTCAGCTTCCTGAGCTTTAATAAGATCATCTTGTAATTTTACACTGTTTCCTTTGGTAATGTTTTTGGCTTCTAATTTTTGGGGGGCAGATTTTTGTGTGCTTATGCATTTTGTTGCTGGTTTTATTGGCTTTGGCTATAAAACAAACAACAATTAAATTTATGATATAAATAAAATAACAATAACAATCCATTTAGGTGTTTAACACTTACAGTCACAAAAGACTTAACACTATGAATAGAGCTACTGCACTGAGAAAGTGTGTCTGCATTCTTCTTAGGAGTTGAAAGTGGTATTATAGGTTTGACAATAGTTTTCTTCGCTGACTTCTCCTCCGGCTTAGGTATTAATTTTGGCTTACTCTTGACCTGAGCTGAAAGTAACATGCAGAATGTAATTTAGGATAAAAGTTTGTAGACTTAAAGTTATTGTTATAGGGACAATACAATGACCAGCCACCACATTAGTATTAATATTTACAATATTCATACCACTCATAGAACTTAGCCAACATTGTCTAAAATATAAATGCATACCTGTAACGACAGGACAAACATATATTTATAATAAAAATTGGGTATTATTTCTTTGACTACAATATCAATGATTTCTGTTGAATTCATAGTAAGAACGTGTTTAACATTTACTTACCAAGCGGTTCAAATCGTTTAGCTTTTGAAAACATCGCTGTTTCTTTTAAACGTACATGAATTAAATATTAATTTGAAATTGAAACAGTAACTGTGCAGCTGAACTCCTTCACAGTTCACACTTCACAACTGAATGCGCGCGAATATGGTGCCTATTGTTTTGGCTGGCTTTGATCAAAAAACCGTTACAGTTCGTTCCTTTGCACGAGTTTCATGTCACAGACGTTTTATTTTATAACATAGATAATAAAATAATATCGTGAAATTTAATTGTATATTAAGTTAATACCCTATCGACGATTACATTTACTTATTGTTTTTGGAGGATTTATGCACAAAAACATAATTAAATAAAAATTATGGACTAAAAAAACACGGCTGACACATTCCTCAATTGTAAAATTCTCTTCTCTCTAACTAATCTAAAAAAAAACAAGGTTTCCCAAGCTAAGGAATTTTGGGTACTTTTTATGACATAAAAATTTGAAGTCATTTATATTTATACATGATAATCATATGGATAAAACATTCATTAGGATTTTATTATTTATTATTATATATTTTGCTATTATTTCTTTTTATTATTTTTAACAGATTAGTAAGTGGTAATCCATTACTACTAAACAATTGCATTGCATGCAATAAGTGATTGTTCTTTCCAATATTTAAATTGACGAAACAAATAGTTAAAAGTAATTGGAAATTAAAAACCAAATTACATAATTATATTTTATTCAATGTATAGATAATAATTACATAGATGGTGGTGGGGGTGGCACTGGCATCAGAGGTGGTGGTGGGGGTACCCCCATCATAGGCGCCCCAGGAGGTGGAGGCAGACCAATTCCATGATTTTCCCACATTTTTGGAGGAGGAGGTGGCATTCTTAAGGGCTCTAACTTAAATGCAAATTGCAAGAAGAATTGCTTTGTATCCTTATTCCAATGAGTCCAAAACTTGGAATCATGTTTTTCCACTTCCCTACTTGGCACCTTAAATGCTATAGTCTCATAAGGTTCTGCAGCAAACAACAAATACTGCCATCTACGATCTGGAGGTTCAATTTTTTGTTCATATGCAGACATAAAGCGATGTCGTGGCTGTACACCTTCAGAGATTTCTAAAAAAAAAAGAAACAAGTTATATTCTAATCATCATTATATAATTATGTATATAGAAATTTATGTATCTTCAGCTAAAAATCTCCTGGACATTGCAATTTCTACTATGCAGATTGTCAATGTAAGCCGTAATATTTATTAAATACCAGGGTAGTCAACTTGAAACAGTAAACTTTGTTGGCCATTGTCAGGGTCCTTTTGTTTAGTTACTCTATAACCAGGTCGTCCTATTTTAACAAATTTCTTTGGTTCAATTCTAGGTTTTTCTGGTGCCAGCTGCTGTGGGGCTTCTTTTGCCTCTTTAGCAGCTCTTCGAGCAAGATTCGCTTGATGTTTCTTTCCCTGAGTATGAGCTAAATAGCTTCCTTCATTATTGTGAAGAGTAAGGCATAATTTGCACTCATAAGAACCTGAAACAAACAAGTTATTTTAATGAAAACCTGTATATTGTGTATATTTTTTTGTTATTTAAAAATCGAAAAGAAATTGAAAACATTTTCGACTCGAGCAGGTCTTGAACCGGCATCGTCAGCGTTCCGTGCTGTTGCTCCACCAATTGAGCTACCGAGTCCTACACCTCATCGTCGATTTTTTTCAACTTATTGAAACATGCACCTATCGCGCAATTTCAACCTTAACACTTGCGAATTAAGGTTCAACGTCTTATGCTTTGCAGCTTAAGAAATCATTGAAGATGAAATTACTAAAATTTAATTATTTTCGATTTTTTTTTAATTATATAGTGCCTTCATGTGCAATATATGTAAAAAATAATAAAGTTTTCAAATATATTTTTTTGTGTTATAGGAATAATATGACAACAAACCTAAATGGTTTTTCATAAAATAAGGATCCTTATTCAAATCGATTGTTTCCAAAGCAAGTTGGCGAAGACGTTCGCGGCGATCCCGGTTGCTTTCAGACCATGATGCGACGCCACCACCCCCTGTTTTTCCTCCAGGCCGGTTTTGAAAATCCATTTCTTTAACTTTTTACGTTATCTCCGTACCCTAATTGCAATAATGATAAATTTCAGAGTCTCAACACATTTTCAAATGCTTTAACGCTTGCTTAGTTTCATTAGTTCTTTAATGCTTCCTTGTAGGTGTTGGAATTTGAGTTTTGACATTTGACAACTGAGATGGTGAAACCCAGTGATGCCTATTGCTTTCAATCGTAGTACAGACTATATCCAATAGTCAGGGTAATAATAGGTATATAAAACAAATTATGTATCTCATTAAGAATTAAGATGCACTTGAAAGAGAGAGGAGGAGTGAGAACCTGGGAATATTAAAAGGTTTCTGAATATTATGTAATATAAAGATCGACATCAGTTATGCACACTGTGGATACTACGATCGATTAATGAACGGGATAGAGGATACTACCTATTAGATATTTATTATCTTTGGCAAATGTCAAAAAATGTCTGCCATTGAAAGTTGTTCGTCTGTCACAGTCTTTTTATTTGTCAAAAGTAGCCGAAGGTACTATTTTTAAATTAAAACTTTTATTTATTTCGAAAATCATGGAATTAAAGTGAAAAAACTTAAATAATCATTAAGTGTAGAGCTCGTTAGAATATTGTCGAATATATATTTTTGAAATATACTGTGTTGTGCTGTTTATTGAAGTTAACCTCGAAACTTTCGTGTTTTGCAGGTAGTGGTTTCAAGATGTTGATGCCAAAACAAAATCGTGTTGCTATTTACGAGTACCTCTTCAAAGAGGGTGTCATGGTAGCCAAGAAAGATTACCATGCACCTAAACATCCCGACTTGGAAAAAATTCCTAACCTTCAGGTTATCAAAGCTATGCAATCATTAAAATCCAGAGGTTATGTCAAAGAACAGTTTGCCTGGAGACATTTCTACTGGTAAGCTTATATTTAATATCTTAAGTTTAAAAGTAACAACCAAATATATCTTCAATCTTTAAATAAAGTCACTGTAGAAAGTTATTGTAAACAAGACTCGACATTATCAAAGCTTTAAATTTATTTAAAAAAAATTAATGACCTTTAAATTAAAGAAGTGTTGTTAAGAATAATAATAGATTTTATTTTCTTATTTATTGATTTGTTCCAATGTTCTAGTTTTTTAAATATTTCCTCTACATTTAGAAATGTAATAAATGCGCGTATTGCTTTTTAGGTACCTAACAAATGAAGGTATTGAGTACCTTAGAATTTTCCTCCATCTACCACCTGAAATTGTACCAGCAACTCTGAAACGATCAGTGAGGACTGAAACAGTCCGCCGTGGAGCTGTAGGCCGCCCAGATGCTCCTGCACGCTCTAATGAAGACAGATCAGCCTACCGTCGTGCTCCAACAACACCTGGTGCTCCTCATGACAAGAAGGCTGATGTTGGTCCTGGTTCAGCTGATGTTGAATTTGTAAGTTTATTTTGAATATGAGCATATGTATAATAACTTAAATGAAATTTCAATTCTAAATTAAATCCTCCATATTATTTACTTATATTATTACATTTATTTCACTTATGAAATTTTGGCACATTGGCAGAAAATGAACAAATTCTGTTTTTAATCATGTAGATGATGTAGTTTTGAGTAAATATCTGAGGTGGGAACAAAATTATTACATTTTAGGCTTTAGGCAAATTGTACTTAAGCATAAACAATAATATAAGTAAATATAGGCAAGGAGGTACACCAATTGAATTAGAATTCTTTGTGACTCATTTGGTCTACTCTGTTATATTTTGGGGAGTCTATTTATTTAATAGATAAGAAGACCATTTCTCTGTGTATTATATAAGTTGCCTTTATGATTTGGGACTATGGATGTGTCGAATAATGTATATCTAGTTACCAGTATTTTTTGTTACAGAGAGGCGGATATGGACGTGGCAGGCCTGCACCTTAATTTAAGTTATAATAAATAATTATACATACCGACCTTGTTTCAATAACCAGACTAGCATTCCAATTAAAAGTCAGGTAACTTATAAATATGTACCTCAAAGATATTAAAGAAAATTATAGAGGGTTTTGTACATGCAGCAAAAGACACCAATAATATAACAAAATTGTTGACATTACATAAACTACTCCACCAGATTTATTGAAATATTAATTATGTACTCAAAAAGATTTATAGAAACAATTCTTACAATTATAATAACATTGTTCATATTTTTTTGAAGTTATGATGTATTTTGGTCTGGCCTGTCAATACTAACCTGTGTTTGCGGTTATACTAAGAATGCCACAAGAGGGGATTGTTATGATAAAAAAACATTTAATATGATTTGAATCTATATGCTATTCAAAAAGTATTTAAACAAAGAATAATAATTTATTGAAACCCAATCTACATAACTTCAGTTACATTGCTACTGATAATTGTAATTTATTCTGCATAGACTGGGGGTGGGGGTGGCTTGGGGAATTCACCAAGTTGGTCAATGTAATATAGGTGAGCGCGGTATGGTTTCAGCTCCCATGGTACCTGATCCTCCATATGGGTTAGAGTAACACCAAGATCTTCAAGTGTGGGCAAGTTGTGGTCTACAACGTCTGTGGTGCATTCCTGTAAGACACATTTAAGGTATGAAGGAAAACAAATGTCAATAAAAGTTAAATAACAAGAAACTAGTCAGTATTAGTATTATTTTCTTTCGGGGATGCCTGTGGTGGGGTGATCAGTCCATGTTATCAGTTGACCATTTCTTTCACCCATTCCCCCTTTAACTAGTTAGTAAAATTAAAAGTTAATATAAAAGATGCACATGATGTACCTTTTCTAGACCTTCCCAATGTAGATTACCATATGGATATGCTGGCGAGAGTTTATTAGCCAACATCACTTTGAGTGGGAATAAGATAGGATCATATTTCATATCATAATGAGCAAATCCCCACTTTTCATCCTTACGCATTAAACGGTAGAACCACACAACAAGGTCCTTCCAAAGGTATCTCTTAGGGCTGAAACAATTTAACAATTTAAAAAAAAAACGGCAAAAGAGGCAGAAACAATAGACCTCAGCGGTCTAAGCATTTGTTATACATTTGTTCATTCTTACCCAACAGCTTGATAAACTTGACATCTAGTGTCTGGATCGCGTGCAGCATTAATGATGGCTTGTGCCACATCCGAAACAAAGACTGGCTGTTTGATGGTAGCCTCACCATTTTTGTACAAGGGCAAAAAGTGCGAGTGGCGTCTCCAAATTGATGCAATGCTCCTAAAATTTTTTTATATGTATGTATTAGGAAGGCATGTGAAGTTAAGTAGGTTGCTGTGAAAATATAAATAAGCCATGACCAACAAAAAGCCAGAATTGATATAATTTTCATGAAGCTACATGTGCCTTTGTTGTGAATTTTTTTTCATTTATACCTTATTTTTTGCTTAAAATATGCACTTTTAAAACGTATTGATATGGTAGAAAATTTAAGTAAAAGAGTTCAAAGCTACAAAATGTTAAAAAGGTTAAAAAGCATTATTTTTCATAGTATAGAAATAATTTTATTTTAATTAATTGTTTCTTTTACTACATAATTTGTAATAATGAGTAAATTTAGACCTTAAGAATCTGTCTTCAGATCCGTAGATGTCGGAAGCACGAATGATAGTAGCAGTTGGAAACTCCTCTTTGACAGCACATTCACCCAAAAATTTGCTTATTTTGTACAAAGAAGGGCCCTTCATCACAAGTGGCTTCGGATTACGCTCAGCATTCAGATATGACAGATGAATCAATCTTTCAACACCCATCTCACGGCAAATTCTAAAGATTCGATTTTTTTTTATATATTAGTTTGTATTGTTTAAAATTAAACCCCATTTCTTATATAAGAAAAATATAAAGCATACCTTGCAATACGCCTTGGTCCCTCGACGTGGACATCCGTGAATTTGAAGTTCTTGGTTTCATAATCACGACCAACCAGATTGATAACAACATTGGAGTACTGTACAGCTCTAGCAATAGATTCTTCATCCCGAATATCAAATGGCGTGAAGAGAACTTGACCAAGATCTCCACATACCTTCAATCTCGCTGCATCATAGAAGTCACCTCTATATGGCAAAATCATCTAAAACACATAATTTTGGCAATTCAGTAAAAACCTAATAGTCTGAGATAGATAAGAAAGGTATTTAAGTGTTTGTCTATAAGGTTCAATGTCTTTACTTCATATGATGATGATGATGATCTCCCAATTCCAAACTTACTTGAGTTCCAATTTTGCCTAATTTGTTGCAGACATAGCGACCAACAAAGCCAGTACAACCAAATACAGTTGCTACAATTCCATTAAAGCTGCTACGACCACCAGTTCCTCTTTTGTAGGCAGCTAGGTTAAGTTTCGCATCAGAGCTATAGGATGAGGTTTTGATGTAAATGACGCTGATGGACCCATTTTTAGCTGAAATTACATCAAAACTTTACGTTCTCCTTCTTTAGAAAACATTACCATAAACTAGTTTATTATTGATATGACGAATTACATAATATGAAAGCTGAATAATAGGAAGAAGTAGAATAATTAAATGTACTAACGGACTATTTTGGACGCCAATTGGCCTTTTAAAGCTATTGCAGCCATTTAGGGCCCAGGGATATTATAGTATCAATTAATTTGCTATGCGAAATGCAAAAATTTCAGAAATCATCAGCCATCACAATTTAATATTTTCATGTTGACATAAAAGTCAATGTCATTTGACGTTTTAAATATCGTTCCGCAGTTAATCGTCATGTTTAGACAAACTAGCTCAACACATATTTCCTCCTACATCTGTGGTAAGATGTAAACTTTTAAAGCCACTTAAGTCATAATAAACATTTACTTGCGTACCAACTACTAAGTCTAAATGTGAATATTTTGTATTTATTAGTTAATTACATTAATTGTTACATACCTATAATTTATAGTTAGGTATTTGGTGGTCATCAGTGATTCAGCTACATATTTGTTTCGGCGTTAGAAAACTCTAATATATCGAAATGGATGAAAATGAAATCTCAATAATAGGCAGCAAGGATTATGAAGAAGTTTCGAAAACGTTAAATTCGTTTATTAAGAACGTACGTATACCGTGTTATTATTATTCCATATCTCCTAATAGGCTATCCAAATTTACTTTTCGAAGCTGATTACAGATTACCATTAGTTTTTCATCAAAATTTCAGAATGAGGACAAATTTGCCTTTCCCTATTTATCTGAGAGGAACATGCGTATATCTTTATGGGCGGCCCTTTTTGAACACCTCCAGGATAAATCGGCTACATCAGTACATACAGCCTGTTTATCAGCATTAAGGATATTAAGGTACTCTAATTTTAAAATTTATTTATAGATTTTAGCATTCTCTTAGTGTGTTTAAATTATTATAAAAGTGTGTTCTTTATGCATGTGTATGCACTCAGTACCGAAGGCAGTAAATAATTTACAGTTTGTTAGCAGTTAATGACCTACCTAAACAACCATGAATTACGATTAAGTCTGCTATTCCACTTTGGTTTAAACTAAACTAAACCAACCAGTGGTGGACAATGAATTTTTTGAAACAAGTTATTGAAATTATCTTAATGTAAATTGTATGTAAAAAATGGTAATGATAATATTATCTTGTGATTTATATATTTGTGGATTAATAGTTAAATATGTTTTTAGTCGTGATAAAAGTGAAGTAGAAAATTTAGTATGTGAAAGATGGATGATTACACTAATTGAAAAAGCTGGTCTGTATAATTTTATTGACATAAGCGAAGATGTCACTGATAACGTAATACCTGGTAAAGAGATAGCTGTTGAAGCTATGAAGTGTTTATGCAATGTTGCTTTTAATAGCGAAGTTGCCAGAGCATTATGTGCACATACCAGTATTGGACAGGGCCTAGTGGCCAGATTACGATCCTATAATGAAATACCATACAAAGAAGATATAATGCTTTTTGATATGAAGCTCTTATTTATATTGACTGCACTACGACAAGACATAAGGTGTAAAATTAAAAATGAGCTGCATGGAATGGTTTATTTAATTAATTGCTTAAATGACCTTGTTTTGGAAGCAACTGAGAAGCGAATAGAAGCTGCAGGCGTAGATCAGATACAGCAAGTGGTTCTTAGTGTAAGTTAATCTTTTATCTTCAAAAAAATTGTTTTACCTTTTGGATACTGTCTATAGTTTACGTGAGTAGTACACATTTAAATAAAAGACTTTAACGGCTTAAAACGCGATATATTAGTTAAACTTATTTGAAAATGATTTTGATGCTTTGCAGCATAAATATACATAAATAAGTTTAACTATCGCGATATTATTGTTATCGCGTTTTAAACGGTTAAAGTGTTTTATTTCAATACCATTTAGATTTTTATTCCAGTCTGCTTCATTTGTTTGACAAATAAAAATTATTAAAGGCGGTTTTTTTTTTAAATTGGTGAACAATTTATGTTAGCTTCTTGTTGAATTAAGATCTTTCCTATTTTTAAAGCATTTTTGTAAATTATTTGCTTCTTGCAATTAAACTATTAGTTGAGTCTTTTTATTTTATTTTGAAATTTAACTAACTCATAAACTTTTTGCTATTATATTATAGGATAAACAAGAGGCAATAGCTTGTGAAATTCTGAAGACACAATTTAACATGATGTACCACTCTGGTCCTGATGAGTCTATTAGTGCAGAGGAAGAAGCCCTATGTTTAAAACTGATGCCAATTCTTACAACTTTGCTGATGGCTGAAACCTCTACTTGGGATAAATTGACAGAGTTACATAGTAACATTGCTAATTTATTAACAAGGTTCGTTAAATACTGTCTGTCTTTTATGCAAGTAGTATATGTTTAAATAAAAAACCTTTAAACGTTTTAAAACGCATTGTTTGTTATATAATTATAGTCACCCCGTGACCACGGCTGCTGCAAGGCATCTAAAATAGGGCCATAGTTAAAGTAATTTAACTTATATACATCGCTATACCGTTAAAGTGTTTTATTTAAAAGTTTAGGTAACCTTAAAAACATTTTGGCAGGTTTCAAGTTGCCCAAGAGCAGAACAGCGAAATTAAGAAAATATATATTACATACTTTCTTTAACACAATAAGGATTTACCTTATAAGCTCTTTACTTAGTTTTTGGTTTGAATAAGTCGAATTTTTCAGTGTGCCACCGGAATTTTACCAATACCTATCCCCAGAGTGCAGTGAAGGAGAGGCATTGAACTATGTATATGATGGCAAAAATATGGAAGCAGTGCATGCGCTTCTACAACTTCTGCAGCACAGGCTTACTATAACAATGGTAAGTTTGACACTATGACCCTCCATATACACTGATATCAACAAAAACAATCACTTTGTATGTTAATAACCTTATTTTGTACTTGTTCGTTTCCTTTATAACTTCTTTGTACAATACATATGTACATATACATACTATAGTAAGAGTCATTTATCATTTTAAATAAAAAATTGTAAATTAAGATCGATGTAAAATTGCCCTTTTCAATAAACATAGTATATGTAAATTTCACCTACCTTAAAATCTGTGTTATAATGTCCTGATGGTGTGCACTACCATTCACATTTAGAGGTCATATTTTTTTATTACATAAATGTCTCTTAAAGATAGGGCAAATCCGAAGCACAAGCCTGGAGTAAGCCTACGAATAAATTGAGTAATTAGAATCACTGCAACAAATAAAATTAACCTAATTATTACCACTTATTAGCCTCTGAAAAAGACGGCATCTAAACAAAATGTGCTGTCGACCTATTTTGGCTTTGAATATTCGCAAATCCACAGACTGAAACCAACACGCTATTACACTTCAAGGCTTCATCATGTGTAGACTGTGTTTCGTGACTTGGACGGATTTCGATATTCCTATCGCCCATTTTATATCCAGATTTCCAACATCTTTCCGAAAAAGTATAAATTAATTAGAAACATGTTGAACCCAATGGGGATCGAACCCACGATTTATTGATCGATACATTGCTACAATTACAGTAACCAATCTTGTGTATAAAATTTCTCTTCCAGAGCACAGGCAACCAATACGAGAATCTATCTCCAATACTCACTGTACTGAACAAGAGTGCTCGAAACGTCCGCGCGCATCGCAAGTACTTGCGGCAAACTGTATTACCACCACTGCGAGATGTCTCCAGACCCCCCGAGCAAGGAAATACACTTCGCAACCAACTCTGCAGGCTTTTGACAACACCTGTAACGTCTGTCAGGGATCTAGTGGCTGAGTTCCTTTTTATACTATGCAAAGAGAAAGGTAAGATTATTTGTACTAAATACAAAATGTTATATGATTTATTATATAATAGTTGTTCCTGTGACTTAGTCTGTGTGGGAAAATTCCCCTCAGCTTTACCTCACATCGTTCGAATACAAAAGTAGTTCATGAGATTAGCGCGTTCAAACCAACAAACTTTTAATCTTTATAATTATACTATTAATATAGATGTGAACATATTTCCTTTTAGTGGGCCGTATGGTGAAGTACACAGGTTTTGGCAACGCGGCGGGTCACTTGGCCCAGAAAGGATTGATGTGTGGCGGCCGCGGACCCATTCAGTACTCGTCCAGCAGTGAAGACTCTGACACCGAGGAATATTTAGAAGCTCAACCCCACATTGATCCAGTAGTGGGTTGCACAAGACCACCTAGGATTAACCCATTTGAGAATATGACTGAGGAACAGGTAAGATATTATATGACATACTAGCTGACGCGGCAAATGTTCTTTTGCCATAGACTACCATAAAACAGTTGTTTTTAATTATTTTAAAAGAGACATATTATATATAGAGTATACCCACTGTCGCAAACTTTTTTAGATTTAAAAGGAATAATTCCTTCGTACATATAGTATGTACGGTTTAAAATAAGAAAAAAATTATTTAATTTAAACCGATTTCGCCGCGCACGCAACGGAAACCCTCAAAGATGAATAATTTTCCCCGTCTTTTCCACATTTTCCACGTTCCTTCGCTCCTATTGTTCGCAGACTGATTTTTTATAGCCTTCCTCGATACATGGTCCAAGCAACACAAAAATAACCGTATTCATATTAATTCGTACCAGTACTTACCTAGATTGGCGCGAACGAACATACTCTTCAGCTTTATAATATTAGATTAGCTTCAATGTGAACTTAATAGTTCTTCAGGTGGACTTATTAGTGCCTTATAATTAATATGTTAAGAAAATAGTGACATTGTAACTAGTAAGTGTATTGTGTTAGTTATATAGAAAAGATTAAATAAAAAAAATATAATTTTTAAGTAAGTGCCAAGTAAAGTTTTTTAGCCAGAACTTAGATACATAATATTTAAATAGTTTTGGTACCTTTGTACCATATTACTGTTTTTCGGGCTGTTAGGCCGACGTACCGAAACTCGAAAAACATTGATATACTGATGGCCGTGAACGTCTTATACAATTTAGTTATTTTGATAGTTAGGTATTGATAATTTTAATATCAGTATTATTTTACTTAATTCGTAAATGTTAACGTGTACCTATGCTCTTTGGACTATCAAGCGTTTTTCTTTAATAGTCGTAATGCTTTAAAAATCGAAAATAAATTGAAAAATTTTCGACTCGGCAGCACTTGAACCGGCATCGTCAGCATTTCGTGCTATTGCTCTAACAACTGACTCGGTAGGTCAGTTCGTGGTCAGAATCGAATTTTTTATCAATTTTCTTTCGATTTTTTAATAATGTAGTGACATCATGTGCAGTATGCATTGACAGCAGAACTATAAACAAGATTAATTTCACAGAAGGAATATGAAGCGATGAAGCTAGTGAACTTATTCGACAAGATGTTGTCAGAGGGTGTGGTGAAACCGGCCACCATCGGCCCGGATGGAAAACCCAAGCCCGTTGAACACGTTCTCGAGATGAGAGAAAACCCGCCGAACAGATCACAATCCTAGATTAGAAGAGTGATAGTTCTTTAAAAATCCACTTAGTAAATTTGGCTGGCTGGTTGACCAGTCGCTTTATAAAAAGTTTCATTTACAATAGCATTGTCTCTTTCCCACAATCTCATATGAGGAACAAGGTTGGAAAATTTTATTGACAACGTGCCAGTCGCTGTTTCCTGAAATAAAGTTTATTTAACTTGTTTAGTTAAATAAACTATATTTTGCAAGACGTTTGTGCAATATAGAGTCTTTAATATTTGAATAAAACACATTTAATGGTTTTAAACGCGAAATATATTACTTAACTTACAATAGGGAGAAGTCACCCCTGCTGTGACTTGCAAAGAAATCGGAAACGTCGAGTCGTAGCTGAAATAAGAAGGTAACTAATATATTACGCGTTTTAAACCGTTAAAAGTGTCATTTAAATGTGTACTACTCGCGTAAATTACATACAGTCTATAATATTTTGACATTTCATGTGTTATTATTAATAAGAGTACAATAAGGCTGTGTAATCTAAAGAAACGTTTTACTGCTGCATAAATAAGAACGATTAGAAGTTAATAATTTTCAAAGATTTTAATATAGAGTAAATAGAAATAAATTACAATACTAGGGAACCGACCGGTTTTGGTTGTTAAAGTGAAAGTAGTGCATTGAAAGTCTTTTATTCGTAACTCTTGTTTGAATATTTTTGCCTTCATTTAATTGATTCATTGATCCAAAGCCAAAAAAAGGTCGACAACGCATCTAGTCTAGATGTTATACCTTCCGTCGTGAACCTCATGCTTGTCTGTCTTCCTCTAGATTAAAAAAAAAGATCTCGGCTCTTATTAAAAAAAAAGTGTGAAAGCCCGTTTCCCCCTCGTGGGGCACGGGGCGAACACATTTCTGTGTCCGTTTCACTGATCCGTTCTTGAACAGGCAAGTAGTTGATCAGACTTCTGTGCCCTGCCTGACCGAAACAATTTTATGTTTCCCCGGGATTCGAACCCAGAACTCGCGCTTAACGCAATGCTAGGCAATACATATAACCAATTGGCTACAGAAGCGGTCGGCTATTATTATTTACACATTATAATTTCAATTACAAAATAATACATACATTTACTTCTTGTCATCATGCCTATTGACCTATGTCTATGCGCACAGAATATATCCATCCCTTATTTTTAGTTAAAACTCAAGTATTTTCATTTAGTTAGACTTTGAAAAGATTTTTATGTAGTATATTCTTTATCTAGCCATAGATAATAATTATAAGATAATTTATTGGTCTATATAGTAAGTAATCAATTTGTATCTAGATTTAAATCTTTACTCTAAACAAATAGTACATTGTATTTATTAATTAATTAATAAACGTTATACAATTTAATGTTTTTTATTTTGTAACTTTAATATATTAATGGTTAAAATAAATCTGCGCCTACGCACGTTTTTAGCAATGTATGGCTAATAAGCAGGTCGTGGGTTCGATCTCCATGGGTCTAACATGTTTCTTAATAATTTATAATCTTTCTGAAACATATCGAATTTCCGGCCGAACAAACAGTGAGCGTTTCGGTTTCAGGCTGTAGATTTCCGATTAACATCCAAAATAGGCCGGTAGCGCATCTTGTTGGGATCTATGGCTGGGATGATCTCACCTTGCATTAAGTGAATCATATCAATCATACTCATCTATCATAAAGCAAGTTACAATATACATAAAAAAGGGATCAAAAAATATATATAAAAAGGTTAGTAAACGCAACGCTGACTTCGTTTGCATAATTCTAATGCTGTGGATTTTCCTCGTGTAATATAAAAGAGAAAAGTGTTGAATTAAAGAAACGCTCCACAAAAGGAAATATTTCCACGTTTTTGATGTGTGCCACATGAATAGGGCTATAAGTGCCATCGTGGTTGACCCGCGCAGGCACTAGCGAGGTCAAAAGTGACCTAATTCTATACAGCAACTTCAGGCACTGGGCAACTTAATTAATTTTGATAGAGAATGATTTTACATAACCTTACTGCAATTGATTACGCTAGGAATCATTTAGAATATTTCCGAGTGTACGAATAAAAAAAAATAAACACAAGAATTAGTATAAATACAATTTTATTACTTTAGATATGATATTTAAGGTATTAGTCGTATTGTTTCGTTGTGTAGTAAGTAAGTAATATATAAATACATATTAGATTTTAGAAAACCTTATAGCCGGAAGCTTCTAAGTTTTATTTTATACTTCGGCTTAGTACGCGTTTAATTAAGACGATTCTAATGGTTTCAAACGGAAAATACATTAGTTAACTTACTTGAAAGTTATTTTAACTCCTGCCCGACGTTTTGAATGCTTTTTGTAAATAAGGTAATAGTAATGTAATATAAGGCGCAATAATAAACATATTTCGCGTTTTAAACCGTTAAAAAGTTTGGTTTAACCTTCCTAACGTACTTTTACGTTCCTCTAAAGACTGTTTGCTTCTCTGTTATTCACGAGCTTAGCCTTTTATGAAGGACTGGAAATCTATGAAAGGTAAATAAATCCAGCCCCTGCCTGTAAATATCAGGGGGTGAAACCGCAGTACCGTGGCGCGAGTGTAACTGTAAGGGTGTCTGCGCGGCCAATACCATAACAAAGAAATTCAATTATCCTTTGTTAATTAAATTGAACTATACCGAAGCGTAAGCTCTTCAAAATCAATTTGAGGACAATGAAATGAAATTTAAATTGAAAATAGTGTTTTGTCTGTATTTATGGATTGATACCTTTTGTGCACCTGAAAAATGAAAATCTAAAAGTCGTATTTTGGTTAGATTTCATTGTGTATTTTGTTTTAATTATAAGTTTTGTCTTGTAAAGACGGAGGAAGTATTTTTTGTGAAGGACACGAATGAAATACTTTTATTATGTATGTCCGGTAAACAATGATTTGTGTTAGTTTTTTTTCATTTTTATTTTATTCGTGATTAATTTAATTAAATTTAATAATTAAATTTATGAAGAGTAATTTGAATTTTGTAATAAATAGGGAATTAATGCTATTATTTGGTACCTAGTTTTTATCATTACTACGTGTGTTGGTTCGGCGCCCTTAATACTAACCGGATGTAGGCTACGTAGTAATTATATATACGTACTTAATAAATTTTCTTCTTTTTGTTTATTTATAACTAACGCCAACGAATTCCTTGTTTTAGATATCTTTGAGTAGAGCAATAATAAGCAGACAAAATGTATTTAGTGTCGTGCATTTCAATTTTGATGGTAAACTCCGTTTTTACGGAATTGTGTGAAAGGGCTCCACCAAATGCTCAACCCTCTGACTCCCACTACAAACTGTCTGTAGCCGGGGATCCGGATTTATTTCTGCCAGGAGAGCTATATTCAGGTAAGTTCACCACCATTTCACTATGAGTAAATGCGCTTCGCTGAAAACCTCGTTTTTTATTGGTTTAATTTGATGTTCAGGTCAACTGTATTGTGCACATTATGGTACTATTAAAATTAAAAATCGATTTTAAATTTCAAGTAAAAAGGACAGCAGCGCGGAACGCGATGGATGCCGGTTCCAGTCCCACCCGTGACGTTATTTCCATTGTATTGTAGAGTTCAGTAGTTTCGGAGATTAATTGGGACAAACATACAGTTAAAATGTATTGTTTGATAAAAACATAATTAAGCGTTTGAGGTTAAAACGTCTGATGGTTTTTGGTGTACTGCATGAAAATATATCGCATTCAAAACCGTTACAGCAAGATGCGATCATCAATTCACAAAAACCATTCAAGAAATATTTTTTGAATTTTCACGCTTCTGTAAAAGAAAAGCAAGTTGTTTTGAATACTAATTCGGGCTATTAGGCACAGCGAATTTATTAAAGTTAGGCGAAGCACTAGAGTTTTTTCAAACTTATTGAGAATTTTTACTGATGCCAGAATTAACTTTGAACGGTTTAAATTTACTGCTAAAATTATTTCGTAAACGCGCATTAAAATATATTTAAGGTTAAAATATTTTAGGTTTTTTTAAGTACTAGGTACGCTAAAGTTTAATAAGTTTTTATAAAGGACAACAATGGGTGTAATATAACCGGGTGTTACCGGGTGAAGTAAATTAGATAAAAATTGGACAAATTCTGAACTATTGATCTGTAATTATAGAGTTAGTTGAGAAAAACGGAAGCCTATTTAAAAAAATTACAAAAAATATTTGTTAACGAAATAAAACATCTTTAACGGTTTAAAGCGAAAGCGAAATATATTTGTTACTTATTTACATTTTTTCTAACTACGGTCCGACGTTTTGATTGCTCAAATATGTTAAGTAATATATTTCTCGTTTTAAACAGTTAAGAGTGTTACAATACTAGATTTTACATTTTCTCTTTGAATACTTTCCACTGCTGAGATTCGAATAGCGCTCACCCATTTATTCTACTGGAGTATTATAGTTCATATTTCATTTGGTTTCCATTTTTAGTTTACGCACAATTCTTACTGAAAGCATGTAATGGTTGTGCTGAAGAGACTTTGAACAACCGAAGATCAAACCAGACCTCTTAAGAAGTGGAACTTATACCAACTTAAAACAATTATAATATCTGTTTACAGTATCTCTCGCAGGTGTCGACAGCGGCCAAGGACCCTTACCGTTCGTGGGTTTTATTATTTGGGCCGAGTTAGAAGTCTTTAATACCAGTGTGAATACCACAAACCTTACCCAGAGCAATGGGTCTCCTGGTACTTTCCAGGCATATGATGCGCAAACGAAACCTCATGAGTTATGCAAGCCCGCTGTTGATAACGCTACAGCTCATCCTAAAACTGAAATTCAGGTAACTGAGTTGTATATTTACATTGAATAACTATTAATTATTATTTCTTATAAAAATGTCTTACATCAAAAAGTTTTCTTTTAAAAACTTTAATACTTTTCACATGATGTCACTTTATATACATTAAAAATCGATTTTAGATTGTAAAACAGAAAGTAGACTTGTAATGGCATCAACAGCGTACCGTGCTCTTCATCTAAACAATTGAGCTACCGTGTCAATGGGTTAATGCAAGAGTGTCGTAATTTTATTTTTCAATCTAAAATCCATTTTTAATTTAAAAAAGCATTCTACTTAATACTCCTCAGTATTACTATATGTACAGTGTCACTTTTTTTAACAAAACAGTTGTATGAGATTTTGACCAAATTTATCATTAAAAACAAATTACATTTTAACTTTATTCAAAATATTAATAATCCGTCAAACTGACATATTTCTATCGCTCTATGATTATATACACGATTTATTGGTGTTTTCTATAGGTCATTTGGAACGCTCCTGCACGTTCCTTAGAAAATTGCGTTCGTTTTTGCGCCCGCGCTTACCACATTGACTCTAGTTCGGTGTCTATTCTCGCACGCAAGTTGTGTCCCGCTCCAGCTACACCCACGACTCCCGAACGCCAACCTCCCATTGTGGAGCCTTGTTGCGCTTGCGATGAAGCGAAATACGAAGTAAACTATTTATATTTTTTTAAAATCATATTTAAATTAACGCAAAAGACAAAAAGATCTAGATTGCCTAAGTTCACAAATTTTCTTTAAAATTTTTTTAATATATTTAAGAAAATAGTGGGCTTTTGAAAACTGTGTGTACAATTTATATAATTTAATTATAATCTCACTCATAATACTCACAGGTAACTTTCGAAGGTCTGTGGTCACGAAATACCCATCCAAGGGAGTTCCCGCCTGAATCGGCACGAGCTCATTTCGGTGATGTGATAGGTGCTTCGCACACAGCACAGTTCCGTGTCTGGCAAGAGGGCAGAGTCGCTACAGCTGGTTTAAGGAAGCTGGCTGATGATGGTACTACTACTACTCTTGAGAAGGAGCTGAAGTCTGAGGTAGGTTCAGTTGAAACGTTATCTTCTCATTGTTCTTTTTATTATGTACTAAAAATCTCTTTATAAAAATTACTTACTTTTTCCTATTTGGGCTGGCATAGTCCATAATTCTAGGATGAAGACGTTTAATGAAAAAATTTGACCCTGTTTTGTTTTGATTCAGTCCAGTTGACGGGCTTGTTGGTTTAATGGTCGTAATGTATTGGTAATATCCCCACCAGGTCCAACATATGTCTATTAATTCATAAGTTTTCTGAAACCCTTTGTATGGAAATCTGGATTTTGAATGGGGGGAATTCGTGAAGTTTAATCGCATTTCGGTTTCAGTCTGTGGATTATCGATTTCGATTCGGATGTTCAAAGTCAATAGGCCGACAGTGCATCTAGTATAGATGTTTTATGGTGTATTTCACCCTTTCACCTTCATCGAGCAACCCCACTTGTCTGCCTTTTCTATCATGAAAACAGTTAAAAATCGTAAACTCATTGTTCTTATTTTACCTCATGGAACTATTCAACATCGATAACCTTGTTACAGAGTGACCATATTCGCACAATCATCAAGGCTAGGGGAATATCCTGGCAACAAGTGTCAGGATCTGGTATCCCGAGCACTTTCGCAGTATTCAGGGTAGATGCGAAGCATCATTTGGTATCTCTTGCATCCAAGCTAGCTCCCTCTCCTGATTGGATTGTGGGCGTATCTGCCTTGGAGCTTTGCAATTTGAACTGTACTTGGCGAAGATCCGCTGTACTGCCATTGTACCCTTATGATGCTGGGACTGATAATGGAATAAGTTATATGGTGCGTAGTAAAATAACTTGTATGACGTGTATTAGTTCTGGTTATACATACATTTGGATGACCAATAGGGTTAGACTCTAACCCATGTGAATATTAATATAATTCATCCATTATAATAGTAGTCTATTTTGACTCGACAGTATTTAATTTTAGTCTAATTTTGAAGTAGATGTAAAAATTCTGTATACATTAAAATGAAATACTTTTAACGGTTTAAATCGCGAAACCACGTACCACTCGCGTAAACTACGGTACTACTTATGTATACAATACATAAAGTTTATTTTTATTCAACCTGAAGAAACATTATGTAATCAATCGTATATACACATACGCATATTGCCTACAAAAATGATAAGCTTATTTGACATGTAGTCCAGACGAAGCCCTACTGTACCGCCCTCTCCAGTGCGAGCCCTTGGACCTGAATGGCCCCGAGACACCCGATCTCCCTTCTATAGTTCTTCGGGTGAGATGCGACCCTTTGCCCGCCTGAGACTAAACAGATTGCGACTTTATGAAAAGAGTTGTGAAACGTCTGGTATGCTGATATGATTATTTTAGTACCTACTATAAAAATATTACCAAACAAGAACTTAAATAAATTAGATATTTGTAGCTTACATTATTTCTTTTTACCACGTGACTCTGGTTCCCAAAAGCAATATTACGAAGCCTGCATTCAATTTTCAAATAGTATTAAGCCATAAATTCTCTTTTGTAAGATATTCTTTGTCAGCAGCGTTAAACCTTTTTCCTAAATTTTAGAGCCAGGTAACCAACAAACACTAGATGGTACGATACGTAGCGGTGGTGGGTCGTGTGCAACCCACGCGTGGGGTCCGTGGGGACCCTGCAGCGTGACGTGTGGTGAAGGACGTGCGGCCAGACAAAGGGATTATCTGTGGCCGGCAAGAGCCAAGACCGATGCCTGTAGAGTTCCACTTACGGATTACCAATCCTGTCATGGACCAAGATTACATTGCAGGTACATTTAGATAATATTATAAACTTAGTTTGTTTGTTTGTGAACGCGCTAATCTCACGAAGAATCTCGAATGAAAATTTTTGTAGGAATTTATTGAGGAAAGCTTTTAGGCTATAAAAGATCTCGCTGCAACCAATAGGGGCAAAGAAAAAATGGGAAATGTTGAAAGAAGGGGGAAATTATTCGTCTTTGTGGGCTTCTGTTGCGTGCATTGCAAAAACGGTTCAAGATACCCAAAAAATATAAATGAAGGAATGATTTCTTTTTAAATGATCTAATAGAATATCCTCAATAGTATATGTCTATCTTTCAAGAAACTTGAAAGAACGACGGACGCGAACGTCTTTGGGGGTAACAGATATGTAATTATAGAACACGGAACCTTCCATGCCCGTGTCGTTAATTTTTTTCAATTCGTAACAAAATTGAATTCCTAAAACTGGTACAGCATATTTACATATAATATTTTCTACATTATATACTGTTTTGTACATATTTTACCAGAGTTCAATCCGAATATGAGCCGGATCCAGCAGAAGCTACCGGGCCATGTGCCGTGTCAGCCTGGTCGGAGTGGTCACCGTGTGAAGGTTGTGGTGTCAGAGCTAGAAGCAGGCACTACTTGGTTCCGCGAGCTCATAAGCGTTGTCACGTAGGATTCAGAGCGAGGATGGTTCTTAGCCAAGCTATGCCTTGTGACTCTGGTCCTTGTTTCAAGTAAGTGTTTAAATACTGTGTGTTGTTTACGGGAATAGTACACATTTAAATAAAACACTTTACAGGTTTCAAACAAGATAAATATTAGTTAAACTTAATTGTAAATTATTTGAACTACTAGCTACTAACTACCGCGGTCACCCGTACAGGCTGCTGCACCTGCGAAACGTCGCACCTTAGTTAAAATAATTTCCGAAAGTTTCACTAATATATATCGCGTTTTAAACAGTAAAATGATTGATTTAAAGGAGTTTTAAAGCTTAGTAAATAAAAATTAAACTCTTAAAAAATGTACCAGCTGTGAGTTAATATAACATTTTTGGAGAAGTAAATTATAAAGCTTAGTAGACCATTAATTTGCTGATAAATATTGTACCTCCACAGACCACCCGGTGCGTTTGCTAATTCAACGAACTATGATTGGTTTTATGTGGTAAGTTTGTAACAATCAAAAATTAAATAGCAAAATCTGTTATTAAACTCTATTCAAAATGTCTACTCATTATCAAGTAGTCATACAAAAGCTTGTTTATTCTTAAGGTAAAAGTTTTTTTATAATGTTTAAGAACAACATTCGTTATTTTATTTATTGGAATTTTATTAGTAGTTGATGAGACAAAAAATACGGTAGAGCCTTTCTATTACTACCTAATAATTATTGTATTGACTTAGGATAATCCCCGCGGCGAGTGTGCTGTGACGTCATGGGGTGTCTGGTCGCCATGTTCAGCGCGTTGCGGGCGGGGGAGACGTATACGCACTCGGTTATACATATCTAGAGATCCTCGAGTCCAGAAACTTTTGACTAAAAGGCTTCTCAGTGACTGGAACCAACGGTTTGCTGAGTTCCAGAACCTTGTATGTATTTTAATTGTTACTCTGTACATATCCTAATGCTATTAGTATCGCCACAGTTATAAAAAAAAATGGAGGCAGGCCCAATCCAAACTATTTAAAAAGTGGTGTACCACCAACTAGAGAAAAACATATATTTTGAAAAGTACTATACATTATGTAAATATGTGGATAATTGTATGTTTATCATATTCAACAATGACATAGAATTCTGCCAATAACTTTCTTAAAATGTCCAAAGCCAAAATAGGTCTTAAAAATGTTTTCAAAGCACATTTTCGAAACATTTATTGCGATATGAATGCTTTGTCGGCAGGCGATACCGACCGAGAACGTGACAAGTGACAATCCAAATGTAGACCTTCTAGTTCAAGAACATCTTGATCGGTGTCAATTTACCCTGACGCAGCAAGAAGCTCTTTGTGATGGCGAGGACACTTCTTGCGATGTCTCTGTGCCCCAAGGTTCGTATCATTATGGACTTTTATTACGGGATATATTTTTTTAAAAATAGTTATTTATTAAGTAATAGCTGACGATAGATATTTGTTATACCTAACGGTAAATTAAATGAAACCTTAATAATATTAGGATTTTTTTTATGATAGAGGACGACACGCAAGCAGGGTTCACTTGACGGTAGGTAAATCACGGCTTAAACCCAAACTGACCCAAACTGGAATTTCAATATTCTTACCACCCATTTTATATCCAAATTTTCAGACGAAGTTCAGAATGTTGTAAAGAAATTATACGTCGATAAGAAACATATTTAATCCGGTGGGGGTCGAAGCTACGACCCGATGAAAATTTGCCATACATTGCTATTATTGGAGAAACGATTTCGTCAGATAACGAATATAGTTTATCTATTAAAAATATTTTCAGAAGTATGCACTTTGCCCGTGTCTGTTGGACACTGCCGTACATACGAAGAGCGTTGGTTCTACGACAATTCGAGTGGGATTTGTGAGCCGTTCGGCTATACAGGGTGCGGTGGAAATTCCAACAATTTCCGAGATAAAACCACTTGTGATCGCGCTTGTGTCTCGCGAAATGTTACTATTACTGGTACTGGTAAGTTATTTCACTTTATTATTGCTAAGTATAATTAGTACTCACGTGGTTGCAATAAAGAAATAATCTATCGATCTAATTGCCCCGCCCGACCGAAAATGTGTATTCCCAATGATCCACCAAAGCCTCCAATGCGATAATTAAGTATACAATATAAAGTCATGTTGCATTTAATATACTTCACCTAATATCCGATCTGCCAACTAACTTTTAATGTACTACTTTAAATATAATAACGACTTTATTATATATATAGCATGTAGCTATTAATAATTTTTGTCCAGTCTACCCGCCTGTTGCTGAGGCGAGTACTAAAAAGCTTAAAGCAACACCTGCAGCTGAAGATAACGAAGTCCTACAAAATGATTCGCCGCGGGTAGGTGAGTCAACATCCACCACGCCATTTTGGATAAAAGTTTTATTTACTAAAACAGATTCGTAATTAAAAGTAATTTATGGAATTGGAAAATTAAGTTGGCATTTTTTCGTGTATTGACAAATCGTGTTGAGTTTTTCATACGTAGTAATAGATATTTGTGTTTATTGATGGTGGACAGAGGATGTGAGCTGCGAGATGGGACCCTGGCTCGGCTGGTCTGAATGCTTTGGGGAATGCGACATCGCTATTAAGCTCAATTTTAGACTTGTCAAGGTACCGCCCTCAAAATAACATTTCGTTCAAACATATTTTTTTAAACTGTTTCGTGAGAATGTTTAGATACAATGTAAATTCTTCTTAATTAATTTAATAAGTAAGAACATTATCCTATATGTGCTTGTAGTAATGCCAAGGTATATTATATCTAATCAAACATATATTCCACATAGACGTTCACAAAATAATAATACTTATATTTTCGATGTTGGAGGATGTTTTGTTGAACATGAAAGTAACTCAACGCCGATTTTCAGCGATGCCCATGCTTGAAACTTGAAGTGGAATCTTATGGCTTTGGGATTGTGAATATATTGTGCCAGGTTTTGGTTATTTAGGAAAATGATATATTGTAATCTCTGAAAGACAGAAATTTCATTGTATGTTTTTTATTTGTTTTTTTGTTTCAGCGCCCTGCATCCGGCTACGGCAAACCTTGCCAGAAAGTAGTAAAGAGTCGTAGTTGTAGACCACGGTATTGTAAGTTAGGTAATCTTACGGACATATATTCAGTCGAAGACAACGTCGACGAATGAATTCTTAATTTGTTTTAATGAAGGCGGCATTTGCAATAGAAAATATCATTAACTTAATGAAGGACCGCTTATATTTTAGAGGATATTCAAAGCTTAGAATGTTACAGATCAAATTGTCCTCCTTGCCAATGTAAAGGGGCCGCAATTCTACGAGTGTACTCTTTTAAAGGTTTATTTGATTTATTCCTATCGATCTTCTAGTTAATTATTTTAGTTCTTTTATTATTCCTTAATATTAATTATAGGTAACTTGATCCTTATTCATCACAACGTTTGTGTACTTCGGGATTAAAGCCCGTGGGAAAACTGAAATTCATCCGAGTCTGAATCCTGAGATGCCACAAAATTTGGTTTTACGAATTTTCTGACACTTTAAGTCTACTGTTTATTTCTTTTTTTCTATGGCGATAATATTTCTATTTTATTTCCTAATAAAACAATAATACCCAATGAAATTAATTATTAGAATAATTTTATATATTTAATCTGTGTTAGTTCAAATTGTAGTTTATGAATAATTAATCCTTTTTCAAACAATTAATGAATAAGAGACATTATAATAATAGATAAGTTGTTTGTATCATTAATATCAATATAAAAAAAACATACAATTCTTTTATCCACAAAATAGAAGCCGATGATTTTAAAAGACGTAACGACAAAAAGTCAAGCCACGTACAGTAGCGTCTACTGGCGATCGAGGCAAAGCATGCTTATTACGTTTGCACCATAGATCTTTGTAGGTAGGCGGACATTTTAAGATAATATTACTACTGTTTTAGTTGATTCTAATCACTAGTTGTTTTCCAATAAAGGTTTCTTAACAAGAAGTGTATTTTATTCTTATCTTTATCAGATTTTGTAAGGAAAACAATGTTTTAATTTTTTTTCATTTAATTATATTCTTATAATAACAACAATTTGTACACATTATTTGTTAAGGATGAATTATTTTATTAATAGTTAATATTATTTCTTAAACCTATTTCGGCACTTTTTATTCTTACTTCTAGCGTTTCCTATAATACTGTCTAGGAACATCACAGTTACAATCCACACATTTTAGATAATATTACAATTTAGGTAACAAAATAAAAACAGAAGCTTACAGAAATTTAGGGGTTATATTATTACTTACGTGCTATAGAATTAAATTTCATATATTCAGAAGAAAGTTCAAGGTATAAGCAACGAATACACAAAAAGAAAAAAGATGGGTAATATCAATTGACTTTACACTCTTAAAGTTATGCCAGATTAAAAGATTATATTATATTAACAATATTAAACATTTGAGGCAAGATTTTTCGTTATTACAAAAAAAAATTTAAACGGACTAAAACACGTACAAATCTATCGTTCTACATTTAGTAATAAACCGCATTTGAATCCGTTAAAATGTTACAATTCTAGCATAAACTATAAACTCATAACATTTCACAGCATTATATACATTTTGAGCAAAACATCTTTTCGAATGACACAGCTAAACCATTATTAAAAATGTGACCTCTGGTATTTGTACCACAATGAAGCGTATTGTAGAGTACTTGCGAATCAACAATGAGTTCATTTGAGCCAACCACATAACAATGCATCGTTTCTTACCCATTCAATTGAAACCAGATGACAGTATCTGCATTTCTACACTTTCTACGGCTTCGTTGGATGAAACGATGGAGCATTCTGATAGCTCGTAAGAACTAGAATTTTATATGGTAAAACAACTTACACGTGATTTGTGACAAGTTTATTTGACACTCTCTTTGGTTGTACTAGACTTAACTGTTAACCTAGCTTAAAATGTAATTTTACATTAAACGCAAAATTTTAAAGTTCCATCAACGAAACTGATACTATAGCAGACAAGGGTATCATAGAACTGATGATGATGAAGATGGAACATACGATATATTAAGGAACACTCACAAGGTTTGAAGGGACACTATACGAGTTTGAAAAGCTAAGAATCTAGAAACAATAATTGATTTTAAAAAATTACAACTCGGGCAGGACTTGAACCGGTATCTATAGCGAACCAATTGAGCTACCGGTTCCTAACAATAGAGTAAATGTTAAGATGTTGTTCTAACAGCACAGAACACTGTGAATGCCGGTTCAAGTCCAGCTCTTGTCGTCTGATTTGCCATAGCTTTTTGGCTTGGCCTTCAATCAGTGACCCCATTACAAAAATAGGAACAATTAACTACGCTTAGTTTGTAAGAATTCTTTGCATATTTTATTACTTGGCAACAAAGAAGATATTGTCTATCGTTGGCACATCGTCGATCGAAATAGCCTATTTGCAAGTACGTTTTTTATTATCGCAAAAACACTAGATAAACATCAATGACATCGGTCTTTTATCATTTTATTTCTTAATAAGCATATTTTTACCTAAACCAAACGATATTCGATTATATATTAACACAATATTTTCTTTCATAAGTCCATAAGTATTTAAAGTAATTTAGTTAGACGCGAAAACTTTACGTTTTATGTTTTACAGGCAATTTCGATACATCTAGCTAAATTAATCTATTTTCTTCGCTTCAGAGCTAACGGCAAATTAAATTCTTTAAACTAATTAACAAATGAAGGTCGTGTATATTTGTAATTAGGTTTGAAAAATTTATTTTTTGTAATCGTTGTTCGAATGAGTAACGAGAAAATTAAATATAAGTATAGAATCGTCCTCCTTCGATTATTCTACTTTTTATCTCTTTGGAACTAAAAATGGATTGAATGTTTTAGTATTAAAATATATATTTATTGATTTTTCCTTTCAATTCTTGCTGTTCTTGCTTCATCTCTTTTGTCAATGACTATTCTGATCAAATTTATTCTTCCAGTATCTTGGCACTCATAGTCAAAATTTTATATGATATTGTGTCATCATTTTTTTAAATTTCTTATTGAGCGTTTAAATCCTAGTTACAGAGCATTTTCGTGGAGCAGCGCAACACCGAGGTGCCGTGCAATCTTTTGCGCATGGGCATGGACAGGACGCGTTAGCTAATTCTATTAGGAGCTTCCTCTCATCGTTTGATGCTGTGAGAGACAGAAAACGTAGCCTAGTTAACACGATAAAGTAAACATATGTATTATGTATAGACAATAATAAAACATGTATAGGAACAGTAAAGTGATAACACATTAACGGTATGGAAACTAACGAATATATAATTTAAAAATCGAAAATAAATTTTCGACTCGGGCAGGACTTGAACCGGCATCGTCAGCGTTCCGTCCTGTTCCGCTGACGATGGCGGTTCCATTCCTCCCCGAGTCGAAAATTTTTTCAATTTATTTTCGATTTTTAAATTATATAGTGCCTTCATGTGCAATAACATGTAAAAAATATTAAAGTTTTCAAAGGAGTTATTGTATTACATAGATCAAGCATGGGGCTCATGTGAGTGAAGTACCCCAACCATATACATCTCAGCTAGATGCGCAAAGAAACCCACAGACTGTAATCGAAACGCGGTTAAACGTCAAGGCTTTTTCATCTGATGCTGGTTCGTGGACCCGGGCGGAATTTTGATATTCCAATCCGCCCCGAAATCTGAATATTAAAATTTCCAGAAATCCAACTTGTTTCAGATAAACTATATATTAATAAGAAACATGTTAGACACCGTAAGGATCTATCTCACGGCCCGTGCCATTTGACCAACCAGTCCGTCAGATAATAATTTTAATATCCTTGTTAAAATATCTTCGAGCTGATCAGTGTTAACTGCGTCGCAACATATCAGAAGCCTTGCCCTCATTAATCGGTCAAAACAAGTATATTTTATCGATATTAAGTGCTCAAGAGCTTTATAAGATCAATGGTGTGTATTGATCGCTGATAGCGCGAAAGATATGACAGTTAATATTACCTACATTAGGGTTATATGGTTGTTTATTGGTTCGTTTTTTAGAAGAAAGTACTCTTACTAATCTTCTTGTTTATTTCAAGGTTGATGCTCAATTGTTTTATAATAGACTAAAAGCCTAACGTAGACGTTTCAAATATATTTCTTAGAAAACTTTATTATTTTTCACGCGTTATTGCACATGAAGGCACTATATAATTTAAAAATCGAAAATAAATTGAATTTTCGACTCGGGGGAAGGAAGGAATGGAACCGGCATCGTCAGCGGAAAAGGACGGAACGCTGACGATGCCGGTTTATGTCCTGCCTGAGTCGAAAATTTTTTCAATTTATTTTCGATTTTTAAAAATCGAAAATTTTTTCAACAAAGGAGTTATTTAAATAATAACTCCTTTGTTGCTTTAATGTTAGTACACCCTGCAAGCCCAATGTCCCAATTTCTTTAACCTGTGTTCCAATTATCTTCACTGATTAAGTTCGACCAGCGCGCACTGGAGCATCGCCAAAGGCATAATCTATTAAATCCCTTTTTGTACTCTGGAATCCTGTGCCCAGCTGTGATTAGAAGATCATAAGAAACATACATATGGATTAAGTTTACCTTGTAGTGAGGCGAGACAAAACTCAGGCTGCAGAGTAACTAAGCTGATTCCGTGCCGCTTGAATACGTCACTAACGAGATTTGAACTCTTCATGAAATCCTGTAGGGAAATGTTAATATTCGTTCAATACATGTTAATCAATAATACGTTCCACTTTTTTTCCACTTTCCATCCAATTCCACTCCTAGGTTCATATTGTAAACCGCGTTGAAAATATTTTAACTAGCTGTGTCAGCGACTTCGTCCGCGTAGAATATTTATTTTGGGCATCATATTTGTTTTTGTAACCCTCCTTTACAATTTAAGCTTACCTACGACGTCGGTCGCGTCCCTTTCCGTCGTTCTTGCAAGTATATCTTAAAAGATAGACATATAGCGTCACGGATTTTTTTTGAAAAATATTCTATCGTACATGGTTCAAGATACCCATGAACCGTTTCCGCAGCGTACGGAACAAGCATAAATAATTTCCCCCGTTTTTTTTCACATTTCCCGCTGTTTCTTCGCTTCTATATATATAGCCTTCCACGATAAATGCTCTAACCAACTCAAAAATAATTTCTCAATTCAAACCAGTAGTTCCGAGATTAGCGGGTTCAAACATACAAACAAACATACTCTTCAGCTTTATATATTGGTGTAGATAGATCTCTCAATGAAATATAAAATTTTACAAGATGCAAGATGATATTTGTTTGTAGAAAAAATTACTACATTATAATGTCAAAAATGTATATAAAAAATAACCAGTTGCAAATAATATTTTCGTCAGAGTAGCGTTTTGGAGTTACCTCTTCAGAGTTGTATGACACATGGGCTGTTGCAACAAGGCGATCCTGATGCAACTGCCACACATGGAGCTCGTGAATGGCCAATACACCTGGGACCTGGAGAGCCGCTGTGCGCAGATCACAAGCTCCAAGACCCTCAGGCACTGTCTGAAGAAGCACCAGGCCAGCAGATCTCACTGTTAAAAGAAATATGATTATAAACTTAGAGAGATTTTTTGACGGGGTCGTTGGTCTAATAGTTACGTAATTAGGATGGCTAATAATTAATCAACAGTTCGTGGGTTTGATCCCCACCAGGTTCAACGATTTTCTATTTTTTCTGATACATGCTGAACTTTGTCTGAAAATCTGGATATTAAATGGGTAGTGGAAATATACAAATTCCGTCCGGGTCACGAACCACCTTCCGTCCATCGTGAAAGTCGTAGTGGAATTCGAATAATCCAAAGTCTTTATTAGACTACAATTTCCTTAACAGAGCAAAATTAATTTAAATAAAACTCTTTTAACAGCTTAAACCACGAAATATATATTTGCCAATTTATTTTAACTACCACAGACAGAAAGATATCTATGGTCCAAATTCTAAAGTAGAACGCATTCAGCAACTGCCTCGCAAAACATTGTTCTATAACCCAATGTTCCGTGTAACGGACGCAAAATGTTTTCATCGCGCAATCTGCGTTTTTAGTACGTATAGCCTACAATGTTTTTGCTTATTTGTTGTTGGATTGAAATCTGATATAAAAACATTAAGACATGACATAAAAACATAAGACCTGTTATAAGTTTTTGTAGATGTCGTAAGCACGGTACTGGTTATTGAATATTAAGTTATTTAACAGTTATATTAAAATAATTTTAATTTTTAAATGAAAGGCATTATCAAATAGTAATTATTCTTAGAGTATTTTTTTATTACGATAAGTAGATTTCGTAAAAAGAGATTTCTTTGTGACAACATTTTGCCATTGATACTTAGATTCTCTTAACCTATTTTCTGGAACTGTGATTTAAAAATTACTTAATAAATCATTGCAAAACAAATAGTGGTCTTTGAGTTTTATCACCGTTACATTTAGCGACATTGTTATTTTGAAATAGAGCGCGACGACCAAACGAAGGTAGAGTTATTTTCTAAATATTTCAATATTCGTAAAACAACTTGTAGTTATAATTTTTATGCCCGAGTACGGACGACTAAGGGGTTTAAAACACTTTAACGGTTCAAAACGCAAATTTAATTGTAACTAATATGTAGTTAAATTTACATTTACGAGGAGACCCGTGAGGAGACCATGGTTGCTGCAAAGTATCTTTCGGAAACTTACGTAGGGCCAAAGTTGTAATAAATTGTGAATAAGTTTAGCCAATATATTTCGCGTTTTAAACCGATAGGGAATTTTATTTGAATGTGTACTACTTTATTTAAATAAAAACACTTTAACGGTTTAAAACGCGATTTATATTAGTTAAACTTCTCTGAAAATTCAACGGCGCGACGTATTTGCTTTGCAGCGGCCGTGGTCATGGGGAGACTAAAGATCGAGGGTGTCTCTGACGTCAAAGTAAAAACTACAACCGTAAATTATAGGCACTATTTGTCTTGTTTGTAAATATAAGAAAATTAATTACAAACACGTTAAACCCAGTGAGAATCGAACCCACCACCTGTTGTTTATTAATTATATGTGGCTATAGCATTAACGAGGCTTTAAACCGTAAGCCGATAATCACGTTTGTACTAAATATAATTGAGTATGGTTCAGTATGTCAATGAACTCTCAGATTTATGTTTGAAGAGGCATCTTAAAGATATTTTGCGAGGTTTGTAGATCTGGCGTGGGATGTGTTTATTTATCTCATTCCTTTTTGTTACAGCACAAGAAGCCAATATAGATTGATACATTGGGAATAGTATGTAATAATAATTGGGACATAGTTTCAAAAGGGGGTATCGGTTACCCGGTCTTGTTCTTTTATTTTATAGTAGTTACGAGTGAATATTTTATCCGGTTGTTTCTTCGCTCTATATACTAAAAATATACTCACTAAAAGGATAGTTAATAGTGACTAGGAGAACAGCAGCAACGGCTGAAAGCGCTGGATCTGCAACGCCAGCAACGCCGGGTTCCCACTCCAACGTTAGTCCAGCCCCCATTACAAACAGGCTACCTTAGTTACAGAAATTATGTTAATATAGTATTATTTTGAAATTTTGAATATTTTTCACATGTTATTTCACGTGATGGATTTGTATAAATTTAATCTAATTAGATTGAAAAAAAAACACTAAACGCTGTGGTGTGGCCAGTGCGCATCCACTTTTCATTACATGTTTTCAACATTATTAGATTTGAAAACATTAATATTTTTCACACGTTATTGCACATGAAGGCACTATATAATTTAAAAATCGAAAATAAATTGAAAAAAATTTCTACTCGGGCAGGACTTGAACCGGCATCGTCAGCTTTCCGTGCTGTTGCTCTACCAATTAAGCTACCGAGTCCTACACCTCATCGTCGAATTTTTTCAACTTATTGATACATGCACCTCTCGCGCAGTGTAATCTCAACCTTAACACTTGCGTATTAAGGTTCAATGTCTTATGCTTTGCAGCTTAAGAAATCATTGAAGATGAAATTACAAAGTTATAACGTTTGAAAACATAACTATTATTTTAATACGCAAGTGTAAAGGTTGAGATTACACTGCGCGAGAGGTGCATCTATCAATAAGTTGAAAAAATTCGACGATGAGGTGTAGTCCTGCCCGAGTCGAAAATTTTTTCAATTTATTTTCGATGTTTAAATTATTCGATTTTTTATTTATCCGAATTCAAATTGATAAAATTTGCTCATATTTTTTTTTTGTTTTACTCATGGGAGAGTTTACGGTTATTTTTATGACCAGCAAAACAACTCCAAAGGTAGCACGCATAAGTGGAGGTGTTAGATATTTATAAAAAATAATTTTGACTTCCAATCGGATATTTTGTAAATAATACTTACTAGCGATGTCACTGGGCGCATGAGCAAGAACGGGCTCTTTTGATCCAGATTTAAGGACGACACCGCCACTTTCCGTCACACTCAGTCTTCTACTGTAACTAAGTTCGCGACCTGCCATATAAAATTGTATGGTAAACACATGCTCTTAATAACCTCAAAACTAATTTACAAAGACAAAACTTAGTCGCAGAAGAACTGACAAAAACTCTACTTTAATCTCTTCCACCACCACGAGTTATTGTCTCCAACGAACTACTACACTCTTACCTGTAGCTTGCGTACATGAAATAAAACACTTATTAACAGTTTACAAAGCGAACAATATTAGTTAAATACTAACTATTTTATTACATATCAACGTTACAATCTACACAGCAGCCATTGTCGTATCAAAAAACGTAGTTAACCAATATAGTCCGCGTTTGATACCGTCAGTGTGTGTTAGATCCAGCAAATGTTTCTTTTGTTGTTCTGCAAGATATTTTATATCAAACAAATAGACAAATAGAATAGTTTATAATATTGGCAGAGCAGTAGACGTTGTAGAAAATCGGGTCACAAATATGTATCTCAATATAGTATTTTTTATGCTTGCAAATTGACGAGATCTACATAGATGTGACAGAAAATTTCAGTCTACCTTATTACCAGTTGTTACGTATTTCTACTTTCCACGTCATGCAAAACGCACATTGTACAATTGTTACATCGAGTAACTACCTTTGACATTGTTACATAACAATGAGCTGGTAAACTTCTAGTGTTCGTACCCTAACATCTACAACAAACCCATAATACCATATCATTTTTTTTATTTAAGCAGCATAGAATGTAGTTTGCTTCAGTTAGGTATTAACATTTTCAATAAAGGTTGTAGTTCTAAGTCCCTGCTGGAAATAGCAATTAGATAAAACATTTTAACGGTTTAAAACGCGTCACGTGGTCACGGCTTAACCTACCTCAAAGCATCCAAAACGTCGGACCGTAGTTGAAATAATTTTCAAGTTTAATTAATATCGCATTTTAAACCGTTACAGTGTTTTATTTAAATGTGTACTACTCGCGTAAACTACAGACAGTATTTACTAGCAGTTACATTCATGTATGTATAACTCTTTCCAGTGTTTCACTATCTTGGTTGGAACGACTTGGTGACAATGGATTGTATAGTGGTTCGCGAAGGTGTATGTATAATGGGTTAAGGAAATTTGACTATGATGTGTAGGACACGGTAGCTTAATTGGTTACATGGAACGCTGTTGATGCCGGTTCAGGATCCCAATTAGCTTGTGTTGATCTGAATATATATTTTTTATAATGTGGTGTACCTAATCTTTTAAGTGTGGAACAATTTTGTACTTTTTGTACCCAGATCGGAAAAGTGTTTAAATTATGTAACGCCTTTTACACGACCCGGTAACTGGAATGGCTAATTTTACCAAATGCGTGATATGAACCAAACCACCAAAACACTCCTTGATTATATTTCACAGAACCCTAAAATTGTGGCCAAATACTAACCTGCTAATAACAAATAGTTAACGGCATTCAGTAGTAATCCAATAACACCAGTCCCCAGTAAAACCCTCGGGTATCGTGGAGGCTGGACGTGTGAAGAGTGGACGCCGAGTTGCAGAGCATTCACGACCAAAGCGAGGGAGAAGGATGCAAAGAGTACGTGAACTGAAAGCCTGCCCAGAACTTCAATGCGTGCCCAGCCAAAGGTGTTCCTTAGCCTGCCCTCACGACCAGCGCCTTCATCAGCTCGTTCGTACTATAAAGAAACAGAAGGTTTAAATGATATCTTTCGAAGAAGTGAGTTGTATCCCTATGGTTCATTACAAGATAGGCAGCCAGCGTATTATAACTAGAAAACGTGCTCTTGACCTGTTTCGGCTTTTGACATTCGAAAATTCACAGACTGATATATGACTGAGATGACATATAGGTCATATGTACACCTGTGGACGATGTTTCGCAATTATTGATTTTAGAGACGCTGAGTTCATCGCGAAATCGGACCCACTACCAGTTGATTTTTATTCATTCTACCATGGACCAACGAGATATTCTCAAATATTTATATAACTAAGTAGCATTATACGAATATTTGATACAGATAAACGTTGAAAATACATTGGGCGAAGAGCATATAATAAATAATCTAAAACGTTGTTATCTTTTCTCTTATAAATGGCCTCTCCGATTTTGATAAAATTAGGTGTAGACGGCGACTTTGATAACACAGACTTTATACCGACAAATGACATGTATTCGTCAAATGATTCCGAAATTGTAAATAATTTAATCTGTATTTCCTACTTACGTATTATGTTTATTTAAATGACAACGGTATACTAGTGCGCCGGCGCAGCTATGCACTTATTTATTTAATATACTTAACTGATCTAAACGCATGTTTAATTAAAAACTTGTCTTCTTTACTCTTATTTGGTACAATATTAAACATCCTAAACATTCTTTTGAAATTGGACAAAAAATTCCGTTAAAGTGATGTTTTTTTTGGTTAAGACTCGAGGTTATGAAGATAACAAAATAAGGCTTGTTCACCTTCAGATATGCTATCCGTGGAAAGTGTGGGATCGATTTTAGTTTTATTGATAGATTACTTAGTATCTCAAAAATATAATACTTGTATCATTTTTATAAAGTATACTTTATAAAAATATATTTTGATACTAATCTGGATAATAAGGTTCCTTCCTATCTATCTGTTGCTAAGCAAGATGTGAAATATGTATGTCTACATAATAATGTCTGCACTTTATGATACTATCAACAAAAATTCACGTAAATTTTAAGAGCAAAATCCGTAATTTACATCCAATATATATTGTTTCGATCTTCATAGTTCAATATGTGAAATCCCGTTTCCCCATCGTGGGGCATGGGGCGAACACATTTTTGCGTCCGTTTCACTAATCCGTTCTTTAACAGGCAAGTAGTTGATCAGACTTCTGTGCCCTGCCCGAACGAAACATTTTTTGTTTTCCTGGAATTCGAACCCAGCAGCTCAGCTCGTAACGCAATGTAGGCAATACGTTTAACCGACCGTGGCTATTGCGTCTAGCTGAGTTAAGGAAAAGTATCCCAGTATGAACCCTGGACCCGGCGACACCTAGGTTCGGTCAGGAAAGGACCGAAGTATAATCGATTGCTTGTCTGTGAATTTCAATCACGCAAAAAGTATCTTTTCTTCCACAATAAAGTAATCAAGCATCTCTGCCATAACGGTTTCAAAAAAAATATAAGTTAATAAATGTTTGAACTTATTCAGTAAATACGATTATTATTTCTGATGACCAAATACCATCATATCCATTTTCTATAACTAATAAGTTAATCATTGTATTGTTAATACCGTAGATAAGCCGTAGATATACCGTAATAACAATTGTAAAACAAATTAATCCTTTCGACCTATTTAAGTAACACGACCAATAACAATTGGGTAAATAACCGTGTTAATTGATAAGGTAACGACTTACTGTGGATTGTAACTTCATATCGTAAACAAATACTTTTACTCAATATCTTTTTTAATAGTCTCATTGTTTTAGGCAAAAATATATTATTGTCTACTAGGGACTTGGACTTCGTCGGCGTGGAATAGTGACTTTGGGTATATTTTTTAGTATTAAGACTGTTTTAGTAAAACGGCGCATTTAAGACAGCCAATCTGTTAGAGCGGGACTCTCACTCCCATTCCCAAAAAGCCGAAGGAGAAAGTTTCATTGTTCTGGCAACAATAAAATTTTATTGTGGTATATCCATAAGAGGTAAACATATGCCATCGCGAAGTTTTCCGTATACCTTATTAATGTGTACAATACTAACTACATTACTTTCTTAAATCTTTGTGGGGCCTGTTCACATTAAAAATCTTAAAGATTATTTCTCCACTATTTAATGGTTGTTATTATACATATAAACCTTCCTCTTGAATCACTATCTATCAAAGAAAACCGCATTAAAATCCGTTGCGTAGTTTTAAAGATTTAAGCGTACATAGGGAAAATGACACTTTAAAGAAAAAGAAGTACAGAAAAGATGAAAGCAGATAAACTATAAATGTAATCAAAATAATTACAGATCTTATTAATAAATAAGTAGAATTTTCTCTAGGAAGGAAATGTTTATCAGTGTAGGAAATAACATGTTATAATTGTAATTATTATCCATTAAAAATTATAACATTGTATGTAATTATATAGGTAAAATAAATTCTCCACGCAAGGTTTGCAATAACGTTTTATATTTTTTGGTTTAAAATAAATTGTTGACTAGAAAACAATACAACTATGTAGTGTGACTTCATCGATAGTAGAAGTACCTAATCAACATTACAGCGAGCATACATATTTAAAACAAAGTTATAAAAAAATAAATGTGTCTTTTATAATTACAAATTTTAGTGCAGAGCAACACAGTAGGGTAGACCAGCGTGAGGTTTATTTAATGAAAGGAAAAACCCCCCATGTACACACCTAATATAAAGACAAAACTCAACCTAGAACCTTTGAACATATGATATAAGACTGACGACGATACGTGACATGGCCGGACGATATTCCTATCACCCATTTTATCAAGCTTTCCAGAGAAGTCCAAAGTGTTTAAGAAAAATGTTTGGTGGGTATCGAATCAACGATCCATCCATTTTTGTGTATAGTTTTTGAATTTTTGTTGCCCTCTACCTGTTTTTTAATGATAAAGGAGGACAAATAACCATGGAGTTCACAGATGGAGATGAAATACCCCATCTCAACATTGGCTTTGGAAGTCGAATATCCTCTGTCTGTCCTACCTTAAAGGCTAATAACGTAGTAGTGAGTCCAATAAGCCGGCACAACGAGTGGCAGGCATCGACAAGCAGAGTTGGTGAGTGTGTGACGTGGGCAGCAAACAATCTGCCACTGAATCCGATCACAGCCAGTAGCAGCGCCAACAAAGACCGCGGTGGAGGCAGCCACTGGAGATATTCTTTCATTGCCATTTTGATAGGTACCTGCAGAATAAGACAGTATATTAACTAAGGTAAGGTCTATACATATGTCTTTAAAGCAACTATATACGAAATAGCCTTATTGCTAGCGATCTCTTCCCAGTTAGTTCTTCGTGCCTTAAAGTTAGGAAAAATAAAGTGCATATTTAACCAAGATTTGCTATACCCTTGATCAAAGGTAATTTTATCCTAAGAAGTTGTTATTTATTTATCTTTCAAACTACGTTTATTTGAACCATAAGCTACATAAACTTGTTTATAAACAATAAGTCTTCAAAAAAACTATGGTCATAACTAAACTTTGTATCTCAATTAGGTATGTGTGGACACGGAGAAACTAAATAGTTTTTTTAATTATTTTATAGTATTACCGTAAAAAATAAATTATAGTAACTGTTATTGAATTAGTAAATTACTATTTACTAATTCAATTGGTTATTTTGAACTTAGTCTGGCATATTTTATATAGATGATGCAAAATTGTTGTTCTATTGTAAGATTAATGTTATATTGATTCTACTTTAACAAATAATTGACAATAATACATTAATTCTTAATGGATGGACATAATATATAGACGCTACCATTGCTTTAGATAATTTAAAGGCGAAACATTTTTTCATATATTTGTTTTTTGAATCGTTTTACAGCGCACACAGTGGAAGCCCTCAAAAAAGCCCTCTTTTGATAGAGATTTTTTATGAATTGTTGAAAGTTTGTATGAAATGTTTGGATAACAATTTAAAAAGTAAGGCTTGAATGTAAATGATATATTAGCAGAACTTAGTTAGACCCTAATTATATTCCTCGTCTTTAAGTTTAACCAATTCGTCATCAATCATTCGATTGTATAATGATTATTCAATGATTCTCTACGCGTCCTGAATACGGAACCACATTGCCGAATTCGCCCTAATACGGAACTCTTTACGACTTTAGAATCTGTTTAATTGTTGCTTAATAATGAAATGACATAATGTTTCAACATTTGATTTGAAAAAAGGCATGGGGTCAGGTAAACATTTAAATAACTAATAATCTACAGTTTTTTAATATTTTAGCTGGTTTGAACACATCGTGTGAACTCATTACTTAGCTCAAGTCTGTAGTTTACGTGATGTATATTAGTTAAACTTATTTGTAAAATATTTTCAACTTCGGCGCAACGTTTCGGATGCTTTGCAGCGGCCGATGTCACGGGGAGACTAAAGATGGAGGATGTCTCTGACGTCAAAGTAAAAATTGCTACGATAACTCACGTGTTATAGCACATAAAAAATTTAAACCACGGTCGATACTCGAACCCACGACCACAGATCCGTGCTAATGCTTTACCACCGAGCTGGGTGACACGGGCGGACATAGCTGTAGATTCAAGTCCCGGTGAATCATCCTACAACTATTTATGGCCTTAGTTGAAGTATACGAAAGTTATACTCTCGTATGTCGTTAACTCGTTGGTGAGGCTGGGTACTAAGGAAGCACTCAAACTAATAGAGAACCTCCGGCTGCCGGCAATTGATCGCAGTTGCTTGTTACTTTGCGCACGACTTCGATAAACGAATATATAGACATACCGTTTATTGTACATCTGGTTTAAGATTTTTTTTAAAGCAAGAAATAATTTTCACTTGCGTATACACAATAACAACCGTCCTTCTATTGAACCCACGACCCGGTAATTATTAGTCAAAAATTATTATAGATAGGTTTGTTATTTCAAATAAATATTTAAGAGTACATAATCCTTACTAATATTATAAATGCGAAAGTGTCTGTCTGTCCTTCGTTACTCTTTCAGGTCAAAACTACTGAACGGATTTGAATTAAATTTGGTATACAGATGGTCTAGACTCTGAGAAAGCACATAGGCTACTTTTTATTGCGAAAAGGTTGTAAGGGGTTACAACCCCCTTTTTTAAAGTCAAAGTTTGTATGGAATTTAGTGGTTTTTGAAGCTAGAACAATAAAACCTAAATACAAACAAAAAAATATTAAGATTTCATAAAAACATAAGGGAGCGTTACTTGATGTATAATATTTAAGAAAATTCTAACTTTTGACGCTCAGTTGTATCGTTTGAAAACCAACATTTTTCGCATGGAGGCACTATATAATTTAAAAATCGAAAATATTTTTTTTTAAATTTCGTCTCAGGCAGTATTTTGAACCGGCATCGTCAGCGTTCCGTGCTGTTGCTCAGTTGTATATCCAATGCCGTCACTAGTAGTTAAATATTATTTACTTCTATTATTCTTATGATTTTATTCTATAAAGAAGAGCATCGTTAGGAAATTGACATCTATTTTAACTGAGTTAGTAAGAAACTAAGAGTTTTTGAAGATATTTGTAACATTTAATAGGAATGTTAGGCCAGCACAGACAAGATATTCAACTTTCTTTAAATAATTAAATAAATAAATAAATATTCAACTTTAACTACCTCGCCGCAACACAGGAAGTGGTGTGCCCACAACACAATGTCAAAGAAATATAAATGATACGAAATTAATATTTGCTGTGACCAACGATCGACAATGTTTATTTTTGTTATCACACATGTATTTACAAATCGATCAAGCATAAGGCATGGAGTTGTTGATATGCTTCAGGGCTATTAGGTATAAAAACTGATATTTAATGTTTACTTAACCTTACTTATGAACGTTTTTTCGGGTTTCGTATCTCCGGAACTCTATTACAAAAATTTCTGTCTGTATATCAAGAGCTGCTATGTCTAAATGAATTAGCACGTTTTTTGTTGCAGCTGTAACTACAAGTCTAAAAGTACAATAATTACTAAATTAAAACGCATTTTGTTGTATATTTTACTGTTAGGAAATTTTAATTATTTCTTACCCTATTTCTACGGAACTCTTCGTGCAAGAGTTCGACTCACTCTTGGCCGGATTTATATATATATTCATAGAGGACAGACAAGCACAAGGTTCACTTGCAGGTGAAATACCCTAGCCATACAACATCTTAATAAGATGCGCTGTCAGCCTATTTTGGTTGTGGATATTTGGAAATCCACAGACGGAAATCGGACGGTAGCCGGTAGTTCGTCCCGAATATTCCTACCAACCACTGGAAACAACCAAAAATCCAATATGTTTCAAATAATTTACAAATATAGATTAATAAAAAATGTTTGACCCGGTAGGGATCGAAGCCACGACCCGTTGATTATTAGCCATGCTTTGCTACCATTACGCAAACGAACCAGTGAGATTTTACTTTAAATAGAGAACTAAAATATTTCGTTCAAAATGAATGTATGTATATGTTATTATGTATGAGTAACAATTTTAATTGATGCTAATTTTATTCGTATAAGTTGACAGTTTAATTAAGGTATTGTGTCATGTAACACAGTGCTGATAAGTAAATATGAAACAGCCGTATATTGCTGTACATCTTTAAGATGACAACTTTGTTGATATATAAAAATATTTAATTCTTTGGAAAAACTATTCTCATGGTTCATAACATGAACTGTGAATAAGAAATAAATGCATTTACGTATAAGCATTTTATATTACTTTTTTATGTATTTTAAAATTATTAAAATAAATGAGTAGGTACTATGTTTTACACATTAAAAAATATATTTTGACGAATTATCTTTATACATTCGAGTGTTTATATTTCCGGATACCGTTGTCTGTTAACTATTGCCAAATTATCATGACCCTCGATTTTTTATTATTGTTTTTCACGCAACATTCAGCGTGATAACAAGTTAAGCCACAGACTAGCGTACAGAAGACTTCCGCGGTGAAAAGAAATGAAAGTTGTCATATAACACTATACTAAGTACTATGAAGAGTGAAATTAAATCTAAACTACGGTCGGACGCGCACGCGCCGATCTTGAGGAGACACCGTGAATTGGCAGACTTACCCTAGATTTCGTTCGGTAGAAAAAGTATAAATAAACAATAAGATGTGCAAAAATCTAGATCTCGTTCCAAATGCGATTAGGTCAAAGAACCACGACACCAACATAAGCTACCTACGCAAATACATTAAAATATAAAAGCTAAATCACGTAAACGAATATTTCTTGTTTTAGAACTCACCTATAAAACGTGAGTTAGCTTCGATCAAAACAAACAAATTGAAGTCAAGGGAATCGCCACAGCACAGTTTACTAAACACAGGTCGGCAGTCAAGCACATATCAGTTATAATTGTTTATATATCGGCCGTAACGACTAACGGCGGCGCGTCGTTACGTTGTGGTACTGCGCCGGCGATCACGGCACTGACTGCTGCGCGCGAGCATAGCGCCTTATCGACAAGCCTCTCATACGATAAGCGAACTCGAACTTGCTAAATTCTCATAAAGAACTTCATCCACATACAACAAGGCTGCAACAGTCATATACTTAGTAAAGTAAAGTCCTCGGGTTAAGAATATTTATTTTATTCTATACAATATAACAAATATGTTTTGTCATCTCTGTTGAATGAAAATAACAATCCAAAAGTGATGCTTTGTCCTTTTTCTTTGGTTTATTTCTATATTTTTTCTTTTATTTACTTAATATACACAAAAGAGAAAATTAAAATTTAGGAGACAGGCATCCAGTTAAAGCCATTATTGGAAAAAAGATAAGAAAGTTTTAACAATAAAAAATGTCAAATCCAACGTTGATTACATACTGAATAATATTATTCGCGGAAATAACGAATCGTTATAACGCGCACCTCGCTATGGGGTCATGGACGAGCAGCGTTATTTTGGCAGCTCAACGACGAAAATATCAACACGTGAATAAACTAGAGAATTTTACTATCGCAGTATTGCTAGTTGGATATATTTTCAATCGCATGATCATTTCTTACAATGTAACTGTATTAATATTATTTAGCATTATTTTATTATATTAATATTAAATACTGTCTGTAATTTACACCAGTAGCACAAATTTAAATAAGAGACTCATTTACATCGCGTTTTAAACCGTTAAAGTGGTTTATTTAAATATATTAATATTATTTTCTTATAAATATGTTATTGTATAGGGCTTGTATAAGCGTCAAATTTAGAATGTACATCTTGTTTAAATATATATATATTTGCATATATGTATCTAAATAAATTTTTACAATAAAGAATTCGCATTTTATTAAAAACAATAATTATTACCACTTATTTAGTTCTGTTAATACATCTTTCTTATTCAGATATAAATTGGATTTTTAAGAGTAATCAATGATCATCGAAAACAGGTATGTAAAACTGCGTAATAGAGCTGCAGTTACACGTGGCCTATATATTCGCATTACATTTATATACCTGTGAATATCAATACGAAAGTTATATGTACTACATATAACTTTGGTACTGATATTTGCATTATAGTGAACAGAACCTTAATAAAAAACTGGCGAGCTCTCGATCTAAATTGAGGCTGCTAAAGGCAGAGTGGCCTAATAAAACTCTCAAAAAAAAGTTGCCTTCGTACAAAAAACAGTTAGCTCACTTCAAAATGACCCCCTTACACAATCGTAGAATCATCTCCGACGCTATATTCTTATCGAAATTATTACAAAATAAAATTGACTCTCCCCAGCTATTACACAAAATAAGTTACTATGTCCCATCCAAATATCCTCGCAAGCCCTCAACCCCCCTTCGCACTCCACTACGCAGAACTGTGTTTGGTGCCAATTCGCCATTATCGAGATGTTGTCAAGTTGCAAATGAGCATAGTCACTTAATCGATCTACACCTGGATTCACCCAGAAAACTTAGTAATTTGTTGTCTTTAGCCCTCTCAGTTTAATTTAGTATATTATAGTCGTATATCTTAGTTATAACGTTTTCAATGTATTCCTTCTTGTACAACTTAGTCCTCACTTTGTCTTTCCTTTGCATGTTGTGTCTGTCTATAAGTGTTTTACACAATTTTGTTTTGTTTTTTGCATATTTTAAGTTTAAGCTACTGTAATTGTGATAAAATGTCGACAGTCCTTACCCAATAAATAAATAAATAACAAAAAACATGATTTTCAATAAGGAGGAAAATAAAAATTCCCAATTAACTTAGGCGAAAATGAATTTGTACTAATATTTGGGTAAGAGTAATGCTAACAATTTTCGCTCAATGTGCTCTTGTAGATTAACATTTTAAGACTATAATACTATAAATAAGTCAAGACATAAAATTGCAGTTAGGCTACTCTGCCTCTAGCGGTCTTAATTAGTCTATTAAGCCGATAAATTCATATAAATTACACAAAACAATACCTATCTAGAACGTTGTCCACATTCTATTGTATAATTCTAGCAAGTCAAACTCTTTCTCGAATCGAACTCATTCCTAAATGTCATGTTTTCTTCGCTTTTCATGACAGTATTTTTGGTATGTTTTGATTTTTGACAATACACTTAAATATTAAAATTTCTTAAAAAAAATACATCAATAATCAATTAAAATTCACGATGAATAGAACCGCAGGTTATTTTATATTGAATAAAAGACTCGTAGCGTACTTTTGTATTTAGACGATGTTTAGATAGTTAATGTATATTTGTTAACTTTATAAGTACAATCACGATTAGCTAATTACTATTTTCCCTGTAAAATCTTTATATTTGACTATCATTTATCTCTCTCCCCGTACATTTGTTGCCCTGAGTGTTGTTCTGGACACCTAACTGTTTCTTACTTCACATTGTCGACAATATCTTCGTCCCCAATCGTATTACTAATGGATAGATTTATTGCTATATAAGGCATATTTCTAAAACATTATTCCTCATTTGTTTCCTTTCTTATCTTTTAGCGTCAAGTCCAGAATATTTTGCTCCATGGCTCCTTGGCATGTTCCAATCTTTCTCACTGTGTGCAACTTGTATTTCCATGTTGGGCTGCTATAGAAGGGGAAAGCGAGGTGCAAGTAGACTATATTCTAAAATATTTCACTTCAATTCACAATGATAAGTTATTTGTAACTGAGGAATTCTTTGTCAGAAAGTGATTCTTAAATTTCTTACTTTGAGGAAAGACTTTACGTAAAAATATAAAACCAATTGCTTTTTAATCCGATGAATAAAGACCAAGTTATATGCTTTGTTGATGCAAATGATGTAGTTACACAATAGAAAAGTTGTCTTCATTGTTATCTGGATATATTATTGGTAGCGATTATTGTTATCGATTTCAGCGATTAGAATCACCTGATAAATAGCCTAAAAACTATCGTAACAAGTTGGTATGGAAGGTAGGTAATGTAATGTTAGGTTTATAAGTAATTTAGTATTTAAATAAAACACTTTAACGGTTTAAAACGCGATATATTATACTTGTTTGAAAATGATTTTTAACTTCGGCCTGACGTTTCGGATGCTTTGCAGACGCCGTGGTCAGTTACCCCGTAACCACGGCTATTTAAATAATTACCAAACAAGTTTAACAAATATATCGCGTTATAAAACGTTTAAGTGTTTTATTTAAATGTGTTCTACTCGCGTAAATTACAGAGAGTATTGTAAACTCTAGTGTACAAAAAGCCTAAAATCAATTTTCTTCAATATACGAAAGCAAAGATTCCTGTTATTCCGTCTATGTATATATTATAATGATCAACCACCACATCTTGTATTAATGATAATAAATTCATAGATTCGTAACCTTGTTTACAGCTGCTGACAAGTTCGACAGAAAAAGTCCAACAAGACCCATTACGAAAAGAGCCCATTCGTTCAGCCCCACTAATCTTAGGCCACGGGTAAGGTTGTAGACAACATTGTTCTTTTGATGTAGTCAAATTAGTTTGAACGCAGTTCTGCCTTAGTAGCAATTCTAATTGGTAGAAAATTCTTTATTTTGAGAAAGGAGGACAGACACACATGTGTTTCAATTGATAGAAGGTAAATCACCCCACCCCAGCCATATAACATCCCAACAAAATGCATTGTCGACCTATTTTGGCTTTTGGAAATCTGTGGACGGACAGGGGTTCATGACCCAGATAGAATTGAGAAATTCTGCGACCCATTTATTTACATTTATTTATTTACATTTATTTACATATATGCACTGTCATAACAGGTTGGATCCCAATGCGACAGAGATCTTAAAAAACTAAACAATATAATTATATATGATAGAACAAATATATATGAACTTAAACCACACTATCGTTCATAACTCAAAATAAACTTTAATGTATTTGTGAGTTCACCCCAAGGACTGTAAAAAATATCTGCTTTTTTGTGCAAAACATTTAGGACCTCGACCGTCCTCGTCCGTTGTGCCTTTGCCATTAAGTTCGTTCTAGCAAAAGGCACCACGAGAAGAGGTGGCGCGAGACTTTTGTCCCTATAGCAGTCAGGCACTATAGGGTTTAATATCCAGATCTCTAGAAGAAGTCAAACGTGTTACAAAAATTTAAATTGCTGAGAAACATTTAAATGAAACACTTTAACGGTTTAAAACGCGATATATTAGTTAAACTTATTTGAAAAATGGTTTTAAACTTCGGCCCGACGTTTCGGATGCTTTGCAGCAGCCGTGGTCACGGGGAGACTGAAGAAGTTATAAATCATTTTTCAAATAAGTTTAACTAATATATCGCGTTTTACACCGTTAAAGTGTTTTATTTAAATGTGTACTACTCGCGTAAACTATAGACAGTGCTGGGAAACATGTTAAACTTGGAGGGGATCGAAGCCACGACACGGTGATTACAGCCCTTCAAAACTTAAGCTGTATGCTTAATCGACTACTTCTTTTAATCTTCTAGTTTTCGTTACTAAAACAATTGTTTAAAATTGTAAGTTAGATAATATAAAAGAATCATGAATGCGTCCAAAATATTAGATCACAAATTTCGAATGCAACAGCCGTACATTAATTCGTCTCGGTTCAGCGAATAATGTACAGTTAGGTATGTAAACGATCTTTTAAATTTAAATATGATTAATTGTGACCATTTCTGAGAAGGCATCGCGTTCGAAGCTATATTTTTTATCACCAAACACGGCGTCGCTCTCTTTTTATTTTAGTACAAGTTTCGTTCATGCTTTTTTAATAATATTTAATTGTAATTTTATTGTTTTAAGAGTCCCGTCGGAGCTAAAAAGGTTATAAAGGAAAGGAGATGCCAAAGTCTTATACCTCAGGTAGGTTAAATCCAGATATGTTTAAAGCTTAACTTTACACTTTACTTTAAATTTAATGTAAGTTTAGCAATGTATGCCTAACAACCAAAGGGTTGAGGATTTGATTCCAACCAAGTTAAGTGTATTTGTTAGTAGGAATCGCCAAATTCGGTGTAAATCGTCTTTCGGTTTAAGTTTGTATTTCCAGATAAATTGACAGATAATGTTGTAGAGCATTTATTTAAGTTCAGCGCCATCTATCGAGTGAAATATGTAGTTGTTCGTCCATAAATTAAAAATCTATTTAGATAGAAAAACCAACATGGGCGGGACTTGAACCGGTATGCGCAACATTCTGTGCTGGTGCTAACTAATGAAGCTACCGTGTCCTACACGACAACGTGGAATTTCTTTAGCCCTTGATACAGGTTCCCCTCGCAATCTAGTTTAAACCATAACTCCTTCTTATTAAGGTTCAATGTCCCTCGTATCGTATTTTTTTTTCAATATAAAATTCTCCAATATTGATTCTTACTTCACAGCAAATGCAAAAGAGATCAATAGAAAAAGTAAACACAGAAAGTTATACACCAGAAAGTGCTTCTGCCCCTGAAAAGTTGAATGCGATGATGGATAAGTCCCAACACAGCATTTACCAAGAACCAGGTTGGTGATGTTTACTCAAATCATGAAGATTTGTGTAAATGTTGAAACACTTTAATCCCTTTATTTTTTTTTATATATCTGCTTGTTGGTTAGAAAACTCGATTGGAGATCACAATGCACGGGGTTTGAATCCAGAGTAAACCGATGTTAGTTTATTTGTTATTCATCTTGGAAAATTTCTACTTGCAACTTCTTCTAAATTGCAACGTCAGTCCCGCTTATCATTTAATTAGTTAGGTTATGACAAACAATAAGGCCCATCAAAACGAACTGGGATAGCGAGGTAGGGGTAATATTTACTCTTATGACAGACAAAAGGGCCCAGTTGTAGGCCCAGTATGTAACATATCACTTCATTCATAGGCTGTGTGACTTGGTTCGTTATATACTAGGAAATTAAATGACATTTTGTGCTTATTTTATCGTTGAATCTTATTATTGTACATTCATTAAAAGCTCTAAGAATTTAAATTTAACACTTTAACGGTTCAAAACGCGATATATATTAGTTAAAATTATTAGATTTTTTCAAACTACGGCCCGAGGTTTCGGATGCAGCAGTCATGTTCGCGGGTTTAACTAATACGTATATATCGCGTTTTAAACCGTTAAAGTGTTTTATTTAAATGTCTACTACGCGCGTAAACTACAAAAAGTATTTAAGCTCTAAGAATTTAACAATTATGTTCGGGCAAGATGGAAAACTTACGTTTCGCTCTATAGAATCTCGAATACTGAAATAAAAAGTTCTCGCCTCTAACAGAAAAAGACGTTGCCATGCCACATTGCTTGGTGACAAAGGCGCTTCGTGCGTTAGCTACAAAAAAGAGAGAATTTATGAAATTACGGAAGTCTCTACTTCACCAACAGGTACCATATCTTTTTACCGACAGAACAATTGCTTTTTTTATATATCTGTGTCTACCAGAATATCTATTTATATAGATAAATAAGAAGTTGACCGAACTATGTCTGAACGTAACTAAGTAATTTGTTTTTAGAATTCGAATCCAGGACCTCTCGCGTTTAACGCATTACTATGCTGGTTAATTGGTCAAATCAGATTCTACTTAAGTTACTAGTTATATTTCTAATTTACTTATAAATTAATGATATGTGCGTTAATCATACATACAATTTAGTAAGTTTCGTTATCCGGCGGTTTGGTAGAGCATAAAGCTTTCATATGCTTCTTTAATTTTTTTTACTTACTTATTGCGTCCCGAAATAAGTAAAGTAAGTTTTTTTTTTTGTAAAAGTACGGGTTCCCTTATAACATATAACCAACAAGTCACATTTAAAAATTGTCAAATTAACGGTCTAAGGAAATGGTGCTTCAGGTTTTCCATAAATTTAATACGTTAATATTTGATTAAACAGAAATATCCTCTATGATGTAATAACCAGCCTGTTTGTTTAAGAACTCCTTGCTGGAACATTTCGCCTCGTTAAAAGAGCTAGAATCGCGGGCTGGAATACACGACGAGTCTTTAGGAGAGATTCGCATAATGTCGCTGCCTGGATGGCCAGCGCATGACATTCTGCTGTTGCTGAGAGACGACTTCGAAGCGCCACTTAAACTTGACAGCAATGGTTGTTTAGGTAATATAAAATCTTATATTAGATGTTACTTGAATAAAACTCTTTTAACGGTCGAAAACACGACGTTCACGGAGAACTGATGTTGGAGGGGGTCTCTGATGTCAAAATAAAAACTTACGCTAGCGCCATCTGTTCCATAAAAGTTACTAATTAGACATTAGGGACACCTTCCAACTTCAGTCTCCCTGTGACCCCGGCAGCTGCAAAGTATCCAAAAAGTCACGACGAGCCGCAGCTAAAAAAAAATTGTGAATGAGTTATCTATATTCTAGCTATCTATATTTAGCGTTGTAAACGGTTACGTGTTTTTAAATGTGTACTACTTGCGTTTACTACAGACATCTAGTTGTAAATTTTAGAAAGGGGTTTTCTTAAGACGGCTTTATTTAACTTTTAATTAAATAATCCAAGTACTTAAACCGTTTAAGAGTACTATGGAATTAAAAACTCACATCATGTGGACAATAATGTTAAAATGACAAATAAATGTGTAAGCTATTATGTTATATTGTTTTTATGTAATTTAAAGAAATCAGGAAACATGGCAACGCAGCAACAAAAAATTGTATGTACGTATTTTGCTTTTATATATTTTTATGGCATCGCGTTCACTTGATAAAAGGTAAAATACCCTAGCCATATAACATCTAAACAAGATATGGCTTTGGATATTTGGAAATCCACTGACTGAAAATGTGGCCATTTCATTTGTCTATATTGCATATGTGTTATGTTTATACTGCTTTGTATTTATAGTGAGTATCCAATTGAGTATATAATAAGTATACTATGATGACTAGGTACGCAGGTGATGCAGCAATTACAAGCCCAACTCGGCACAATACCTGAACAGGTATTGACAATGGGAGCGGAGATCATGGCTCGTCGCATCGAACTGCTGAATCTTCTGAGATGCAAACATCGCTGCGATCGATCTACTTATCACACGGTTACGATCCGATATCACTAAAATAAATGCAATGTCTAATTTTGAATCCGCCAGTCAAAAATTTTTCTAATAATATAGGACAGACAAGCATAGCATATCCCAGGCCATAGTCTGTCGATGTCACTGTCGAACTATTTTGGCGTTGGATATTTGGAAATCAACAGACTGAAGCCTGTGGACGTGGTTTGTGACCCGCGCGTAATTTCGATATTGCTACCGGGTGGTATTTAATATCCAGACTTCCAGAAAAAGTCCAACATGTTTCATAAAAATTATGAATTGATTAGAAAAATGTTGGGCCCGGTGGGCCCGGTGGTTGGGCCCGATTCCACGACCCTTTGATTATTAGCTACTTACTACGTTACTACATTGTTACTATTACACCAAGAAGCCCGTCGATGAACGAACGTCGAACTTTGGAAAATGTCAAATTTGCTTGGTCAATTTGGATCTAAGTATATGTTTAACCAAATCAATATTATGTTCGTCGCAAATAGTAAAAGGATAGCTCTTTATTTAATGACTACTTCTACTTACCAACGAGATTTTGGAGAAAGATCTCCTTTTTTTTAACAATTTCAATCAATTGTGACAAAAACTTTGACATTTGTTTTAATTACAAGATAAAGAACGAATCAACAGCATACAACAAAGTCTGTTTTTTTCTGCAGAATTTGGAATGGAAAACAAAAAATAGCGAGTTTGACAACGAGACGGAACGTCTGCACAGACTCGTCGCTGGAACGGCAGAAAACTTAAAGGAGAAGATTACTTATTCGATTGATCTAGCAAAGTAAATGCTGTTTATTACACTAATTAATATTGTAATATAAGACCGCTAGTGGCAGAATAGCCAAAAATGTTAACCTACAAGAGCACAGTGACCGAAAATTGTTAACATAATTCTTACACAAATGAGGCCGCTAGAGGCAGAGTAGCCTATCTGCAACTTTATGACTTGTCTTATTGATATTTTTATAGTCTAAAAATGTTAATCTACAAGAGCACAGTGACCGAAAATTGTTAAACTAATTTTTACACAAATAATAGGACAAATTTATTTTCGCTTAAGTTAATTGCACATTTTTATTTTCATCCTTATGCAATCAAATCATGTTATTTTATTAGGCCACTCTGCCTCTAGCAGCCTGAAATTATAGTACAAATTCATTTTCGCCTAAGTTGATTTTGCACTTATTGAAAATCATAATTAGGCCACTCTGCCTCTAGCGGCATCATATAATTGCGTCTAACAACTTTATCTATTTCAGATTGCCCTGGGTAGATAGAGAGAACTTCGCTAAAAAGATTGAACGCTTACAAAAAGACAACTCCATACTTCAAATGAAAATCGAAGAGTTATTGAAAAAGGACAGAGTTCCTAATGAGGACGATAAAAGTGACAAGCCCACAGAAAGGGCGCCCAACTATCAAGTAAATACATTTTTAGTAAAAAAATCATTCTAATAATAATCTCTACTGCTGAGCAAATATATATTATTTTCGGTACTTTAACAATACAAACTTTTGTTTCATCAACTTCCTACTTATTTTTAATCATTTAGTTTTTTAAGCTGCTACAGCTTAAAAAACTAACTATTTTATGACCTGGAATTGCAAAATATTTTTTTACTGGATTGGTTATGGTGGCAAAATATAAACAAGCAATGCATTCAAATTGGACATAAATAAGTTTTAGTATTAAGTACATTTAAAAAATATATATTTTTTACCAATAGACTATATGTGATGAACTAGCAAGAGAGAAGTCAGCTAGAGAATCGTTGAAGGAAGTTGTATCGGCCGCAGAAAGTATGCTGCGTGTGGCCAGAGCTCGAATTGCCACCTTGGAGAAACAGTTGAAAGACACTCGAGCTGAAGTTGAAACGGCTCGTAAGAAGCATAAGGACTTAGAGCAACTTGTAAGTTTGTCCAAGTAACATATCTATACTAATATATAGAGATGAAGAGTTTGTTTGTTTGAACACGCTCATCTCAGGAACTACTTTGAACTAGTAGGGTTCAAATTGAAATTCTTTCTGTATTGGTTGGAGCATGTATCGAGGAAGGCTATCAAACATTGCATTGCGACCACTATGAATAGGAAGAAACAGCAGGGAATGCGGAAACAACGGACAAAATTAATCATCTCCATGGGTTTCCGCTGCGCACGTTGCGAAAACGATTCAAGATACCCAAAATATGTATCAAAGAATGATTTCTCTTAAAATGATCATAAGAAATGTCCCTGATAGTAGATGTCTATCTTTTAAGATGAATTTGCAAGAACGACGGGACACAGACGATGTTTTAGGTATCACCATGAATTTATAGAGTTGAAAAAAATTATGGAGGTTGGCGAAAGCAAAATTTGATGACCAAAATAACTATTCTATGCGGCCGTAGTCGCTGTTACAATTAGTTATGCTATAATTATAAACATGTAGATCTATCTATTAAGTAATTTTGTTCTTTAGTATCGACATCGGGAGTCAAGTTACGATGCACGTTCAAGGAAGCTATTGGAGGTATCAAAAACTGGAGAAATGACCATTGAAGCTTTGTCACGGCAACGCGACGCTTTGGAACTGAGGTAAGTTTCTTGTTGTCTGATGATGATGATCTAAATACCAATAACATCGTGATGTTGGGATGATTAGGGAAAGCGTAATTATATCTTTAGGTGAAATTTGCAGAAATCGATAAAAAAGCTTAAAAGAAAGTGTATGGGATTGTATATAAACTTTAGACGATAACATCAGATTGGAATTACAAATTCATATAGTTCACGCGGTAAACTACAGATACAACTTTTTAATGTAATATCTCTAATCTACAAAATAGGACAGTGATTACACTGGGAATGTGTGGATATTCATATAAATAATTTCATTTAGAGTGAAAGAATTGCGAGAGGAAGCGGCAGCAGCGGAGAAGGAAGCAGCGGCCCGTGAACTGGAACAAAAGACACGCAACGAGACGCTGCAGGCGAAGGTAGCAGAACAGGTGCCATGAAGTTAATACAAAGTATTAAGAGAAAACTTAGCACAAGACTATATGGATACATAAATGCTTTACCTAACCAGATTTAAAAGTGTGTCTAAATGATACAGTATTGTGTTTACAGGAAAGAAATCGAAAATTTGCCGAAACGAACGTGGCTGAACTAGAAGGACGTGTAAAGGATCTTGAAGAACAATTGCGAAGTTTACGAGATAAATCGATGCGTCTCGTTGATTTAGAACGACGGCGTTGCTTAGAATACATACCAACTAAAGGTATAATATAGAATGATTTGAATATTTAATAATATATCTAAAGATATATATACTCTATACTCATATATAGAATAATATATGAGTATCTTTTGATTATTTCTTACGGAGGATAATTCACCGCGTTATGTGACGTTACAACTCTCTTTTCTTATGCATAGCCCCCCTCCCATCACACTCTAATTACACGCTAGCTTTATTTCGGACATTGCTAATTATAAATAATTTATATTCCTTTTTCTTAGAAAACGAACCGTCTGACAGAGAAACCGAAATTTGGAAAGAATTGCAAGTGACTCGCGTAGCTCTATCTCGAGCTGAAGACGATCTTCGGCAAGCTAGAGCGGATAAGGAGAGCTTTTTAAACTCACTTTCAAGGATTGCGGTAACTATTAGTCATATTAATGTAATTGCGATTAATTTACTTCTGGCGGCAACTTTGCCGCTAGACTTATTACGTTTTTTATTAAATGTTCTGAATACTGTCTATAGTTTACGCAAGTAGTACACATTTAAATAAAACACTTTAACGGTTTAAAACGCGATATATTAGTTAAACTTATTTGAAAATGATTTTTAACTTCGGGGACGGGGTCTCCCCGTGACCACGGCTGCTGCAAAGCATCCGAAACGTCGGGCCGTAGTTAAAATATTTTTCTAATAAGTTAATATATCGTATTTTACACCGTTCAATGATATGACAAGAAATAAGACATTGACAAAGTTTACGTTACAGCAAGAAGAAGGAGCGAACAAGAATGACAAATTGGCTACTGAATTACTCAGCAGGGAACAGAAGATATGTGCTTTACAACGCGTTATTGAGAGTCAGCAGGAGAACGAAAAGATTATGTTGGTTTAAATTCAAGTTTAAATTCAGATTCAGAATCAACATTTTATTGCCATTATAAGATATTTACAAACTTTTACCTCATAACAAAATTGCGTGCATAAATAATGTATAAGAGATGGTAAACGGTACCCAGTCCCAGCTGGGTTGTCATACCCAGGAGCGTTGGTTTTCAGACTGACCCGGGTATACAAGGAAAAGAATGAAGTTTAGTCACCTATTATAATTAAGTATTAATATTATTTATTTATTTTGTATTACAGGGAACAGAGCATGACCGAATATGAAAACCAGCTCGCAGCTATGCGACTAGAAATAAAGAAGCTGCGAAATTATGACTGCTATTCGAAAGATGTCACGTATCAAGATTTACAAACAGAGGTATAATATATGAAATAAACATGAATCCTTCGGCTGACTGTCCCTGCCTTACTGTATGATCTAGCGGCCTGCATATGTAACGTGCAAGCATCTAAATAAGTATTTATTCAATAAAATTCTAAATGTTATACAGTACGGATAAAGCGCTTTAAATTATAATCTATGGCATACAAGACCTTTACCCAACTTCTTTTATTTGCTATCTGTTTTGAATAGAATAAAACCCGTTGCCCAAAACTGTGATAACATCCAAGTATACTAACGGAGATCAGCATGTGCAGATAAGATACGATTATTTCGTTATAAATTATTTAATATATACTGTATCGACAAATTACATCCATTGCTTAATTTATATGAATATGCATAAGCAAAATCTATGATCTCAACATTTCAGCTGCTAGAAATGCAGATGCAAGTGGAAACCTTGACACGAGAGCGTTCCGCGTTAGTATCAGCTGCTGCATCAAGAGCACTGATGCTGGAGCGTCATGAACGTGCTGCGGACTTGTTCGCACGGATGACCAGAGCTCGAAGGAGCCTGGCTGCTCACTTGGATGGGCATACTGACCCACCTGATAATGATGTCTCCGCTTATCCAGAAGTATGTCACATACTTGAGCATCCTTTATACCAAATACTGTCTTTAGTTTATGCACATTGAAATAAAACACTAAAACGGTTTAAAACGCGATATATATTAGTTAAACTTGTGTTTTAAACCGTTGGCGTTCTATTTAAACCATTATACCAGTTATTTTACCCCTTATAGGAGCTTTGTTTCTTCATACATATATAAAAACCTATTGATTTCCTCAGGTATCCCGTTCATTGACATCAATGTGTTCTTACGCGGCTGATACCTGGTCAGCACTAAGAGCAGAGCGTTCAAGGGTAATACGTCTGGAGAGTGCTGTCTTAGCACAAAGCTTGCAACTAGGAAGAGAAGGCCGAGTGAGAACCCAATTGGAGCGCCGTCGAGCACTTTTGGAGCGTGAAATTTTGCGAGTGCGGCATAGTACTGGGTCAACATCACCACGAGTCAGCTACAATAATAACAATAGTACGTGTCGTCTGTAGTCTACGCGTGTAGTATACATCAAAACACTTAAAGGTTTTAAACGCAAAATATATGAGTTAAGTGTTTTATGTAAATAAAATTTAGAATTTGTAAATATACTTAGTGGTTTTACTACTTGAATATTTCATCTTTACAGATTCAGCCCTGTTCTTTGAATGACTTCGCCACGTAAATTTAGACCTGGTATTGTAGACAAAGTTAACAAATATTTCTTGAAACAATAAAGTATTATGAACATTCACATTTATTTCAATTTTATAATGACCCAAACAAACAACACGACGAACAATGAATACGCATCAAAGTCTATGACTTGTTAGGTTCAGCATTTTTGTTGTTCTGTCCTCTCTAATGCGTCTGGGTAGGAGCTGCAAATTCCGTCTTATCACTTTCTCTTTCGGAATTTTTTCTATAGGAGTGTCTCTTAGAGGTGAAACAGAGTTATTTATGTCAACGCAAGCATTTCGATCACAATTTACGGCCCACTCTAAAGTGTCCATATTAGTTTTAAACTGTTCTCTATTCAAAACGTGTCTTCGGCGTGAATTTTCTTTTTTGGGCTCAGGTTTGATTTCTTCATAATCATCTACAATGGTATTTGCTTGGCCACTATCATGTTCTATTAAATTTATTCGCTGTGGACCATGATGGGCTATTTGGATATCGTTATGCAGATGTTTAGTCCCGTTATTCTGAAAATCAATCCTAGCTTCATACTGATGATCAAACGAATTTCCCAGTTCATCTTCAAGAATTTCAAATAAACTATCAAGATTTTTCGTCGGGTTCTTGCTCGTTTGATGTATATAATTATCTAAATACGATTTGTTTTCATCATTTTGTTTCTCTAGTATTCTAATTCTTTCATGATCCTTCCGTTTTTGTTGGCTAGCTTTTCGCATTTGCTCTTCCAAGGTTAGTATTATTTTTTCCAATTGCGATATTTGCCCTTTCCTCGTTTCCAAATTGTTAATAAGAACATCAATTTCTTCATTCTTTTCTATAAGTTGTCGGCTTAGCTATATTTGAATAGAATTTAGTTATTATAGCATAAACAAATTAAAACCAAACTTATTATTAAATATAAATGAATACTTTACGTCTGAATCTACGCGAGATCTATTTTCCAAATTATTTGTTAATAGCTTTATTATGTTTCCTTGCTCCTCCTTTTTTTGTGAGAGAACTTTAATTAAATCGTCTCTTTGTTTTATATCAGATTCCAGCTGAAGTTCTTTTTCCATGAGAAGTTCTACATCTACGTCCCTTTTTTGCAATGTTTGTGCAAGTTCGTGGTTTTCACGAGTAATGCTTTCCAGTTTATCTTTTTGCTTGTTAAGCTTCAAATTTAGTGAATATTGTATAACATAGTTAGAAAAGTTATTATATATTATAGATTAACTATATAGAAAACAAAAATACCATTTCGCGTAAATCACTTATGCTTTCATAATCCCCAAAGCATTCTTGTAGTTGTAATATATGATTTTTGAGAGAAGATAATTGTTCTTCATAAGATTCCATTTTGGATTCGCTAAAATATAAATGAAAACGTTATAATGAGATTCTTTTTTTAATAATAAAATTGAGAGTATGTCAAACCTTGCTTCGAGTTTCTCCTCGACATTAGCGCTCTTCTTTTCTAACGTGTTAATATAATCATCTCTAGCTCGGAGATCACTTTTTAGCTTTTCTTCAAAAAGTCGTGAGTCCTTAAGTTTATCCTGAGAGATTTTGTGTAATTAAATCCTCTAATTATTTTATAAAACTTAAACAGGTCCGACCAAGTCTCAGTAATATTACTTTTTCTTTGTTTCAACCAGTTTGAAACAGACTTTTTTAATATATGCTAAAACTAAAACGAAAAAATTCTCTTATCATTCTGTACCGCATATTAATGGTCTGAATCTTACCTCTATTTCCTTTATTATAGACAGTTGATCTAAAAATCGTTTTTTATGATGCTCAATTTCAGTTTTGAGCCTCATAAGCTCTTCTTCTACACATTCTAGTTTGCTTTCCTGTTCACGACAAGCATCTATAAAGAAAAATGTGCACCAATGGAATTTAATCAAGCAAGAAAGAAGCTCATCAAATTGTTTATATCGTTAATTAAAATATTAACATACTTACCTACTTCCTTTTCCCTTTCTTGTAATCTCTTTGTCAAGTCTTTGTTTCGCAATTCTATTTCTACAAGTTTTGCACACTGAGACTCAACTATTCCCTGAAGTTTTCTTTTTTCTTCAACTTCTATTGAATGGATCTTTTCCATATCAATTAATTGTGTCACTTTATTATTAAGTTCTTGTTTCAATGTATTAAGAGATTCGTTATAATGCGTTGATAATTCTTCTAGACGCTTTTCCAAGTCTTCTTTCCTATTAAGTGATTCCAATTATAAGATAGTCAAAATGCAAGTCATGAAATATATTGGAACTTACTCAGATTGTAGCTTCTCCCGAGCGTCAGCTATCTCCTCTAAATGAACACAGTTCTCCTTGATAGATTCGTTTAATTTGTTTAGTTCAGTATCAAAATCATTTTGTAGTCTCTCATTCTGTTGAAATTGTTTCCACTTCAGTTCACGCGTTTTATATCGGTTGAATAAATTTAAAATGCATAATAAGTAGTCTCAATATCGCGTTAATTATTGCAGTAATGGTAGAAAAACTTAATTTCCCCCCGCTTTCGAATTCTAAGGACTAATAATTAATTTCAGTTGTAACGAGAACCCAAGTCTAAGTTGTTTAAAGCGAATTAGTCAAGAAAAGACCTATAGTCATGGAAACTAGATTTCCCCCCACATTTGTATACCTGTATCTTCAATTCTAATACAGTTCTTTCCAAATTGCGTGTATGACACCGAGATTCACTTAATGCCGCTTCTAAGTTAGCAGCCTTCTCTGCTTCCATTTTAATCTGACCGTCTGAACGAGTTAATCGATCGCGTAAAGACCTACACTTGATTTTTTCTTCTTTAAGCTCCTTTTCGAGTTCCTACAATCAACAAACTCCTTATTTGCAAACAAAAATGAGATTAGACAGACTAAGGATCCAACTTACATCAATTTTAAGTTTATTACAGTTAGACTTAAGATGTTCAGCATTGTTGAGTTTCCTTTTAAGATCAATTATTTTAGAGTTCAGTTCTGATACTTCATAAGTTAGGTTTTCAGCGCAGAGTTGGCCATTTACTGCTTCGTTTACACATTTTCTGTAATATATTAAAAAAAATTGATTACATACGACGGTATTATATAAATCAAAAAGCAATTGTAGATTAAGATTCAAGGTCCGCCCGTTTGGTATATTTTTTATGTGAAATCTATTTGGTAGTGGATACTTGACTACAGCAAGAGATTGTGGATTCGAATCTCGGGTCGGGCAAAGTGTTTTTGAAAAGCCCGGAAAATAAAGTTGGAGAAACAATATTAGGTTGAAATGTGGAGTGAAGAGACATGAAATTTCAGTTATCACCTCAAAAAGTCCATTATGTCTTTAACCTCTGTAAGAAATTCGTTTTGACTTGTATGTAATATACTATTTAGCATTTCATTTTTAGCGTTAAACTCATTCATTTTCTTCCTTAAGGTTCTTGTACCACATTCCTGTTGAAAAGTTCGACATAATTTATTCTATGGATATAGTAAAAAGTTTATACTTTTAAATAAAACACTAACGGTTTAAAAGTTAACTTATTTGAAAATTATTTTTAACTTCAGCCCAACGTATTAAGCAAAAAGCACCCGAAACCGAAAAAAAACATTTTCAAATAAATTTAACTAATATATCGCGTTTTAAACCATTAAAGTGTTTTATTTAAATGTGTAATACTCGCGTAAACTATAGACAGTATTTAAGTTTATACTTTATTGTTAAGAGTGGATTTACCTTTTCTTGCGTTATAATATTTGTAAACCAATCAGTTAACTCCTGCTGCTGAACCAAAATTTGTTTAGAAGTTTCCACCAGTTTCATTGGGATTTTATTTAATTTATTCATATCAATCGAAAATGAATCTTTCATGACCGATTGGTTAACTGAAAATTAAAGTTAATACTTTTATATGTAAAATGTAAAACCACAACATTAGGATTAAAAATAACTCAATAAAGACTACAAAAAACGGCCAAGAGCGAGTTGGACTAACGTAGCGTAACAAAATTCAGTCTACTGGTAACTTTACTGTGTAAATGTTGTAAGTAATAATGAAACCTTCATTCTTAGTTCGCTTTGACTCTTCACACAGCTGTAACAGCTGCGCGGGAGTCAAATTTGCCACATTCATAATCTTCAAATCTTCAGTCGTTGGCAGACAAGCATCCTGGCCCAATTTTGCCAAGTGCTTCTGTGTTACTTGCAGAGACGCATACACTTGTAATATTGTGCTCTATTATTGATTATAAAGTTTAGTTACGTTAAAACACAAAATCATAGACAAGAGTCATATTTACGACCTACATTGAAAATTATAAGAAGCTGGAAGATTATATAAGATATTTATACTTTAATATGACAGAGAGATATAGACAAACATTCACAGAATCATAAATAATATGAACTGATGTGGTGTAGTTTCGAATTTTTGAAAAGAAAAACATACCTGTTGGTCTTTTAGTTCAGATTTCATCTTCTCAAATTGTACCGTCTTTTCTTGCCAATTCATTTTCAATTGAACTACTCTTTCACTTCGTGTTGTGAGGGATTCTGTAGAGTTTTGTTATAATTAAGAACAATAAATCTATGATTTTAGATGAGGATCTCTTTCATAAGTAACTTCATTTTAAAACGCGGCTGTTACATAACTTGTGTAGGAAATTAGGAACAATTTCAAAGTACCTTCATCGTCGTCGCTAAAATTATGATCAGATCCTTGCAGGTCGAAACTGTCGAATTCATGAACTTCTAAATCTTCACATCTTTTTATGGTCTCCTAAAAAATAGCCTTGTTAGGTTGTCTCAATAATTCATCGATACGATAACGTTACGTGTGTATGTGACGTTAATATCTATTTTAAAATTCGTAATTAATTTTATACCTGATCAGGTAGTATCGATGTGGTCCTATTGGTATAGGTCATACGTTGCATTAACTTCTGAAATAAGGACAAAGTCTTTTCAGTTCTTTTTCATATTTGGAATTTTTAAGGTATATACCACAAGTAGAAGGACAAGCGCGAAATTGGATAAAAAGCAATTAAAATGGAAGAATATAATCAACTTATATTTTTTTTAATGGAAATCTAAATATTAAGTGGGCCACGAACCACCATCTACAAATGAAAAAGCCGTAATATCCAGAGGCAAAAAAGGAGGACAGCGCATCTGTTTAGATGTTATATGGCTGGGTTATTTTACCTTTCATCAAGTGAACTACTGGCTTCTTTGTCCTCCGGTATCATAAAAAAAGAAGAACTCTAAGTATTGATTATAATATATCATTAGTAATAATCCAGTACGAACCTGTTTCGGCACCGTTATGACAGTCCTAACAGGTCTATTGGATGTAGTGGCATCCTTGTGGCGTTCATTCGTATTTTTTCTCGTTGTTGGCAAAACTTTCTGAAAAACATAATACTCTACTGTATGTAGTTTACGCGAGTAGTACACATTTAAATAAAACACAGTGCTTTATTTAAAAACATAATACGATTATCCGCAAAGAATCGGCCTATTGTTACAAGTGTCGCAAACGTCGTAACTAATGTTTTAGTGACGGATAGTTGTATATTAGAAGTTTAGCTAAATACGAGGTCTATACTTGTAGGCCTATTTGAGGTTGACAACACATCATAATTTAAGGCTATAAGACTGCAGCATACACCCTAAACCGGTTAAACGTATTACCTAGCATTGCGCAAAGCGCGAGAGGCCCTGGTATGAATCCCAGGGAATGAAAAAATTGGTTCGGTCAGGCAGGGTACAGAAGTCTGATCAACTACTTGCCTGTTAAAGAACGGATCAGTGAAACGGACAGAGAAATGTGTTCGCCCCATGCCCCACGAGGGGGAAACGAGATTTCACAAACATACACCCAAGTGAATCCTTTATATAGAAACATAGTCCCTCTTTCCCCTGGGGACATTTCAGGTTACACATTGTTTATATTTAAAAGACAAACTTTGTGTGCCCGACACCATTGTTGCTGCGGGATGCGAACCATTGAGATACGAAGGCGTTCACACAAGAAATAAATATCATGTTAAAGGATGACGGTAACCTTTTGAGCCGGTAATAGCTTTTCACGTTCGAATTTACTTGCACGTATCGTAGTTTCCACCTGCATCGGGTTCAGCTCGTCTTTCTTGTTTGCGGACTTTGGACGATTCTGGAAAATAACAAAAGCATATGATAAAAATTAATTCAATATAGTTGTAAAATCATTCGAGTAGTTTTATTATTAACAAAAAATTACCTCAGTAGAATGAGGTCTTGTCTTCATAGGGAGACGAGATAGAGCCAGGCTTTGTTCGAGCTTATTTTTCTATTAGACACATAGATAGATATATATATTTGTAAAAAAATGTTCTTAGCTGTTATTTATATTAGTTCAATTAATTTCGTTATGTACTAGAAAATTTCCTCCTTCCTCCCTTTTCTAGGCTTTCATATTCTAATAGCATTTAGGCAATCGTGGGCTAACTTTCGAAAATTTGTTTGTTAAGCAAAAAATATAGTACGCGTTTATATATTAGCGAGTATCGCGTTTAAAATTTAAACGCGAAATGTACAAAGTTAATTCTATTTAAATAAAACACTTTAACGGTTTAAAATTTGCAATTTAAACCGTTCAATCAAATTGTAAAATGTAAAATGCTTTGCAGTAGCCGTGGTCACGGGTCAAGCATCCGAAACGTCGGGCCGAAGTTGAAAATCATTTTCAAATAAGTTTAACTAATATATCGCGTTATAAACTGTTAAAGTGTTTTATTTAAATGTGTACTATTCGCGTAAACTATAGACAGTATTTAAGTCAATTCTAACCAAAATTTCGTACACTACGTAGTACTTTTAAGTGTTGTGCTATGTGCTTTATGTAAGCTACTTCAAAGGGCCGAATAAAAAGCGAATGTTCAAAAATAAAATAACCATGTCAGTGTTTGTTATTGGTCTAGGTTTACTTTGCCATCGTTGTCGCCCAGGTGACAGACGTTGTGGTATCCTGGACTTCGCTTGGCCGCTTGGTAAATCTGCAAGTAATCAGAATTTTATAACACCAAAATAACATTTGATAATTATTAATGTTCTGTTAATAATTGATCCACGGTGTCTGCTGCTGTTCGCTGTAGGAGCAGCACGGATCGGTGTGGATGCCGGTTCAAGTCGCGACCGTCTACAATCTGAATATGTTACTCATTTATATTTTCGCAGTATTATATCATCGTTCACCTTTTTTATGTACATCCCCAGACATTGCTAACTTTCCAATGTTTTCAACATAATTTTCCTAACTAATTGATGAAAGTAACGAAAATTTTACCAACACGGGTGACTGACATCACAAAATAATTCTGTCAAAGTATCCGTCAGTGATTTTTTACGAATTATAAGGAGCGATAAAGATTTATTTTTATTATTTAAAATTTTGTTTGTCTATTTATTTATATTCAATATTGTAGAAATGTGATTTATATTATATTCGATTTGTAATAAGGCAGTAATAAGGAAGTAGCTATCTCAGTTATACTAATAAAATTTTTGTTATACTTACAAATTATTATGAATTCGTAAAATAGTTCATTTAATACAGGCTGGAATGTGTATGTACTTTCTTAAACTCGCGTAAAAACAAAAGAACCAAGACGATTGTAAGTAAGGTACGTCAAGTGCGTATAGCATAAATTATTAAATTCTGCGAATGTGAACATTAGTTTCGAATAAATAGTAAAATCTTCTTGAACAAACTACATTAAAGACTTAAAAATAAAACAATCAGTCTCGTTTGAATTCAGAAAAAAATATGACATAAGCACTTCATAGCAAGTTCACGGTTTTATAATATTATTGTGTATCAAAATTGTATACGTTGATTTTATTATTATATATATACTTATTCGGATTCTTTTCAGATGAATCAAAATGTCCGCCACAGTTAAGCCAACCAAAGACAAATCTTGTAAGTTATCTGGATTTATTGTCATTATTAACGCGTTGTTATTTAGTAGCTTTATATAAATTACGAAAGCGAAGTTAAACGATTCTCAGAAATATAAATTTTTGGTTCAACGCAAAAATTTCCAAATAGATATCAAAAATCTACTAGAAGACTTACCATGCTAAATCTTATTTTATGCTTAAGATGCGGGGATTCCACGTCTCACTCCAAGACCAACTGCCGCCTCAGCAGCGAGGGCTGCAAGAAATGCTACGAACCGAAACTTGTCAACACCTGCTGTTCAGCGACTATCGCCAGTTAGGTCTCCACCATCACCGGCGAATTCTCGGGTAAAGTATAAAATCTCAAGTCTACCGATCACGATGTGTAATAAAAATTAAACTGTTTAATAGCTTCGATATCATTGATCATTTTAGAATAAGTCTCTATTTTTTATTTAGGTAAAAACGGCTGTGCAGCGTAATGGCAAGTCAGACTCGAGAACTGAAATTAAGGTAATTGAAGCGATGCTAAAGATACCAAATATATTAAATCTGTTTCAAGTTGTGTAAAATGTTTCACATGTTACAGATAAACAGAAACCGTGAACCCGAACTACCTCCGGCATCAGATGTAAGTAGTGTCACAAAAATAAAATATTTGAAATCTGATTTGACAAAATGATCTGCGAAAATGTATGTAACCTAAGTTTTCACTGTTTTGTGCGTTAGTATTCGATATCTTTGTAAGTTAAAATTTATTGCATGTTTTCTCTCATTCTTGTTGACTTTTACTCTATATATCTTTACGTATACAAAAGTTGCCTGGAAGAAATGGCCATAATAGGTGATTCGGCCGTCTTTGCTTTTTAGTCTAAATTTTTAATTTTGTATTACTTTAATTGTATTTTGTTTGTGCAGTAAAGTGTTTTATTATTATTATTTCGAAAACGGTGGTGTTTTTATTAATGCTGGCATTTGTATGTCTTTTAGGTGCCCGATGGACAGGAAGTTTTTGAAATGGAAAATGTTCCTGAAGATGTAAAGCATCAAGACGTGACTATTGAGATAACCGAAGACTCCCAAATTGTTATGCACGGTAAAGGCTTGTTATTGCATAATACAATATTGATTTTTAAGGATTAAGATATATTTACGTTGCATTCCTATTAATCTATAGATATCGAAGATACCGTAGAAGCTATGAATGATTCAATGAGACTCGAGAATGAACAGACGGCACCATTCGCTGGTAATACATATGGCCTTGACAAATGTTATATTCTAAAACATAATAGTACATGATTTGATTTTTATTTAGGTACAAGTTCAGAAAACATGGATCAAACGCGCACACAGACACCGGTAAATAGTCGCCCACAGACGCCGATTTCCAAGAGCCGGCCGCAGACTCCAAAAACTATCACACAAAGACCGCAAACGCCTAAAACCCCAAGCAGACCTACCACACCGGCAAAGACCGCACCGCGAAATAATATCCCCAGTCGACCCAATACTCCTCAAAAAAGTGTCGCGCCTTCTAGGCCTAAAACCCCAAAGGCCATAGCCACGCGACCAGTAACGCCGGTCACATCGAATGCGCAAAAACAACCACAAGATAATATTGATATAAGAACCGCGTACAATGCGAAGCAGAAACAATTTCAGCGGTTGAAAAAGGAACTTGACCTAAAACAAGTGAGTATTATTTTAAAAATCGAAAATAAATTGAAAAAATTTTCGACTCGGGCAGGACTTGAACCGGCATCGTCAGCGTTCCGTGCTGTTGTCTACCAATTAGCTACCGAGCCCTACACCTCATCGTCGAATTTTTTCAATATATTGATCATTTCGTCGTGATTTTTTCATCATTCAAGATGAAATTAAAAGTTATAACTTTGAATTCTTAAGTGCAAAGATAAGACTTGACATATGCGTATTAAGGTTGAAATTACATTTGTGAGAGGTGATGTATAATTTGAAAAATTATATAGTGCCTTTATGTACAATAACATGTAAAAAATATTAATGTTTTTAAGTGAGTATTAACTATTTTTAGAGCCTTTGCTTATAATCATGGCTATTTGTAAGCTTTTATGACAAGGAAGGACAGACACGCATGGGATTCAATAGATGGATAGTGAAAGCCATCTAACATCTGAACAAGATGCGCTATCAATTCGCCTATAGACATAAAATAACATTTACAAAATCAGTATCAAACAAGACAATACAACTACTAACGATGCCTTCTTCAAGCAATGTACATTTTAATTATATTACAATTTTGTAGGCAAAATTCATCAGTGCTTGCGACGTGCACATTGAAAGCCGTACTAACTATTGTTTTAGCAAGCTGTGTTAGAGATGTTCGATAATTTGCGAAGGCTACGTGAGCGAATGATAAACGAAGGCGTTTCAGCCAGCGGTGAAGGTCTTACAGAACTGGTTTTATTTAATGTCGCCGATTGGGCTGAAGAAGAAATTAATCAGCTCTGTCAAAATGCTATGGGCCCTTCGCTCACTGATGGTGCTGTTAAGCTTATTAACACGACCGTTCCCATTGGTTTGTATACAATATTAATATGCATAGTTTTATACAACATTTCTTAACATAAAATGTTCCATAGATGACCATGCACTTTCTAACGTACAAAGTAAAGCGATGAACATCCCTTCATGTTTTGCGGATCTGTGTATTCAGGCTTTTGCAGCACGTCAAGAACTAATTGACTGGGTAAAAGATTATTTGAAGAAAGAGGTCAGTATAACATGGGTATTTTACTTCTGCACAACATGCTGACATTTCTAAGCGTCTCATAAAATTTCAGGACAATGTAGATACTGACGCTTTGGCCCGTATAGCTTCTTATAATAAACGTGGCTTAGAAATGTGTGAAGCTCTGCGGGATTTGAAAGAGCGAGCAGAAGAGGCCGTTGAAACCATATCTTTGTTCTCCAGGTAGATATAAAAAATGTATTATCTTAAACAAGAAAGTTTAAGATACTACATTTGTAACATTTCTTCTTTCTTCAGACGTGCATGTAAAGAGAGGGCTACACTTTTATCTGTTGGAGAGACTTTGGTTCGTGAAGTTGCGCGTTTGCGAGAAGATCTAGAATCTCGAACGACAGTCATAAGTAAAGTACACGAGATACCTCCTGAAAGTGAAGTGACGAAAGCTTTGGAGGTATTCACTACTTTAATTTAAGAGTACCGTTAACCTACAGCGAATGATTAATCAGTTTGTTTTGACGTGTAGGAGACACGAAAAGAATTAGACGAAGAAAGAGCTTCGAAAGCAACGATGAAAGAGAAACTTGCTTCCACAGAGGCTCAGTTAAGACAACAGCGTATACGGATATCTAAGATGGATCGACAACTTCGTGAAGCCGAAGCCAGTATTACTAGTCTGACTTGCACTGTTAAGGGCTTGGAGGATCAGGTATTTAAGTTATAACTTTAACGAGCAAACGATGATTCTTCCCTATTCCATTAGCTTCATTTACAAAATAGAAAGTGCCTTTAAAAAAGTTTACGTTTCGCGTTTCATTTTAGAGTCGACAACGCGAAGTTCAGCTTGAGGCGAAAGCTAGAAAGTTAAGAGAATCTCTTAAGACAGGAGAAGTAACAAGCACGCATTTGGCACACCAGCGTGACGCTTTAGAGGCAGAGTAAGCTTAAATATGAAGTCTACATAGTATAATTAAAACTCGCGAACTTTTATTAATTTGCATTCTTATCTCCAGAGTTGCCGACTTAAAAGAGCAAATCAAGTCATTAAATGCACAACATAAGTCGAATGTACAAGATCTTAATAACCAATTAAAAGAGTTGACATCGGCTTTAGATGAGGAACGCGAAACGACACAGCGAGAAGTTAAATACAGAAATTCCCTCGAAGAACAGTTGAGAGAGGGTCAAAACGCTATTGAGGCACTTACAGCGAAAATAAATGAATTTGAAAGGAATAAACCGAATCCAGGTAATAAATAGAAAGCTTTATAGTTTATACTAATTGCTATGGGTGGAATGTTTTAACCCTTAGCCACTTATGTAAAATTAATGGATTTTGAGATAATTGGTGATAAATAAGCAGCAACAATTAGTTAAAGGCGTGCGTTTAATGAAAAATAATTCTATTTAGAGTTGAAGATAAAACTGAAACAACTGATCGTCCATGCTTGTTTCTCTTCTAGATTTACCTACAGAAAGAGAAATGGACTTATGGGCGGAATTGCAGTCAACAAAAGATACATTAAGAATAACAGAAGAGGAAGTAATTGCCTGTAAAAGGGAGAAAGTTCGCTTCTTGGAGACCATGACTAAAATAGCTGTAATGGTGCTAGAATAAATTATTACTTGTAACATTTCTGTAAATAACCCATTGTCAGTTAGATATTTTGTATCAAAGGCTTAGTATGAATATTATTTCAATTCTACATAAGGCTGACTTGTTGATAATTGTGTCTAGGAGTCAGATAACAAAGTCGGTTTACAACAAAAACTAGCGGCCGAATTGTTGAGTAAAGAAGAAATAATTAGCAAAATGCAGATACAGCTTCGAGATCTGTCTAAGAACATCAAGCTGAAGTGAGTCGGGTTTTATATCGGAATATTATTACTTTAAAAGTGTGGTTAATTCTTTGTTATTATTGTTTTGCAGCGAGCAAAAGGTAATACAATATGAACAGTACGTCCGCGATGTACAAGCTCATAATCGAGCAATCGCTAATTGCCAAGAATCACCGAATGGTATTACTTATCAAGATTTACAACAGGAGGTAAGTGCGCTAAGCTGAGGCTTAAAAAAAGGAACCGCTTTCGTAGCTCAAAGGTTGACCGCAAAGATGTTTTAGGCAATGCTAGATTGCCTAAAGCATCTTTTCGGTCGTGGCGCATCGAGCTACTATGACCACCTGAATATATCTAGAGTGATAGGGGCGCTATGAACTATAATGGTATAGCAAAGATTTAAAAGAGCTTATCACGTAGATCATGAACCTGAAAATGGGTCTCCTCGATGCTGAACATCGTAACGAGGAACTGTCAGAGATTTTAACACAAAAAGATCAACAGCTGGAGCAGCAGGACAAAACATCACGTACACAGGCAAGACTCATCAAGGTTACTTTTACAATATTTATTAAGAAACTCAAATCAAGCCGTTTTTATCGTAATACTAGAAAACAAAGATAGTTTTTAATAAATACGTGAAACAGGTTCGAGAAGAGTTGATCAACATGCTCAAGAATAAAGAGACGGAGCAGAGTCGTGAGCTCGCCGCTTTGCAAAAAGATTTAGAACATCGAATGAAAATTGTAGACGAAGTGAGGAGCGCGTTTTTTTGTTTTACTTTTGACGTTACTTCGTGTGGAACTTGTATTCCTTTTGTATAGACTATATCGAATGCCCCTCAACAAGGCAATGCAAACTTAAAATTCTACAATATTTCTTCATACTATGTGTCCATGTGTCTGTCATTTATATTGTTCTTACTGCTCTAATTTAAAAAGTAGCGCTGAAAATATTTTTTTAACAATGTAATCTTAGTCTAATACGATTTGTATGCTGCAGGTAAATAAGCAGATAGCAGCAAAGGCCGATGAGATTCAAGAGCTTTTTGCAACTCTCGAAACCAAACAGCAACAAATTCATCGGTTGGAAAAAATCGTTCTTGCCTTAGAAGAACAGCAGCGTCGGGCCCAAGCGCAGCGCACACGACACGAGGAAAAAATTGCTGCTTTAGAACATGAGCTCGCGGCTGGTGGAAATCGGAAAGACAGGTCAAAAACATTATAAAACTTTAGAATTTACTATGGCAATCTATTATGCGAAGTACGTATGTTAAGACGCAGACTGTAGACACGAACGCAAAATAAAAATAAAAAAACTATATCCAACCGTTACAGATTTGAAAATATTCATAGAGTTGCTTCTTTTCCTTATTGTTTATTATCTAAGTAAAACTAAACAAACCAATTTCTTATTTGCAGGAAATTCATCTTCTTTTGAAAACGAGGAAATTAAAATTTTATTGTATGAAAAGGGATATGAAAATATAAACAATAAGAAACGGTAAAAACGTGTTTACTCTCCCGTATGTTTAGTCCCGTAATTTTTAGTAAGTTACTGGAAAAAAAAATATTTTCAAATGTATCCTTTATACTTTAAAATTTAAATGGTTTAATAAAAGTAAATCTTAAATCAAGATTTTGGATTTTTTTCAGAACAAAGTAAAAAATAATTATTGTTAAAAGAAAAATTTTCAAATGTCTTTTATTTTGATTAAACTGTTTACTTAATAACTTATTACTTTCACATTTAATCGCACATGATAGTATTATGTAATAATTACTATTTAATTACTATAAAACCTAAAAACTATTTAATTGAATGTGATTTAAGTCCAAATGTCTGATTTGTAGATTATATTTATAAAACTGTTCTGTGGTATTTACACAGTTGATATAGTTTTGACTATTGACATTTTTGTCAGTGGTCGAATGGCGTTGACGTTAAGTAAACATTGACAAATAATAGCTAACAAAATACTGTTCAGTTGTGATATGTAACATCTAAAATTAATCCATGAAATAAATCTTTTTATAAAAAAAGAAGGCTAAAATAAAACGTTTGAGGTCTTGCTCACTGTTCCACCTGTTTAATAGAAAACCTACATATTTTTTCTCCGAGTCTACTCCAAAACAACAATGTCCGAGAGAAAAGTATTAAACGTAAGTATTTTCATTATGTGACTCAATTAGTGCATAGTATTCCTGTTTTAACCATGTAAATCTTTTTGCAGAAATACTACCCCCCGGATTTCGATCCCTCAAAAATTCCTCGTATGAAACTGGCGAAAAACCGCCAGTATACTGTGCGACTCATGGCTCCCTTTAACATGCGTTGTGCTACTTGCGGCGAGTATATTTACAAGGGGAAGAAATTTAACGCCCGCAAGGAAGACGTAGAAAATGAGGACTACTTAGGCATAAGGATCTACAGGTTTTATATCAAGGTAAATTGATTGAAATCAAATTAAATGTTTGTTTATTACGTTAAGTATGACTAGACCTCGGTTCTTTATTAGGGTTATCAAATAATCAAGGCTTTAGAGCAGGGATGCACAGACTTATTAATCCGGACTTATTAATAATCGGATTAATAAGTCTGTGCACAGGCGGGCATGGCAGGCCACCAGAAAGGTAATTAAAGACAATAGAGAATTGATAATAATGTATTAATATTGAACAAGAGCAGTATTTTAAAACTATGACCATACTTATTGCCTTAGTTGACAAAAATCCTGACTGATGAAAATTAGAGATTCTAAAAACATAAGTAAGAGAATACTTATCTTAAGCTTAGACACCGTTATGTCTTATAGTGAGATAAAATCTTAGGTAAGGTCTGTAATAATCAGCAAATATATGTTACAATAAAAATATATATTTTCTTAGGTTAAGAGAAATGCTATTTCTTCAAATACTACTGATTTTAGGTAATTGTTCTTAAATATAATATAAATATAATTCTATTATTATGCAATATAAATCTATTTGAAATCTTTCTCATTTTCAGTGCACAAGATGCCTTCAAGAGATATCATTTAAAACAGACCCCAAAAACACAGATTATGAAATAGAAGCAGGTGCAACAAGAAACTTTATGGCTCTCAAGTTAGCGGAAGAACAAGCAAAGAGAGAAGAGGAAGAACAAAAGGAGGAAGAAGCTAATAATCCAATGAAGCTCTTAGGTAGCTATTAATAGCATACAATTAGAGTGTTACTATATTTTGAAACACAAATAATGTATACATAAGGTGATATAAACCTTATGATAAGTTATTCTTATAAAAGAGAAGGACTGTCAAGCATAAAGGTTCAATTGACTAAAGGTGAAATACCCATTCATTGTAGTCATTTTACATCTGAAAGAGATGTGAATCCACCTATCTTTACTTTAAATACTTGTTTGGATGTAGTTGTTACTGTAATGTATGTTGAGAGGAGATCTTATTATTATCATTAATGATTAGTGTAGTGTCTTGTGCGTTTAAACTCTTCCACAACTTAGGCTGAAAATACTTATTATTGATTTAATATAATTATAACTCCTCAGAGTATCGCACGGAACAATCGAGGCAAGAAATTGAATTATTGGAAAGTTTGGAAGAGTTGAAAGAACTAAATCGGCGGCAGAGGGCAGTTGATTATGAAGGAATGCTGAAACAATATCAGCCAGAGACAACTGAACAGAGAAAAGCTAGGGAGGAACAGGAGGATAATGATTTTATTAAGTATGTATACAAATAATGAAAAATCATGGTAACCTTAAGAGATTGCACACAAATAGAATAAACAGTAACACATAAGCGGAATTTATATTATCTTAAAGCAAAATATGCACTTGAAAATACAATAAAGTGTAAGACGTTGCACGTCAATAGTTATAGAGTTAAGGTTGAAATTACCTTATGTCTGCATTTTAATCGTCAATAAATAATAAATTGTGCTACAATGTTTCATGTAGTATGGTGTTGGATATAGTTTTCCTGTGGGTATCTGTTCAAGTCCCATCCGTGTCATCAATTTTACTTAACCTAATTAGATTTTAATATAAAACGGGGACCCATTTTAATCTCTTTATGAGTTGTTAGAACATTTATATTTTAATGCAAATCATATATTACTAAGTTTATAAATTGAATTAGATTCGAAGGATTAGATAGGATCATGAAAGATGATGTGTCACATTAAGGGTTTGATTGTTTCTTAAACTTTTTATTTACAGTCCTCAATCCAAAATTTAGTAACAGTATGATATATAGATAGTTTATTTGAAACATTTATCGAACATGCTTTTACTTTAGAAAAAGAGGAATATATGCTATGAAAATCCTTTTATTAGTTTTTGTCATATGTAATTATGTCAAACTATATCATAATGGGGTTGTTCTCTATTGCAGATCTGTTAAATTCAACAATCCACTGAAGCACAAGGTAGTAGCTGAAGAGATCATCGAGGAAGTGAAAGAGGAAACTGAACCAGCTGCCAAAAATATAAAGTTGGAAGATCCACCTCCAAAATTATCAGCTCCGAAGAAAACAGAAACATGGAATAAAAGCATAGGAGTTATATCAAAGAAAAATCCACTTGCCAATCTTGTTAGAAAGAAACCAGAGACAATAGAAGTTAAGAGTGAACCAAAAGAACCATTAGCGACTTCTTCAAATACAACTGACAATATTAAGGAAGATGTTAAAGAAAGTAAACCTTCTGGACTGTCATTATTAGCTAACTATTCGGGAAGTGATAGTGATACATAGAGAATTTCTTTTCTTGTCTGTTTATAAAATATGATTCCAATCAGAAAAAAATACTGGTCTTAAACATAATATATTGGAGTTTTTGGATATATGTTTTATTCTATTTTATTTATAAGCAAGTTAGATTACTTATAGAAAACTTAACGTTAATTATAATTTCCGAAAAATAACAAAGCCACAGTAGTACATACATAATTCAATACCTAATAATGACTATACATGCAAAATTTTGTAATATAAATTTGTTAAAACTAGTTTTAATGTCTATATATATGGAATAAGTTTAGAGAGTACCTACATTTAATAATACTATTAAAAACCAAGTATGAGTCAAAAATAACAATGGACACGGTAGCTCAATTGGTTAGCAGCAGCACGATATTGTGGGTGCCGGTTCAAGTCCCGCCCTTATCGTCAATGGTTTCAAGATGTTTAATTTAAATAAAAATAAAATATTTTTTATTAATTTTAGTTACGTCGTATGCGCGTATAAAAGTTTTACAACAAACACGGACCAAACAGTAAGAAAATCTTAATGTTTCGTTATCAACGTTTAAATTTGTAAATTTCTTACCAAAATAAATTTTCTCATGCATTGTTAGACCTGAAATAGTTAAGCTGTGAAAAAAACGGGCATTAAAAAGTTAACAACAAATTACGGGTAAAATCGGCTTATACCGGTCAGAGCACCCAATCTATTGTGAGTTGGGTTTCCTTTGTTGTATCGTCAAGAACTTAGTGTTATGTTAAAAATAACATTTAAGCAAGTCACAAAGCTAATTCGTCTGTTAATACCGGTAAAATTAAGACTGCTGTATTTCTTTATGACAGACGAGATACGTCAACTTGATGAAAGATGAAATGTGCCAGCCCCAAATCTAATTAAGATTGAAGAACCAGTAACCGAAACGTGGATTCTACACTTCATTGCTTTGTGCTAGTACAAGTTTGAGATAATTGCATTGGGCTATTAGTACCTATACTTAGCTTACGATCTTGAGGTAGGACGTTCGATCTTCAGTTGGAAACCAATACTATTTCTTTAAGTGCTCATTATAAAACTTCTGGAAATAAAAATTCAACGACAAGTGTTATATAAATTGTGTAAGGCTTTCACGGCCATCGTTCAGCGTATCTTGCTTTGATATTGCTTTTCGGCTGACGTAAGCGAGTGAGGTTCCCGACGTTTCGCCATCACGAGACAAGTGTTGTTATTTTCCGATCTCATGGGAAGCCCTAGGACCTATTTAAGGCTTATAATGAAAAATAGAAAATTTGTACCTCTTCATATATTTGATAGCATTACTCTGCGTCATCATATGCCGTTATGTGTCGTGCCGTATATCTGCCCAGCTTTTCTGTATATAGAAATGTTCCGCAAAAACTGCAGAATTTTTTAATTAGGTATCATATGCGCTTCCTCGTATCGATAATAGGTAATCGAATAATGCTGATCTCCTTCTCGTCCAAAGAACTAACTTACCATTTACGTACAGTTATTAAAGTTAATTTGTGAAGTAATTATTGTTAACTCCGACTATAGAATTCGTCACACGATCCTCCATGCACAGTTAATGCACGGGCGATTAACAACATTCCGTATTTTGAAATTTAAATTATTATAATTATTGGGGATGAGCCAAAATTCGGCTTGCATTCGGTTGAACCGAATTTTAGCTTACGGGTAAAGTATGTTATGAATTGTCAAATATAAGCCATTATAATAAGCAAAAGTTGTTGTTACCACAGTAACCGTTACTATTTTTAACTTATTATTTACCTAACACATACAATTTAAAATAGGTAATCTTAGAAGTTAGAAGTGTAATAGGTTTTTAATTTAGTGTTAATTGATAAATTGTGTCTTCGGATTATAAAACAAACGTAAACCGAATTTCTCCTTCGGCTTAATCCACATTTGGTCCATCTCTAATTATTATAATTATTTTCGTGTGAGACATGTATGACAATCGGTACGAACACTCGTTACAAAGCGAAGCATTTATCGATGTCTAGTCATTTTTTTCAAACGTGTGCCTTGTTATGATAATGGAGTATACTTATTATCATATTTAATCACTTGCGTTAAAAATGTTCTATCATTATGGATACAAGTCACAGATGAAGACATTTTTTAGAGTCGAGTTTTTTTACCTAAATAAGATTTATCAAAGTTGTCTTTTACTTCATGGAAACAGATTTTTTGTATAAAAAGTTTATAGGACTTGAGATATTGAAGTTCATATTTAGGAAGTTAGAGGACGCTAGGATTCACTATTGAGGCTGATTTTCTTTTTGATGTGCTTCTTTTAGTTTAGGTTAGCTTTTTAATGTGCATTTTAATATTTTACTATACACCTTTTATTTTTATTGCCCAGTATTAGATTATATTGACATAATTGGTATCTACCAAGTTTAATTATGAAACATAAGTACATATATAGTTCAAACAAATATAACTATCACATTTTGCGTACTAAAAAAATGAAAGGGCGTATTAATGCTATCTGCTTTTAAAACCATTGAAGCCGCTTTGTTTAGAAAATGTGTCTCGTTTTTTGCTAATTGATTACGTCCGTAAACCACACCCATATCTCGAACATGTTCAACAAATTAGTACATCCCGAGGGTACCTGGCGATTCCTGCAAATCGGGATTTAAACAAAAAGCTCATAGCTCACGGCTCCGAGATAAATACGTGATCCCGAATTTTTTTTCATCAACATAAATATATTTTTTTGTAACGTAACGGCTCGGAGTCGACACGTCGGCGTTCGGTTCTGGGAAGCGGTGTTGTCGCGGCGCCGTTCCGCGCCTGTGTTGTAGCTCGCTCGTCTAATAAATAAAAAGTGGTCAAGCGCGAGTCCGAAACGCGCAGGAAGAGTTCCGTCAAAAGATCATGCCAGTTCTTAAATCATACTTAGTTAAATTATATTGTAGATAGATATCTATCTATATTCAAACTACTACACATATTTTTTTAAGACATGTTAAACCTTAAAATATTATTTATAGAATATATAACTGATTTTTGTAAAATAATTTCAAAGTCCAGTTGTTAGTGTTATAACTATGAGAATAGTTTGTCTGTAAGCTTGTAAATGTGTTTATTTTATCTATTTACATTTGTACAGACAACAGAGATGTACATGTTTAATTTTAAGTCAATTATGGAGTTTTGGTTAATGGAACCGTTTAACTCATTTTCGTAAGGAACCCTAAAAAGGCTGCTTGGGAAATATTATGTTACGTCTCGGGATGTTTTTTGGAAGTGCGTGCGGCCTTCGGTCGCTTTGGCCACTCGAGCCTAAGTAATGAACCGTTCACCGATAGGACCTTGGAATTTGGAAACTGGATAGCTCACTTTCAGCTGATTGGAACAATTCTGCAAAAACGAAAAAAGCTTAAGTTTACCCTGCGTGGGGTATGGGGCACACTTCTGTATTAATGTTAGTATGTCTATACTTTTTAAGTGATCAGGACTCTCATAAACATTATCGTGTTTTCCTGGGATTCCAAATGAGAATTATCTATCCGTTCTTTTGAGATTTTGCTAGTAAGACTTATAATATTACTTTTCCAACTGTTTGTCTACTTACTGTGTATAGTTTAACGATGTACCCTTCTTATTTATTCCTTATAAAAAACCTTTTTTGTTCCTTTTCTCCTATACTTCAGGTTACCTAGAAGAGATCGCTGCTTGATAAGGCCGTCTTTATAAGTTAGTACATAAGCCTTTTTTGACTTTGTTTTGTTGTATGGTATCTATATTATAAATAACTAGCTGACCCGGCAAACGATGTTTTGCCATATAAATATTTTTACTAAAATGGCTATTAAAAAATAAGGGTTGATCGTAGAAGAGTGAAAAGTGAGGATTGTATGTATTTTCGTATGTTCTATCATAAAAAAAATAGGGGTAGACTACCCCTAACACTTAGGGGAATGAAAAATAGATGTTGGCCGATTCTCATAGATACCGGATAAGCACAAAAAGTTTCATCCACATCGGTCAAGCCGTTTCGGAGGAGTACGGTAACTAACACTGTGACAGGAGAATTTTATATATTAGATTAGATAAAGCTGTAATATATCAATACAGTAATACATATGCCAGTTACATAACAGTGTATGTATTTTGAAAAACAATGCATATTATTGCTTTAACGTACGAACATTTACGACGACACGTTGAGGTGACCTACTTTACTTGTGTTGTGTTTCATTGATAACGAAGTACTATGCGCGTTGTTATGAAACAAACTATTGTTTGCGTAACGATACAAATGTGCACCACTCAATTTTAAGGCTGAAACTTGACTTGAATTTCCCACTGCTGGGCTCAGGTCTCCTTGATAAAGCTCGTTGTCTTGACATGCTCGTTGGTATAATAGTAGCAATGTACAGTTAATAATCAACGGGTTTGATCCCCACCGGGTCCAACATTTTTTCTAATCAATTTATAACATTTCTAAAACATGGTGGACTTCGTCTGGAAATCTGAATATTAAGTTGGTGGTAGGAATATCGAAATTCAGTCCGGGCCACGAACTACCGTCCACAGATGAAGAATAGGAAGATAAGGGGTTCGCTAGATGGTAGATAAAATACCCCAGCCACATAACATCTGAATAAGTTGTGCTGTCTACCTATTTTGACTTTGGATATTCGTGATCTGCAACTTCCAGCGCGAACGATTAGACTAACAGTTTCTTAAAATACGAACTTGTTAGACCAAATCAGGATACAGAAAAGTCTGCCCCATTCCCCAGATAGGCGAATGGGATCCCGTCACCGGATGCCAGTTTTATCCTGCATGATTGATTAAAAAGCAGCAAGTTATTCATGCCACTATAAATAAAGTTGTTAATGGAGGCGGCCTCTTGTAATTGGACCTTCAGATTCCTTGAGGCATACAACGAAATTAATCCTCTTGTTTGGGGGTTTATAGCGTTTTTATAGCGTACACTTTCATATCTTCAATTTTACGCGTTGATAAG